ATGCGAAGAAATTATATGCTCTAATTATAAAACAAAGGTTGATTGTTACGGATAAGATTCTGAAACAACCAGATGTGCTTGGAGTAATTCTAACGAATGTTAATCATTAACCAAAGACTATATATGCACAGATTTGGATGACTTTTAGGATTTATGTGAAAGCAAAAATTGCGTATATGCATCAAATGAATGTACTTTTAAGACATGTGCTCATAAGAAGGACAAATATGACTGTTACTATGCTTAGACCAGTAAATATGAAGCAATAGCATGTATTTGGTAAAATGAAACCTGTGCTGAAGCAGTTGATACTAAGAATTTCACAGCTGAAAATTGCACTAGTTCAAGATTAGGTTATAATTACAGATGGAATAAAGAAACGTCAGCATGTTAAGAATGTGACGATTTGATATCAAGATTACCTGATCATGCTGTTATCTTATCAGTTTTTGTTGCGCTTGCTTTAAATGCTTGATAGTATTATTATTTTAAAGATTAAATATTTTAAATTTTCATTTATTTATGTTCCTTTAAATTAAATCATTCTATTAAATTAACTGATTTTAAACTTTTATTTTAATTATATTTATTAGAGATTTATGTGAATTATTTATAATATTCTTAATCTTATCAATTTATCGTAAAGTAATATAATTAATAGTTAAAAACTTTATTTTTTAAAATATCTAATTTATTTTTATCATTTCAAACTATTCTATAGTATTCATTTTTCAAGATTTAATCCTTTTAATAAATTTACTATGACAACAGCGATTTTATTTAAAAAAAGAGTTATTAAAATATCTCAATATATTTTTTTAAAATTAGTTTTAAATCTTTAACTAAAGAACATAAATAAGTTCGAGTGAAATTGTATTATGTGATTGTAAAAAAAAATTATTTAATGAGAAAAAATAATTGACTTTAATTAAAATTTAACTTGATAGTTTATATTTTGATAAAAATATAAGTTTTTCATATCTCTTTTATAATGGATAAAAGAGATTTATAACATAAATCAATTAAATTATTAATTATTGTAAATTAAAAAATAAATATTATATTAAGATAAACACATTTTTAAATATGAAAATATTTACATATGATTAAAAAATAAAATCAAATTGTATATTCACTTTCATGTATTTATTTATTTCAGATTTTAAAATTGCCTAACTTTAATCAAATAATAACATTTTCTAATATTTCAACCTCAATTTTTTATTATATTTAATGATTAAAACAATATGATTATAAATTTATTTTTGGCAATCAATTCAATAAAATTATTTATATTTAAGTAGTAAGCCATTTTTGGTGTATTTAAATGTAAAAATCAAAAGATTTTTCTAGTATATGCTGAGATTTTAAAACTGTTCATCGATTTTAATCAATCTATATGAAACTTTTTGTTTATAAGTTTATTTAATTGAAAATAAATTAGCCTCTTAATTTTAATAAAATTATATTATTATTATAAACTGTAATACTTAATGAATTTTAATAAATATCTGCTATAATTACCAAAGTTAACTCCAACTACAATGGATGATAGTTATAGATAGCTTGGAATAGTAAAAAATAAAAGCCCTTTTAGAATTGAAAATAGAGATTTATTTTATTTAATGAACAAAAGCTAATTTGAAAGTTTGTATTCAAATCCAAAAAAATTAAAAACTGAAAAATAGCAATCATTTCGAAATCATTCTTATAGAATGCACTCAAGTATAAATGAGAAAAATAGAGAAATTCAGCATCATAACTCATTTATAGAAAATAATTAGTTGCATCAAAAATAATGGCAAAAATAAAAAAATACTATGATTACAAGAAGCTTTTAAAAACCTGAATTCAGAAATAAATCAGAGACTTTGTGTTTAGATAAAAAAAATTAACCTGAATCATAAAGAAAAATGCAAAATAAAAGATTACTAAAAAATCCTAAAATTATGTTAAGAGAATTATGGGATGTAAATTATGGATAATGAATACTCTTTTTCAAGATGATGTATTTAGTTTTATCATTCAATTAATATAAATATACTTTTAATATTTCATGTCAAAACTTTCTTATATCAATCTAACTATATATTTTTAATAAGTATTGGATTAAAAATTAAATTGATGAATATTTATTCATTTATATGATTGATATTTAAATAAAACAATATATTTTTATATCTATGCTTTGTGAAACGAAATACAATAAGATACATTTCTATTAAAATTATATTTCAAGGTTACTTAGATTGGGAGTTTTATCTATAAACTAATAATGAATTTAGGATCTAGAATTCTTTTGAAATATAAAAACTTTAAATCCTCTTTTTTATAGCTAATGATATATTTTATGATCAATCTTAAATATGAGGAGATATGTTGGAATAGGTTCATCAAAACTTCTGAATACTGAATATATCTGCTAAAATTTAAAAAAATTTAAGGATTAAAATGGATTGTTTATATAATGGATTTGTTTTAGGTATTTTTGAGATAAAATCATTTATTTTATAATTATTCATTAGTTTACTTAATATTTTTTGGAAAGGAGAACGGGTTGATAATACTTGAATTAATATAATAAGTTTTAAATGCAAAAAATTTGAATATAAAAAAATATTTTTGATTAGTTATAAGTTTAATGATGCAAGACTTAAAATAATTTTTAAATAAATATAAAATAAGATTTTAATTTAGTTTATTTATTCTGAAAAATTCAAAATTTTTAGTAAAAATAAGATTTAAATTTTGGAAGATAACAAGTTTAATAGATAAAAATTATAATAGAAAAGTTTAGAAAAAGGAATAATAATTATTGAAGATATAAAAATAATAGATGAGATAAAACAAATAAAAAAGAAATAGAAATTAAGATAAGTAAATAGTTTTATAAAGTTAATATAAGAAAGATAATGAGCTAAAATGAATGTTATACTGATAATAAATTAAGGAATTGTAAAATAAGTATAGGTGAAAAGAAGTTTGGAAATAATGTAGAGTAAATAGAAAATGAGTTATATAAATTTATGATTGAAGTTTTAATATAAAAATTTCAATAATAAGTATATTAGGGTGTAATGTTTTTAATTGAAATGGTTTTTTATTGGATTATCTTAATAATAATGAATGGATTGTTTTTTGGATGTGGATGGTCTGATTAGTTTAGAATCGATNGAAAAATGCAAAATAAAAGATTACTAAAAAATCCTAAAATTATGTTAAGAGAATTATGGGATGTAAATTATGGATAATGAATACTCTTTTTCAAGATGATGTATTTAGTTTTATCATTCAATTAATATAAATATACTTTTAATATTTCATGTCAAAACTTTCTTATATCAATCTAACTATATATTTTTAATAAGTATTGGATTAAAAATTAAATTGATGAATATTTATTCATTTATATGATTGATATTTAAATAAAACAATATATTTTTATATCTATGCTTTGTGAAACGAAATACAATAAGATACATTTCTATTAAAATTATATTTCAAGGTTACTTAGATTGGGAGTTTTATCTATAAACTAATAATGAATTTAGGATCTAGAATTCTTTTGAAATATAAAAACTTTAAATCCTCTTTTTTATAGCTAATGATATATTTTATGATCAATCTTAAATATGAGGAGATATGTTGGAATAGGTTCATCAAAACTTCTGAATACTGAATATATCTGCTAAAATTTAAAAAAATTTAAGGATTAAAATGGATTGTTTATATAATGGATTTGTTTTAGGTATTTTTGAGATAAAATCATTTATTTTATAATTATTCATTAGTTTACTTAATATTTTTTGGAAAGGAGAACGGGTTGATAATACTTGAATTAATATAATAAGTTTTAAATGCAAAAAATTTGAATATAAAAAAATATTTTTGATTAGTTATAAGTTTAATGATGCAAGACTTAAAATAATTTTTAAATAAATATAAAATAAGATTTTAATTTAGTTTATTTATTCTGAAAAATTCAAAATTTTTAGTAAAAATAAGATTTAAATTTTGGAAGATAACAAGTTTAATAGATAAAAATTATAATAGAAAAGTTTAGAAAAAGGAATAATAATTATTGAAGATATAAAAATAATAGATGAGATAAAACAAATAAAAAAGAAATAGAAATTAAGATAAGTAAATAGTTTTATAAAGTTAATATAAGAAAGATAATGAGCTAAAATGAATGTTATACTGATAATAAATTAAGGAATTGTAAAATAAGTATAGGTGAAAAGAAGTTTGGAAATAATGTAGAGTAAATAGAAAATGAGTTATATAAATTTATGATTGAAGTTTTAATATAAAAATTTCAATAATAAGTATATTAGGGTGTAATGTTTTTAATTGAAATGGTTTTTTATTGGATTATCTTAATAATAATGAATGGATTGTTTTTTGGATGTGGATGGTCTGATTAGTTTAGAATCGATAAATCGTTAAATAAATATTTAAAATAAAAATGGAAAGTGTGATATTTGGTGGAGATAATCCATAGCCTCGTTTTGGTCATACGATATGTGTAATAGCGCCTAACAAGATTGCATTATTTGGAGGTAGAAAGCTAGGAGTAATATTTAAATAGGAGCTGTAGGAGATACAGGACGATATGTGATAACAGGAGATGTATATATAGGAGACATGACATAAAAGAAATGGAAGAGAATTGAAGCAAGTGGAAGTGTACCAACAAATAGAGCAGCACATTAAGCATTAGCGATAGAATTGAATTAAATGATAATATTTGGTGGAGCAGTAGGTGGAGGAGGATTAGCAGATGATAATTTATATGTATTTGAATTAAGAGATGATACAGGAACATGGGTAACAGTACCAGTAATAGGTACAACACCAGGTAGAAGATATGGACATACTATGGTGTTAATAAAACCACATTTAATAGTATTTGGTGGTAATACAGGTTAAGAACCTGTTAATGATGTTTGGAGTTTTAATTTAGAAAGATCTCCATATTCTTGGTAAAAATTAGAATGTCCTTCTGAATAACCAAGTGTAAGAGTATATCATTCAGCTGCATTATGTACAACAGGATCAGCTAATGGAATGATGGTAGCATTTGGAGGTAGAACTAATGATTAAGGTGCATTAAATGATACATGGGGATTAAGAAAACATAGAGATGGAAGATGGGACTGGGTTAGAGCACCATATAGAAATTAAAGTGAATAACCATTATAAAGATATTAACATTCTACTTTATTCTTGGGAACTTTAATGTTAGTTATAGGAGGTAGATCTAATAATGTTGGAGAGACATTACCATTTGAAATTTATGATACTGAAACTTCTGATTGGTATAAATTCTAAGCAATCCAAAGATTTAGACATTCTTCTTGGTTAATTGATCAATTTCTTTATTTACATGGAGGATTTGATTCTGATTAACCTAATATACCAACTGAAGGTATATTAAGATTGAATCTCTAAACTAGATTCGCTTAAACTCCTTAATTATTAAGATAAATGAATACTCTTAGAACTGATCAATCATTCACTTAATCATTTAATCCTAGACCTCCTACCAATTAAACATAAACTTAAGATTAATTTAGAAGAACTAATTAATAATAAGCTTTAAATAAAAGTATATTTTATTTCCATTATTAGATTAAAATAATAATTAATAAGTTAGAGTCTCTAGTGCTACTAATAAGAATATTAGATTAGCTAATCAAGCAATTGTTGCTATGACTTATGGACCAGAAGAAGATATTACTAATTAAGTTAAGAAAGTACCTATTGATAAATTGTAAGATGAACACAAAAAATTAGGAGCAGGATTTCAAGATCCAAATTCATAAAATAAATCATAATTTTTAGATTAATTATGTTAACCTTTCATTTAAAATTTATTAATACCAAAAGATTATTAATCAATACCTCCTAATTCTAATTTATTAACTGGAATAAAAAAAGAAATGATTATTAAATTATGTGATGAAGTGTAAAGAGTATTAGATAAAGAACCAATTGTATTAAGATTAAGAAGACCAATTAAAATATATGGAAATCTTAATGGTTAATTTTTAGATTTAATGAGATTTTTTGATCATTTTAAAGCTCCATATGATAATTTATATAATGGTGATATTGATTCATAAGATTACTTATTTTTAGGTGATTATGTAGATAGGGGAACAAGATCACTTGAAATTGTTCTATTATTATTTACATTAAAGTTAAAATATGCTGATCAAATCCATTTACTAAGAGGACATCATGAAGATGCTAAAATTAATAAAATATATGGATTTGCAGATGAATGTTTTCTTAAATTTGCAGAAGATATCATGGATCCCAATAGCATTTATTAAAGAATTAATAGAGTATTCTAATATTTACCATTGGCAGCAGTAATAGAAGATAAAATATTATGTATTCATGGTGGTATTGGATAAACTATGCGTACTGTAGATGAAATAGAACTTATTTAAAGACCTTTGGAAATAGTACATGATCCAAAAACTGTAAATCATTTATATATCTATATTTAGTATTAACAAAAGATTGCTTTAGAATTGCTATGGTCTGATCCATGTTTAAATGAAGATGAATTAGAAAATTAACCTAATCCAGAGAGAGATATTTTCTAAAATAGATAAATCATAAGATTTGGTACAAATAGAGTAAGCAAATTCTTATAAGAAAACAATTTGAATATTATTATTAGATCTCATGAACCAACTTAAGAAGGGTTTGAAAGATAAAATAATAATGTTATTACAGTATTTTCATGTCCTGATTATGGTGCCAGTTCGTCAAATAACAAAGGATGTACCTTATTTTATTTATACTCAAGCTATGTTAACTATATCAAAAAGAGGTGAAATCATACCAAAAGTTATTTTACCAGCAAATTCTACCTCTGAATCAAGATGGATGGATTTAGAAGAACCATTCTAGAGAAAGAAAGGATATGCAAAATATGTAGTTATAGATAATGATGAACTACTATTAAGGAAAAGGTAGTTTACACCTCCAAGATCCAAAAAATCTTTATCTTAAAAGTAATTCGCATGATTAATTATTAATAATTTAATAAATTTTTTGTATCCTTCATTATCCAAATATCTCTATTATTTATTATGGATTCCAACTAGATCCAAATCCTCCTTATTGATTATGATATTGACCTGCAGCTGGAACTGGCAATACAACATCTTCTATCAAATAATCTGCAATTCCTATTAACATTTGTTATGATATCTATTTCTTATTATTGTTTAGTTCTTTCTATAAAAATAAACAATAAGACTTTTATAATTTTGTCTTATCTTTTATGTATTAATTTATTGTTGCTTACATCTTACTCATGTATTATTATAATTATTAATTAGAATCCAAAATCTATAGTGATGCTTTCTATAAATTCACACTATTTAATAAAGCTAATGTTATTTGTTTCAATCCCTATTCATTTAAACAATTATCTAATCTAACTCAATATTATTTAATATTTACAATATTGTCAATCTCAATTTTGTGATGTTTATACTTTTTAATGACTTTGCTATAAATTCCATTCCTTATTATCCTAATTTTAACCCTGAATGCACTTAAAAATTAACTTATTAATTAGTTAATGATTTTCCATATAATTACATTATACATCTCTACACAACTTCTATTGACAAAAATGTCCATTACTTTAAAACTACTATTTATTAAAATAAATCAATCATTTAATTGCACTAAAAATTGTTGATCTTTTTAATTATCAAACTTAAAACTTTTAATTAAGATTATTGTAATTATTTTATAATTGAATCCACTGATTCTTATTCTATGCTAGTAGATTTTATATAGATTTTTAAATTCTAAAACAAATCCAATTTTTAACTTAAAGTATTAAACAATACTTTTATAGATTAAATTGTATCCAATTAAATTTACAATGTTTATTTGATTTTTCTAATCAATTATGTATTTGTTGTTATTCTAATATCACAACCAGGAGTAATTTAACCTATCAAATCTATCAAATCTAAATCTGAACAATCTTTTCCTTCACTCAATTCAATAGTCAATTTCTCTGTTTTCTCTAAAAAACTTTCAATAGATTTGAAACTTCCTTGCTTTATTGTACTTCCTTTCTATAACTTTATATCCAATATTTTAATATTGCAATTTAAAAATAACTCCTATGAAATAAATTTATGGTAAGTTCCTAATGACAATTTAACATATGATATATTTTTCACTTCTTAATATAAAGTATCATAATTGTTAATCCCATAATTGTTACTATTGATTTATATATATATATTTATACCCTAAATTTAACTCTAAGTTTTCTAATTTTCCAAATGATTTTACAATTTAATCAAAAGAATGTTATGTCAAATTTTTGGTATCATGTAAAAATAAATTAAGATGCTTTAAATTCTCAATTTTTTAAAGTGCTAAACCTAATTAAGTAAGTGCTTATTCATCTAAATCAGTTTAAGCACCTACTGATATATTTAATTTTTCAATTTTTGTTTAGGATTCCATCCATTTAAAAAAAAAATGAAATGATTTATCTAATTTATTAAATGGACTTATAAATAAGGTAAACTCTTTTAAAATAGAACTCTCCAAAACATTTTCAAAATGTGACCAATTTTAACCCACACAAACTCCTTAACCAATCTATAAAGAAATTGATTATAATTTTTTAGATGTAATAAATTATAAATCTTTAAAACATAGTGGTAATTCATCCCTATAATTATTTTTACTACTTACTCAAAATTTAATTTTAAATGCATAAGTTCATTTTCATGATTTTTTATTGCTTCCAAAATTGGTTATAATTACTTTATTGGATTATTTAAATCAAAATGAATGTCTAAAGATATAAGGCTTTTTTAATTTTAAATAAATTTTGCCAAAATTCTTCCATCTTCATCTGAAAATTAATTATTTACCCTATTTTATTAAAAAAACATTTTACCCATATTTCAATTTAAAACTGCTTAAATTTAAGTGATTCAATGATAAGAGTAAAGAAGCATAATGCTTATAATTTAGAAATCCCCTAAAAAATATAAATATATAAATCATACTCCACAACTAGAGTTAAATTCTTGCATTCAATTTTATCCAATACAACCTATTCAGAGGTCTGAATGACTATTTACAAATGCTCAGACTTTAAACTTTAAATGTCTTCTTAATTCTAAATTGTATGAGAAAGAGTCATTTTCAATATATTTATAAATTATTTTATGATATTCAATTCTTACAGGAATAAATATTGTTTTTTATTTGATATTTTTCTTATCTAATATTAATAATAAATTATATATACATGTATGCACAATCGTTATCAGTATTTATATATTTTATTTAAAAGAACAACTTTGTTTATAGTTTTGAAGATCCATAAAATAATTGATTCTAACTTTTATTAATGAAGGGTTTCTTTACCAGATTAATTCTTAAAAGCAAAATAATATTTATAATTATTTTAATAAAATGGAAATACCTTTAGATAGGCAATAAAGCTTATTCTTTTAGATGGAATATAAGAAATAGTTTCCCTTAGGCGAAAAGATGTGTTATAGTTTTTTCGCAATAGTTTATTGCATTTTATCCATATTAGTCCTTTAAAATAAGTAAATTTAATAACAAGTTTAGTTGTATTGATCCTTTATGCTAATAATCTTAAGTATTTGCTGAAACTTTAATTTACTTATTTTATGGAGCAATTATATTACGCTTATTAATAATATTGGTTCTGATTATTTCATATCTAAGTCAAAAAGCATTAGTAACTACAATAATTCTTGAATAGAAATTAAATGAAGCAGAATTCTTTATAACAATTGTGTAATCATTATTTTTTTTAATAGCTTCATGTTTCTTTCGCTAATTTTCTATATAGGAGCTGAAAATTGCCGTAAAATGTAGGTAGGGTATGCTTTTGTTTTCATTTTAACATATGTTATTGTTAGACTGATGTGTTTACCAGACGGAGTTATTAACTATTTTGATGGTGAATATTTTTGAAGTTTATCAATACATGATTTATAGAAATAAATAATTAATTTTTTTTGGCTTATCTGGATTATTATAATATAAATGAAAATTTTTAAAGTTATTTTTATTGAATGCTTAGAATATTAATTTTACTATATGTAATTCAAATTCAATTAAAACAAAGTAACTCTATATTATTCTATGTTTAATTTCCTGAACAAGTTCTACCTAGAAGTAATAATTATATCTCAACTTGATTTTGATTCTTTAATGTAATTTTGTTCAAGCTTTAAATTTTATTGTATGATTTTGCTATATTATATTGAATTCTTACATTATTCTATTTAATGAGGATAATATGAAAAAGGAGATAGTTACATATTCTAATCAAATTTTAAAATATCAACAATCCCTAAAGAATTAGAACAGAGAATAAAATCTCTTAGTATTTCTATTTGAGAAATTTTAACATTTTATTTAAATATCAACACAGTAATCATGGTATTTAAGTTTAAGACTATTATCTAACTTAAATCTTCTTCTAAATGCCAAAATAATAAAAAGAGTTGCTGATTGTTCAAATCATATTTCATATCAACTAATGCAAATTTTTAATTGTTTAATTCATGAGGAATTTATATGAATTGTCCATTTTAAAAAGATAATAATTAACCATTCTGAAAACCAATATAATATGTTTCATCATTATTTGATTTTGGAATACTTAGAACAGATTCAATAGGATTTTCAAAATTATAAATTCTTGGTGGAAATAATATTGTTGTATTTTGAATTACATATACTCTTAGAGTTCCATCATTGCTAAAAACTAAACATAAATTTCCTTAGATTCTACAATGTACAATTTCCTTAATACTTACATCCAATATTGTATAATGTTAATAACTTTACCACAAATTTGGATAAATTGCAATATTTCTTAATGATATTTTCTTTGTCTGATAAGAAATAATTAATACAAGTTAATTATCAATAACTTAACTCCAAATCTAATAAATTGAGCATATATTTTCAGGCAATTAAATTTAAGTCTTATTATTGAGATTTACTTATTCATTAACTTTATAAAATATAAGTGCATTTTTCTTAGCCACTCCTAAGACTTAAAATTATTCAATATAGATAGATTAAACAAATTCAGTGATTTCAAAAGTTTAAATTTAAGTAAATATTTTATGCTCACATTCAAGTTATCTTGCATTATTTTTAAATTCATTTTAATTTTATCTTGGATTTTATTATCTGAAATCTTATTTTTACTAAAAGTGTTAATTATTTTATTAAAATCTATTAGGTTATGCCATTTAATTTTCTTATTATTGATTTTATCTTCTTCTTTAATTATTTTCTTCATTAAATTATCTATCATTTTATGAATCTCCATCATTATTTTACCTCATATTTTAATCTCTACCTTGATAATGTTCTCTTACTTAATTTTCATTAAACTATCTCCCTTAATCATTATTAAACTATCTCCCTTAATCATTATTAAATTATCTTCCTTAATTATTGTTAAATTGTCTTCCTTAATTATTGTTAAATTATCTTCCTTAGTTATTGTTAAATTGTCTTTCTTAATTATTCTTAAATTGTCCACCTTAATTGTCATTAAATTTTCTAAATTAATTATCATTTTATTATCTATCTCTTGTAAATGAATTATTGTTTATATTATTTTATTATTTTCTTTATTACAATCCTTTTATCATAATTTAATAATACCATCAAATCGAAATTAATTTTAACTACTTTTTGTTTAATCATCACTTTAATAATTTTATTATTTATATCCATCCGGAATTCTATGTCTTTATTATTAAATGCCTTTTTAAATTTTTTCAGCTTCTGCAATATCATGTTTATAAGAACATTAATCACCTTTGTTACATTTATTTTTGAGAAAAAAAAGACAAAGTTTTTAATTTTACATAATAATTAAAATTATATTTATATAATTAATGGAAATTATTAAGAATAATAATATGAAAAGAAAATTTATATTTATAAAGACTTTAAATTTAACTATAATATTTATAAATATTCTAGAATCTTTAAATGCCCTTTAACTCATACATCAATAATCTAAATATGTTGTTGAGTAGCAATATTATCATTGAAACTAAATGTAATCAAATTGAAGGATTGACTTAATTTAATAAAGAAATGTACTCTTTTAATCAGAAATCTCAATCAAAACACTTTCCATCAAAGTACTAGAAATTATCTATTTCCAAATTTAGAAAAAACTGTACAATTTCTAAATAGATCATATAATTTGAATTACTTATTGAAATCAAACAATAACTGCTCCTTCATTTGAAAAAATAATTCAATGACTTGGCCATTAAATTGTAATAAATATCTAACTGATAGAACCATAAAGTGAATCATATAGATTGATTCTAATCAAAAGTTAAACAGGATCTTAAGAAGAACCATATTTCATGAATCTCCAAATATTTATAATTGAATCAGAAGAATAAGAAATAAATTTCTCACCACTTTTTTAAAAGAGTTAATCCATTTATTTTATTCAAAAATTTTTTATTATTTGTTTCAATCTTTTAAATGTAGAAATTACAAATATTAATTTCTCTATTTAAATTACTGAATGCTATATGAGTATTATCCTTTAAATCTAAAGTATTATTTAATTATTTTTCATTTACAATACGCTTCATTTTTATATCAAAATTATTTTGGTCTATAAAACCATTTTATTTATTAATAAATATTTGATACATTCGAACATCATCAATATTCCAAACAATTAATAATTTATCTGAACCAAAAGATACAAATTATCTACTATTGATTTCATTTATATAAATCTTTTGAAGATATATAATATTTTAGCAGTGACCAAAAAATGCTGAAATTTTTATTATGTACCTTCCAACATCCTTAATTGGCTGTCATTTTATGAACTAATAGCAAATAAATTATCTCAAATTGATAAAATACATGTTAATTAAGTTCCTATTGTAAATTTTTTAATTGGTTTTAATTAGAAACCAAATTGATTATATTTATTACTTATCTATATTTTTTGCTGCCATTTACAATTACAAATTGTTTTCTCCTGTCTAAATTTAAGATAATCCTTTATAACTAACAGAAGGAACATAATCTTGCTGATACAACATTATTTAATACAAATTCTACTTCATTCACTACTGAATCTAATATATTTGTTTATGGATTTTTAAGTTAATCATAATTTGGAAGAGAATTATTCATTTGTAATAAAAATCTTGCCAAAGTTTATAAATCAGTTAAAATTTAATATGATAGAACATTTCCTTATGAAAGTTATTTGCTTTTATTTAAATGACTTTGTAAATTTGATAAAAACGATTATGCATCAAAAATATTTAAAGATGCCATTTTTTATAAAAATGAATTCTAATTTGATTTATAAAATATCTTTTTAGACAACAGAAATAATTAATCAATGTTTGCTTTTAATGTGATACAGTATATGAAAGACTTTAATAGAATTTTTTCTACAATTTAATCTCAAAGCAATTAATAATTTAGATTATTGAAATAGATTAAATTAATAAAAGGAATTTTAATGAAATAATCACTAAAAGTTACTATTTTCTATTTTGAAGGATTATTTAAATTATTCATTAAAACTATTAAGTCTTTTCATGTTTTCATCTTTTATTGTTTAGATTACAACCATAATCTTTTCTTAAAGATTTGTAATATCAATAGCTAATTCAGTCTTATAATTATTAATAATTATATTACTTGTTTTCTATAAATCATTTCCTCAATTTTTTATAAATGAGCATATCCTTTTTCTAAAATTTCTAATAAATTTATATTTTCTATATTTTATAAATTGTTATAGTTAATAAAAGATTTGGAAATAAATAATTTAAGATTATTTAGATAAAATTGGAATTAGAAATTGATTATACATAATTTCCTAATAGAGAACAATGTTTTGAGTAGCTAATCTTAACATTTCTTGGCAAAATTGTGAGGCTTAAATAAGATAAAATAATTAAAAATGTATCAACATCAATAATCTTTGAAAGATGATAATTATAAAATAATTGTGAATCTTCTAGAGACTAAACGAATTTATGTATCATAATTAATATCAGAACAGACTTTGTTAATTAATTATTATATCAAAGTGTTTTTTTAGAGGTGGTAATATTAAAGGAGTATATAATATTTATATGCTAAAGAATCTTCCATATATGAATTAATTATTTATATAAAAATTTAATATTTTTAATAAAAGAAATAATCTTTACTAATAATATGTGCATTATATTGATAATCTCATGGTTAAAATTATTCATATGTTCTGCTGGATCTTGTTTAACCTATTGATGATGTAGTTGTTGTTCCTCCTGTTCTTGATACTACCTTTGAACTTGTTACTACAACTTCCTATAATAAATTAGAATTATTTATTTACTTTCTTTTATGCTTTTCTTAAGGCTTCCAATTCAGCTTAACACATAGTTAATTATTCTTAACATTCATTATAATCATGATTAACTTTAATAAATTTTTATTTCCAGACTTCCACTTCTGATGATAGATAAGTTACTTTTTCTTGAAAAACTGTTGAACCTTAAGATTCCAAATCAGCATATCTAAATTTCCAATCATCTAAATCTCCCTCTTTCACTTTTATTGTATACGATAATCTTTCAATTTCTGAAGAAAGCATTGCTACTTTCACCTAAATCTATTAATATATCTTACTTCCAAATTTCTTATTTTTTATATCAAATCTTCATTTTCCATTCTTAAATTTGTATTTTCCTATTATAATCTTCTAATCTTATCTTCATAGTCTCTAATTTATTATTCAAATTATATTCTCATATTAAAAAATTCTCTTTCTTTAGTTTCTAAATCATCAGCTTATGAACTCCTCAATTAAATTTCTCCTCTCATTGATTATAATTAAACAGTCAACTAATCATTCTCTAATCTTAATTATCTTAATTAAGACTCTAATAATTAAACTTTCGAGTTATCTGTTACTATTTTCTCTTTCTCTACAATTTTCTCTACTACTTAAACTTCCTTTCTCTTTTCCAATTCTGCAATTAAAGATTGTAAGTATTCACATTCTAATCTCCAAGGAGCTTCAATTTCTTCCTTTGAAACAACTATCACATTCATGCATAATTATTAAGCAGCCACACAATTTTATTATACTTAATAATTTCCTTAATATCCAATCTAAGGTATAGCCGCCATATTTGAAACGTAACTTTAACCTCCTACAAAACCTTATGTCTAAGTTCTCAATATTTATTGAGATTGCATTCTTGGATATTATTAAGCACTTCTCTGTTCTACTTCTACTGTTCTTGTCTAAAATAATTTTAAATAAAAACTATTTTACCTATACTTTTGGAGTCTCACGATTAATTATTTATTCCACTTTTTCTTAAGTTGTACTTCTAACATTATCCTTTGTCCCTGATGTATATTATCTAGAAGATGTTGATGTAAAATATTATCTATTTTAAAAATCGCTCATGATTTCAAAAGAAATATATTTTATTAATTTATAAATTTGAGTATATTATATTATGATCAATTCAAGCCCAAATAAATATTATTACAAATGTACAGATTTCTACTACTATACAGATCAATAATGCACAGTTTGAAGATTTAGCAATCAATTTAGTTAATTTATTATTTGTAGCCATCATCTAATTATTTGTCTTATCAACATCTATGTTTAATTAATCTAACTATCTATTTTATTCATTAATGGTTGTATTGATTTATTTTCCTTATTATTTCAATTAGTTTGCCTATTTAATTTCATATTTATCATACCTAATTATTAGCTCCATCCAATAACTAATCTTATTAAATTTATAAATCTTTTTAGTTTTTATGTAACTCTTAGTTATTCATTGCAGCTAACTTAGCCTCATCTCTTTAGAGATTCTACATTGCTACTTCTTATCTTGTGTCTTAAATAGCTTTATTAAATTAATCCTTAATTAAATCTCTCTAATTCTTTAATTCCTATATCTAATTCTTTCTTTTTTCATTCTCCTTCTACATTTAATTGTTCTCTTAATATTTAAGCACATCTGCTATCAAAACTAATTCACGATCTATTAATTTCTTTCTAAAACTACTTTACCCAAACTTGTTAATTGTCCTCTTATTTCCCCCTCAATCATAGTTATTTATTATCCAGCTTTTTATTTTTATTCTCTTTTATTCATATCAGATTTTATTGAAACAATAAGTTTCTAGATTCTTTCAATATCATTTTTGAATTGATCACTCATTGTATATAATAAAAATATATTTAAATTATTTTTATTACATATAGAATCTAATTAAAAATAACAAAAAAATCTTTTGTAATTTTATTCAATTTAAAAACATATATATCATTTATTGATATTTTAAAAATTTATAGTATTTTAGAACAAAAATAAAAACAAATAATTTGTTTTATAATTGATTCTTCATTTTATTGGTTTAATTTAAAATCAAATTTTTAATCTGATAATTTCTTAATAAATAATAGTGAATGTATATATAATAAATGAATAAGAGTTTATCAACTAAGATATTTTTATTATTCTAAAACATAGGTATGTTATTTGATTCTTTATTATGATTCAACTAAATAAAAATGTAATTCTTCAATATTTTCCTCTTTTTCATTTTAAAAATTTAATATTGCAGCTGTTTTCTTTGGGACTGTTGTTAATTCAGTAACAATAGATAATTTAGCTTGTTAATTGTTTCCACTCATCTATTGAAGAAGATCTCCCAAAAAATTAATACGATTAATTCTTTCAATTTTTTCATTGCTATGATTTAAAGAGTCATTACTTGGATTGAATTTAATTTTAGTTTGTTTATTAAACTACAGTATTAACAATTTCTTAAGGATGATAATTTTTAACTCGAAAGGATGGACTTTTTCTTAATTATGATGAGACAAACTATGATTGTTAATTCTAAATTGAGTTGGTATAATTAGTACCTTGATGAATTGGCCAACATTTGGTTGAATCTAAGTTTCAAAAGATATCTGTTAATACTTCAAATAATTGCATATTGCCTTAATTTGGTGTTAGATTGTTGTTTTATTATGTTGAACATCTATAATTAGATGCTGATTGTAATCTTGTTCCTTAAGAACTTTTGGCTCTATTTTAATCTACTACATTTATTCTTCTGGCATGCTTATTTGTATATGGGATATGACGGATAGAACAAATATTCATTTTAAATAAATTTATATATAAGTAGATGAAATTCATTTTTTTAACTTCTTCTCTATATTCTCTAACCATCGTTTATACTATTATTGCATTTCAACTTAAAAAAAATGAACTTCTTCTAAATTAGCATCTTTATTATCTTCTAATATTGTTTAATCTATATTATATTTTGGAACAGAAGTTGTTTAACTAGATGAAGATGGAGTTGCCATTATCTTTTTAATTGGTTATGTATGTCTAACTTATTATTATTCATCATCAGTCCCAAGTTAAAATTATAGTAATTCCATCGCACTTACTCTCTATTTGAAAGCCTGCCTTAAGATTCATACAACATATTCTTACAGAACTTTAAAAATTTGTTTATCTTCTAATATCATCTCTAGCTCCTGGAGTGATATGTCGATAATTCTTCATTCTAAATGAAGGACTTTTCCGCAACTGAGTTGAATTCATTGATGAATCTGATGGTTTAGACTATTCATCATCGTTAATTGCATTACCTTATCCTCATACATATCTATATTGCATCTCTCAAAATTAGTGGGTGTATACTAAATCTAAAAAAAACCTACTTTCTAAGAAGGAGTAATTTATGATGAATTTAAATCTGAATCCAACCTTCTCTTTACTTACACTTTAGGTCCCATACTTCCATTTCTTAATTGTACACGATTCATCTAACTATAAGGATTCATCTTAGTTAATCCTGTACTCATTTGTATATATGTATAATTAATTATATAATTTTATTGTCAGATAATTTGAATATCTATTCAACTTCCTGCTCCATCATTTCTTTCCCTTAAATATATAAATAATTTTCATAATTTTCACTTTTCATCTTACTTTCTCTACTATAGTCACTTTAATTCAAAATTTTAAGAAATTCCCTCTTTATCTAATGTTATTCTCCTTCCACAACTCTAAATTAGAAAACTCTCTTTAAAGTCTTTTAAACTCATTAGTTCATAAAGTTTGAGATTCGCCACTCTTTCAATATCTAATTTTCTCTAACTTATATAATTTGGTTTAATCTGAAAATTCAATTATATAGTTAATTACTAATTTAAACTTAAAATATCTGAAATACATTGTTGATAATATCTTTAAGAAAGATAATTATTATAAAATCATTATACGAAATTATCGAAAATGTCTAATACTTAATAAAGCTTCATATTTATTTATTTATCAATATGTAAATCAATATTTAAGTAAGTAAAATTTTGATACTATAATCTAGAAGAAATTAAATCTTTTTCTTAAGATTGAATGAAGACTAATGGAACAATTTATTTAATTTAGCATCTTATAAATTATGTTTTATATAATTTAATTGATTCCTACTTACTCTTAATTACAAAACAATTAATTTATTTATGAATATTTTTATAAAAATTATACAAAATCCTTTTTAGACAGTTTTCATTGATTTCTATTGTTATTTATGAGGGAAAATAAAACAAGATCAAATTTTGTTAGAAATAAAGTTAAACTCTACCATTTTTCTTTCAAAAGTAAAGATTTTCTATTAAATATAGACCATATTTTAAAAAGACTTGAAACATGTATTACAGTATTGATAGGGCATACTTAAGACAAGTTTGTAATTCATTATAGAAATTTTGTGATAGATTTGAATATTTAATATAATTTAAAAGAAAAGCTCTTAAACAAATTAGTTTGATAGTTAACCAATTTTTTTCGAAATTGGAAATGAAGAGCAAAACAAGAAAGGATTGACTTTTAGAGATCCAAAAAACAAGATTTTAACATAAGTCTAATATATCAATAAAACCAACTTTGTTAATAAAAATTCTAATATTTGAGTTAGTGTATTATATTAAGATTTGATTTTATTTATTACAATGAATGTCTTGAGTCCTAAAAAAGAAGACTAGCAAGTTGAGAATATGATGAGCATACCAAAATAGATTTGTTTATTCCCTCATCATAAGTATTTACTGGATTTATTAGACAAAATGACATATAATTAAGAAAGTAATAGGAGATAGTAGAAAAATTTTGGAAGGCCTTTCATAATTTGTAGATAGCATAAATTTAGCCCAATGTTAATGTTAAATATCCTTTTGTAATATAAATATCTTGTAACGATTTTGTGGTACATTCTATTTTTTACATAGGTTCATTTGGGAGATACACAGACAAATATAAATAATAAGTGTGAGTGTATCTTTCCTTTTACAAATTCTTTGATTCCATATCATAATACTTAAGGCAGTCCTATATATCCTAAGATGAAACTTCCAATTTACAAGAGAAGAGGGGTAAGTTCAATGTAGGATGAGAAGGAAACTAAAAATATACCTAAGAATTATTGTAAAAGCATTATAACTTTCGCATGCAAAAATAAAGATAATCTATGTTTTGAGATCTTAAAAGATTAACTGAAAGTTGTTAAATTTATAGATAAAATTTCTGAATATAAAAAAAAATTACTAAATATAAAGATTTTTAGTAGTTTATTATAAAAATCTGATGATATCGAAGAAGAAGAGTATAGAAGAGCATTCAGAATTATAAGGTATGATTTGTAGATGTATTAGTAGTTAAATTTTTATAAAGAAATAAGCTATAAGTTATATATTTAATTCAAAAATTATTCAACATAATTGGCATATGAGATATAGATATTAAGTATACAAGGGAGTAAAGAATCCAAATGGTTTCTCTCACATTAAAAATTTGTGAGGTAAGATGATGATTGATTATGTTATGTTATGGTTATATATATTATTTAATATAAATAACCATATTGTATGCCTAAGAAATTTTCAACAAATCCAAAGAAATTATTTAGATACTTATAATTATTAAAAACACTTAAGTTGCAAGAGAGAGAGGTTGAGAAAAAGGAAATTGTTAAGATCAAGAAGAAATAGAAAGAAAAAAGAATATTGGAAGGGACAGATAAAAATATTTTATCTAAATAGAAGAGATAGAGATGAAAAAAATATAGAGGAAGAGAATAAGAGAAGGAAATAAGAAATAAGAAGAAATGAAATAGTTATATGAAAGTGAGATGAATTCAATTGAATCAAGTAAAATATTTGAAAAATAATAATAGGGTGTAATAACTAAGAAAAAGTTAAAACTAGAGTAAAGATTGAAACAGAGTTTATAGAATATAGAGGTAGAAGATGAAAAAAGGAGGATGAAGAAGATTAAAAAGAATAAATAAAATATTAAGAAGATAATATAATTTCTTTGATAAAATTAATAACAATAATAAATAGATTTATAAAAACTTTAAGAAATTCGGGGTTCAGATTGAGAGATTTTAAATAAGTAAATTATTTATTTATTATACATTTAGACAATAGGAAAAAATTAGAATAATTGAATAACAAAATAAGATAAAGAAAAATACGAGCTAATTATAAATACTAATAAAATTGATTAATTTTTAGATGCTATGGATGGGAAAGGTTCTTAATAATTGGTAAATATTGAAAGATTATGATTGAAATTTAAAGTATATTTTAGTAAAAAATTAGGGAAAGTTCAAAAATGAAAATCCTTAAATAATGGAAATGATTTATAAATAGGTATAAATAATAAAAGCTAAGAATAAATGTAAAAATGATCCATAAAATTTTAAGAACTAATGATTTATAATATAGCATAAAGAAATTAGATTTATTTCTAATGAAATTTAGTGATATATGCTTACGTCATTCCTATTTAATGTAATTTAAAAAGTTGTGAAAATATACTCTAAATATATTATTAATAAATGGGATTATGTGAGAGTAAGGAGGCAGAACATATGAGTTCAGGTAGAATTGATAGTTTGATTAAATCTTCTCCTTCTTATAATAATTTAATAAGTTAAGATACCCATCCACGAAGCAGTCTTCCTTGTAAATATGAGACTGTGATAATACAAGATAATTTGAAAACTATTGCAGAGGAAAGTATAATACAATAAGATCGATAAATCTAATATTAATCTACAGCTCCATCTCCTTAAGCATCAATAGATAGAAAGGAAGTGTCTCAGTAGATTCCGTTGATGATATTAAACCCTGCTGGAACTTGGAGTTTATAGACCCATGCTATAAAACATGGAGGAATGTATGAAGTATCAGTTGGTATGGAATGTGTAGGAATGTATGAAGAATGGGAATTTGTTTTAAATCATGAGGGTCCTATTATAAATTAGGATAGATTTGTGGTAATTCAAAGTCCATATAAATTATTAGTTACGTCATTTGTTGACTGAAACCTTGTTGGTGGCTGAATAGAATCTATAAGGAGAGTATAAGGTGGGTTCTATAAGTAGTAAAACTATGAAAGATTAAGCTATTTGGCAAATCGAAATAGGAACAGATATTCTATGTGAAAATACATTTGTTAGTAAATTAATTTATTCTATGGTAGAATTACGTCATGGATTATCTAAATTGTACTTATCAAGAACCAATGAAAATGGCTCAATGGAGAATCATAGAAGAGTAGCACTAACTAAATTTGATCCGATCAATAGTTTTTGGTTAGTCAAATTAAAATGATACTTAATAAATCAAAATCACTTAAATTATAACAATATCTCTTCAACTTAATTCCTATATCATTACATACTCATTATTCTATTATTTTACACCTCAATGTTCTATTCAAGATTATTATATTATTTGACAATGATTTTCTTAGCTTCACTAAAATTCAATTCAATAAATAATTCATTCCAAAATCTAAAGTTACCAATTTTGAATTCGCTCTATTCATTACAATTAGATTTGTTACAATGAATGTATTTGCAACAACACTCATTTTCATTTAACATTCTCTTTCATAATTATTAATGTATTCTTAAACAAATTAATAGTCTTCTTATTATATTTTAATTATTTGAGTTTCTATAAGGCTTTTTTCTTATCTATTCTGAGCTTTTTATAAATAGTCTAGTATTTGATGATTTGTACATCATCTAATTATACAAATTCACTTAGATAATAAATTTATAATTTCTGAAAAATTAGATGATGAACAAATCATACTTGAAGAGAGAGCATTATTTGCTAAAATTCATAAAATTATTCCACATACATATCATGAATCTTTCTGTTACAGAATCAAAATTAGAGATGTCATCAATATTCCATCCAAAAAAGATTTTTAGCAATCTATAAGAATATTGTTAAATTTATATAATTAAATCATAAAAGAATGTTTTATATTCAGAAGTGTTGAGAATCTCTATAAGGTTGTGTATGATAAACAATTTTTATGATTTTTTAGAATATTTTGCAGAATTTGTAATTTATGAGAATAGTTTTTGTTAATCTTCTTATGCAAGATGTCTGGAATAAATTCAAGGAGTATTTATTAATCAGGGAATTGAATTTAAATATTTCGCAAAAAGTTCCTCCTATAAGTTAAGTCTTTGATACACAAGCTCAAAGGGACTAAATGAAAACTTCATTGCTAACAAATAAAACAATCAAGTCCTCTTAATATTTAAATCATCCATTCATTTTTATACTTTCCCCATCTTGTTGGAACTAGATATTTATTCAAAGAATAATAGATATAAGACATAACATGATATATTCATAGAGTTGGAGATATGCGAAAAGCCAGAAGTTTAAGTATTTATTGGTAATGATGAAAGGTTAAGAGTTAGTTATTAAGAATCACCTATATTTGAATATAGATATTTATTAATTTTTAAGATTCATTAATCATAATGTTTCTTTTTTGATTTTCCAATTTTCTGAGAAGTTGATGGCTATGTTTTTATTTAATTCTAGGATTTCTTAATCTAAGATTGGATTCAGTGTATCTGGTATTTTGATATTAAATAAATTTTCATTCAATTTTTCCAATATGTAATACAAAAGCAGGAGTTTTTTGGCAACGAGATTTAAAAATTTATCTTTTTTTGCTTAAAGAACTCTTTGGAATTTTTTTAGGCCCTCAAAAAGTTGATTTTCTTAAAAAGTATAAATAAATTGGAAATAAAATTTAACTTTTAGAATACCATCTATAATTTAATAAACACCTTATTATTATTTTACTTAAAAGGATTCTTTGCATCAATTATATTGAGAATAAAATTTATATAGTTTAAAAAAATAAAATTAAAAAGTGATTTATATATTTTTAAGATAATTTTTTATCCGAATATATATCTATCAATGATTCACTTGTGTGGTATAGATGCGATAAACATCATCAAAGGTATTAACTTCTTCTTATTTCAATTTTCTTTGTTCTTCATAGAATTGTTTAGCAGCATCAATATCCTTAAATAAAATAATAGTTTACTTTCAAAGCAACTTGATGAGCCACAGTAATTTATTTTAATCTAGCTCCACATAAGATTGAGGCTTATCTTCTGGTAGTTAATTAGTTGACTTATTTGACCTATGATTAAAATGGGGAATACCAAATATTCTTTTTCATATTAGATGGTTTTATCAAAGAATTGATTTTCCAATTCAACATGTAATTTAAAATCAATGAATCCTAAATTAGATCTGACTTCATCATTAGCTCCAGTTTCTAATGATCTTCTAGTATGATTTTCGATAGCATCTAATAATTTTCTGAATCCCTAAAGAATTAATTAAATATGAGTACTTGCCAATCATTAGGGAATTCTTCTTCTCCAGGTGGAATAATTGCTCCAGTGGGATGAGGACCATCAGGAGTAATAACAAAATGAGGTTCCTCATCAACATGATGATCTGGTTATTAATCATCAATTATTATTTCAGGATGATTATCATCATCCTCAGTATCTTCACCATCATCAACATCATCTCCATCATCATTATCATCATCAACATCAACATCTTCAGTATCATCAACATCATCATTAACATCTTCAACATCTTCACCATCATCTTCAACATCTTCACCATCATCTACATCATCATCAGTATCATCTACATCATCTACATCATCAACATCATCATCAGTATCATCAACATCTTCAACATCATTAGTTTCTTCCTTCTTTGGTGTAGTATCTTTATGTGTTGGCTTAGAAGTAGATCCTGATTTACCACCACTTGGAGTTGTACTTACTCCACCTCCATTTGTTATTTTTACATTAAGATCTCCTGAATCAGATGTTCCATCATCATTCTAAACTACTACTACTGTTCCAATCTAATCATCGCATCCTGGAATAAGAACAACTGCATTGTTTGCCTTATCATCATCATCATTAACTTAATCTAATTAAGTCAATGCTTTTGGTCTTATTCTTTGAATTAATGAAATTTCATCAAAAGTACCCTATTCAATCTCAGGGACTATTAAATCTGATTTATCATCAATCTTTTCCATTAAATTTACCAATTATCCACTACGATACAATTTTACAAATTTGCTAACTCTATCATGGAATTCTGTCACTTAAGCTAAAGATGCTCCACCTTCTAATTTTGTCAGTTCTTCTCTCAAAAACTTCACTAAGGCCAATGCATATCTAAAATTTCTTATGTCATTCACATAGTTATTTGTTAATGCGCATCTTCATATTTAAAATACTCTTACATGCTTGCTTCCAATACTCCAATTTTCTTTGTATTTGACTTTTATCTTCCAGTCATCCAATTTATAAAACTTTCACTTGCTAATATATCACTTTGCTTCTATGCTATATCATTTTCCTTGTTTTAGCATTCTGCTCTCTGATTCAACACAGATTGATTAAGAGAATCAGCAACACTTTATTTTTCACCGATTCTTCTTTGCCAAGCTAACTCTAATCCTTCTAATTCTAATTCAGCATTGTGCTTTAACTCAGCCAATAATTGTAGTACATTTTCTTCACTTGATGTACCTACTGCTATTGCTAGCACCAAAGCCAATATCACATACTTCATTTAATTAATTTATAAAAAAACGGATTAGAACTTCCCTTACTTTAATAGATTTTTTCTCTAAACAACTACTCTGGATTATTTTAGAAATTGATAAACAATCAAATCAATATATGATAACTGCTTTACTACATCAAATTATTCATAAATATACAACTTTATTATTCATACCCAATACTATATCCTTATACACTATCAACTTCATGTTTCAATTGTTTAATAAAGGTTTATTATTCATTCATTCAAAACATGATTTAAGATTCTCCATAAATATGATAACTCACCATTCTACTCAATATTTATATTTATGGATAAGCAATCTCCATTTTTAAGAGTCATTAAAACTACTCAAAAGGAACTCAGTTCCTTTACTTAGAAGCAAGAACCTTCTGCTAATCAAATGGAACAATATCAATAAAAATCGATAAAACAATTTTTGAACTCAAATAATAGCTTCAATAATAAAGCAAGAAATTCAATAATTATGAATAGTACGAATAGCAATTTTAAGAACTTTGATCCTAATTAAAACTAAGGAATTCTAATCAAGCACAAATTATAAAAAGATGATAATATTGATACAATTATGATGCTTGTCGTCTTAAAAAAGAGTTTATATGTTTAATTAAATCTAAATTATAAATGCTAGAGAAAACAAATATACTAAAACAAAGAAATATAGAACTTAAAACAATTTTATAGTCTATTACAAACTTGATTTAAAATGATTAATTTTTATATGATAAATTTGTAAATTAGTTTTTGGGATGTTAGCAAGACCTTATTAGGGCATCTTTCAAATTAATTGGACTAGATGGATCAATTGACTTAGAATTCTAGTTAACAAATACATACTTTTGAAACGGCCCAAAAAATTTACTTAAATTCATGCAAAAAATTAGTCAACATTTCCAAGGATGGCTTGATAGAGTAAAGTCAAGTATACTATAAAATGAAATACCTTAATAGAATTTTATTGACAAAAGATAGAAATACTAATAAGATTTAGAATAAACTGCCATCTCTATTAGAAACACATTTGATTAAGTTGAACTAGATAAATGTTATTTTTCCATCACTTTAGCTCATGGCTTATTTACAAGGTCCACTTTCCCATACATGCCTAATTATGTGAATAAGTTTTGTAAAAAGCCGAAAAATTTATCCAAACACATATATCAAGTATTATTAAAATATGAGCAACCAAAAGAAAATGAAATAAATGTTGCTAATTAATAAGTCATTATCTCTAACAATATATATAGTGTGACACTTGATTTTTATCAAGATGTTTTTTATCTTGTATCATTTTCCCCTAAGTAAGTTTCAATTCTATCAAAAATTTAACCATAAGTTATGTAATAATACTGTTCAAGATTTGCTGAATAATTACCAGATTTATAAAAAAAAGAGTGGTTTTTAGTTTATTTATGTTATTATTTTAATAACGCAATTAAATTTGTATAAGCTCAGGTTGCATTTCATAATTTAAGAGCATAAGGTAAACCTATTCCAATCTTAGAATAACATGACTCACAATCTGATGTATAATAATTTATTAAAATAGTTTGAAAATTAACTTCAAACATATGTAACTTATAAAAATACCAGAAAGTGTGCATAAAGTGAAATAATTATAAAGAGCAATGAAAATTATTATATATAGTTAACTGGACAATCAGATTCATTGGAAAATATTGAAATTTATTGGAATATAAATGATAATTTATTATAAAAGTTAGGTAGTTATTATTAGTTGTAAGCCCAAAAATAGGATTTAGGCAGAATAATTAAATTAAAAAATAGAGCATATCCAACTTATTTTAAATTAAATTCTTCATTGGATTAATATCATAATGAAGATTCATCAATAGATGAAATTTTCGAAATAACAAAATGTCATAATTATTTTAAAATGTTCCCATTCATTATTGCATCAGATTCCTCCTTATCTTCAATAGATATATGGTATGAATTGGGATCTTAGCTTCTAAAATTACCAATTACATATGAAGATGAAATTATATTAGAAAAGATGTTTCAGTATAATGAGGAACCTTGGGAATATTTAAGATGGGTAATTGTGAGAACTAGTGCACTTTAAATTAAAAGATCTATTGCATAAATAAAGATAGAAAATAAAGCAATTAAATTTTTATAAAAGTCCAAGCCAGATGACAAAATCTTTGTTTCAATTTTAAATTAGGAAGGATTTAGATGTCTGGATGAAATGATTCCACTTTAAACCATCTTTCCATCTTTTAATCAGATTGACTTTGTTTAAAGTAAATAGATTATTGAGGATAAATTAATAGATGCTAAATTCTCTTTAATTTCAGAAAAATATAATAACCATATATGAGTATATATATATACAAATAATTATTAATCAAGAATTATGAATTTCTGAATGGCGAATAAGTTGCATAATGTAAGGAAAGCTTTTTCCACAAATAGGACAAATTTCTAGGCCATTATCTTATTGAGGTTATTGTTATTTAGAGATTTATTGATGCTAATTATTGTTAGAAATGTCTTATATTTTTGGTTTTTAAATGTTTTATGTTTCTGGAATATTCTTGTATTATTTTCTTTCAGTCCATAATAAAGTTGGACATTTATGATCTTCTTTTTATCTATGTTTAAGACAAACAATCAGACCACAATCTTTACATTAGACACTATTTAAAGATGTTAATTTAATATTGCAGATTGAACAAAGCTTTTTCTCTTATGGTTATTAAGTGCATTCCTTTAAGAAATGTTATTCCCATATAATATTTTCATTTTGTTCTGATGTATAACTGATTCCTTTATTGCAAATTGGACAAATAATGGCTTACTTTTTAATTGTTTGTTTAGAGCATTCATGAGCCTCTGGTGTACGATGTTCAGAACAAAATGCACAATTACACAATTAACATGTAAATGGAAGAAAATCCTATTGCTTACAAATACTATAATTGCATCTTTTTCCTATGCTATAATCTAACATTTGAGATTAGTATTGATTATTAATATTAATTTATTATTTTTTTATCAACAACATGTTTTATCTTTCTTCTCTGGTTCTGATTTTAATGTGGAAGGTGTATTTATTACTTATTTCGGATTCTAGAAAAATGGCCCTAATTTTATTCCATAAACCTCATTTCAAGAAATTACTTACTTCTTATGTATAATCAATAGTTCTATTCTCAATCTTTACTAATATTCTTTAAGCTATCTCTTCAAATACTTTATCAATGTTCTATCCAGTCTTTGCAGATGTTTCCAAATAATTCATTTTATTTGCTTAAGCATATTCAAGAGCCTCTTTTGTAGAAACTTGACGTCTGTATAGAATAATATATTTTATACTCTGATTCTAAATCTAATTTATTCCCTACTAAACTAATCTCCACAAATTCATGTGTACAATCCAATATTTCATTGTACCATTTCATAACATTATAATATGTGTCTTTCTTTGTTAAATCAAACACTAAAACTACACCAATAGATCTAATATATTTTATTTATACCCTTTATAATAAGATCTTGTTATTGATCTAAAGCTCTCTTATCCAGCCTTTAAATCATATAAACAAATATACAGTGTCCCAAATTTAAATCTTTATTGACTTGTCATTGATTTTTAACAATTAACTTCCAAACTCTACTCCTATTGTAGTTTCATGGTCTTCATTAAATCTCTTCTCAGTATAATTTAATAATATGCATGATTTTCCAACGCTTGTATCTCCCACAATTATATATTTGAATAGAAAGTGATATTGATCCATCAAATTAATATGAATTATATTTAATAATATATTTCTATATCTAAAATCAAAAAATATGTTATTTCTAGTAGTGATCATTAATAAATCAGAGTATTTATATATAAAGGTATTTTAATTTTTGTGGCATTAATTCTTATTAAAATAAAAATGAGAGGTTTCAATTATAGAAGCTAATTAACTTTCTCTTATTCAAAATAAATAAATGAAATGAAATAGATACTTGAAAATGATGGATATAAATAGTTTGAAATAAATGAGTAATAAAATGTGATAAAATATTCAATTCCAAATGAAAGAGTGATTAGATTAGATAATTTGCTTTATCTTTTTGTAATTTTTTTAGAATATAGTTTAGAAAATCAAATATGTTAAAATTACAATAGCATAAATGATTTAATTATGTTTGCAGATTGTATATAAGTATAAGTAAATTTAATAGAATTCAATATAACATAATTATTTGCATAAAAATAGAATTTTATTATAATTAGTTTCTTAATAAGAAAGTTTATCTATATTACCAATCAAATTATATTATTAAATACATTTTATTGGATATGATTGTCCTTTCTATGAATAAAAAGATTATAAAAATTCTAAAATTAATGATAAAGATGCTATTAAATCTATTGTTGAAGAAATTTTAAAATACCTAGAACAATATTCAAAAAAAAAAGTGAAAAATAATCTTAAGTTTCAAACAATAATTTAAAATTTAAGATTATAAATCAATCAATCATTTGATTCATTTATTCAAGAAATTAATAAAATTTATAAAGAATATTCTAATTTGAATAATTAGAACTAAATGCTATAATCATTAGATAAAAAAATCGATAATCTGAATTTTAGAAGATATACTCGTAATTAAAATGTTTAAGAAAATTTATAAGCTCTAAAATAAAATTATTTTATTAATGATAGCTGGCATTTGTTTGAATTTTATTTATATAATACTTTACCATTAATTACTAAAGAATTTAGAAAAGGTGCTTATTATTCCCAATAAAAACCACCAAAAGATTTATAATTTATTAATTTTCAAAATTCACTTATGTTTTATGATAAGAAATTAATAAATGATGTAATTAATAAAGAAATTGAGAATGTTAATAAGTAATTTAAGTTTGAATGGGATTTACATACTATTTAAAAAGAAATAATAGAGATAATACTTTTAAAATTTTAATTCCTTCAATATTTCTTAAATGATATTCAATAAATGGATATAAATGATATTGAATAAATAAAAAACCAAATTGATTTAATAAAGGAGAATATAACAAAAGAAACGATTGAACAAGAAATTCAAAATTATTTAGAATTGATGATACTTCAAATGATTGATGAACTTATTTGAAATAATATTAGTTTTTTGATTCGAAAAAAAATAAAATAATTGAATTACAGATATTATTTTTAAAAATCTCGCATTTCCTGCCTTTTATATTACTTTTTAGACTCAGTTTTTATCATTCGACTTTTTTATGAACAGTAGATATTGTATATTCATATTTATTGCAAGAAATTTTTATATGCACTATTATTTATTAATAAAAATAATATCATTATATTTTAATATTAATTGCAATTATTAAATCCATATTATGAATTAATTATTTTTATCAAATAATTTACACTTTTTTTAATACTACATTAAATACTGATTTATAATTCTTTTGACTTTCATAATAAACTTATAAAATCTCTCTAACATTTAAATTTGAGTGAGTTTTCTTTACATATATTTTATAAGTTGACTTTTATTATTAAGCAATTTTACATAATGTGTCATATTTTTGTCAATTATCCTTTTAGTAGTAAATGCACATATTAATGTTAGATAGATTTGAGAGTTTATAAATTAAATTTTCCATTTAAATTTTATAAATTGGAGTTTAATTCTTAAATGAAAAATATTAATTTAGCTTGTTAATAGATTTATTTAAAATAATCTTTTATCAATCTCAAAATATGAATTGCAAATTGAGTCTTAAAATATTCTTATTCTTGGCAATTTGATTATAATTATATTTGGTAGAAGTTTACTCTTAATATTACATTATCAAATAGATTGATAAACCTTTTTAAGAATAAGCATAGATACATTGATTAATTACCCTATAAAATTGATATTTAAATATTTTCTTACTTTCCTTTGTGAGTTTAAAAAAATTAGAATATTAAATGTTTTTGGAATTTAATTACCAATTAAATGCCGGATTATATAGTAGTTTAAATATTTTTAATAATAAATTAAAAATTCTAATAAAATGTGATCATTTAGCAAATTTAAAGGATAATCCTTAAAAGAAAAACAATAATTTTGAAAAATCGAAAAATGTTTTCTTCATTAATTGCTATTCAATAATCATATATTAGCAAATTACTATATAACTAACATTAAGTTTTTTAATGTTATATGAAAATATATAGAATTAAAGTTGTTTATAATTATATTTCAAAAAATTATTACAAACCTTAATGAGAGGTTTCAATTATAGAAGCTAATTAACTTTCTCTTATTCAAAATAAATAAATGAAATGAAATAGATACTTGAAAATGATGGATATAAATAGTTTGAAATAAATGAGTAATAAAATGTGATAAAATATTCAATTCCAAATGAAAGAGTGATTAGATTAGATAATTTGCTTTATCTTTTTGTAATTTTTTTAGAATATAGTTAAGGAAATCAAATATGTTTAAATTACAATAGCATAAATGATTTAATTATGTTTGCAGATTGTATATAAGTATAAGTAAATTTAATAGAATTCAATATAACATAATTATTTGCATAAAAATAGAATTTTATTATAATTAGTTTCTTAATAAGAAAGTTTATCTATATTACCAATCAAATTATATTATTAAATACATTTTATTGGATATGATTGTCCTTTCTATGAATAAAAAGATTATAAAAATTCTAAAATTAATGATAAAGATGCTATTAAATCTATTGTTGAAGAAATTTTAAAATACCTAGAACAATATTCAAAAAAAAAAGTGAAAAATAAGATTAAGTTTCAAAAAATAATTTAAAATTTAAGATTATAAATCAATCAATCATTTGATTCATTTATTCAAGAAATTAATAAAATTTATTAAGAATATTCTAATTTGAATAATTAGAACTAAATGCTATAATCATTAGATAAACAATTCGATAGTCTGAATTTTAAAAGAAAAAATCGTAATTAAAATGTTTAAGAAAATTTATAAGCTCTAAAATAAAATTATTTTATTAATGATAGCTGGCATATATTTGAATTTTATTTATATAATACTTTACCATTAATTACTAAAGAATTTAGAAAAGGTGCTTATTATTCCCAATAAAAACCACCAAAAGATTTATAATTTATTAATTTTCAAAATTCACTTATGTTTTATGATAAGAAATTAATAAATGATGTAATTAATAAAGAAATTGAGAATGTTAATAAGTAATTTAAGTTTGAATGGGATTTACATACTATTTAAAAAGAAATAATAGAGATAATACTTTTAAAATTTTAATTCCTTCAATATTTCTAAAATGATATTCAATCAATTGATATAAATGATATCGAAACTAAAATAAACCAAATTAATTTAATAAAGGAGAATATAACAAAAGAAACGATTGAACAAGAAATTCAAAATTATTTAGAATTTAAGATACTTTGTTCTGTTGATGAATCTATTTGATTTACACATTATAATTAAAAATTTATAATGTTATTAAATAATAATATAAAATTAGATAAAATCATAAATAATATTTTATAATTATATTATTATTTTAATGAGCAATAATACATAATTATTACCATCTGAATGGGAATATCCAGAGTAAAATCCAGATTATAAAGGAAATGATTTAGATAAACGATTGGAATAGGGTCCAATAGAGGATAGAGGATGCACTGATTGTATATGGTGTATTCTATATTTAATAATGTGGGGATGTTTGATAGCAATAGGAGTAATCGCATTATCAAATGGTGATCCTGAAAGTTTATTTCAGCCATACGATAGTGTATTTATCTATATAATATAAAAGTAAGGTCAACAATGTGGAGTTAGTGAGAATTTTTAAAATTGTCCATATTCATATTTAATGAATACAACATAGATAGTTGATAATTAACCAGGAGATTTTGAATATTATTGTGTGACTGTTTGTCCTTCAAATGTGGATTAAGCAATAAATTATTGTTCAATTAATGGATCATAAGTATTAACAGCATCATATGGAACATATGCTTGTAAATATGGATATAGAATATTATATAGATATGTCTGTATGTTCGCCATATAAAAATGATCCTTTTTGGAATTTAACAAAGGATTTCTTTACTTTAACAGCAAGTGAAGCAGACTTTTAAGATATTGGTAAAACATGGGCAATATCTTTATTTGTTTGTGTTATAACATTAATATTGGCGTAAGAAATAATATAACAATATAAAAAATAGAAATTTTTTAATGTTTTTGGTGAAGTAATGTGCATCATGTTTAGTATGGGGTGTACTAATTTTATATTTTGGATTATTAATTATATTTGGTTTTTTATTTTATTATAGTGGTAAGGGTGACTTTTCAAATGCACATTTTGGGAATAGTCATGGATGGTGTTTAGCAATAGCAATAATATTTTGGAGTATAGCAGGGTATATAATTAATGTAAAAGATAGAATATCATTATTATTTTTGTTCTGTTTTTATAAGAGAATTTATTTAGCAATAGCAGTAATAAAAGCAGCAGCAGATTTTACTAGAGATGTATGGTAGGTAGTAATAGTACCATTATGTATATTTGGGGTGATGATAGGATTTTTAATATTTTGGATATATAGTACAACATATTTATTATCATATGGAACATCAATTTATTAATAACTAAGTCCATTTCCAACTATAGATTTAAATTCTGGAGTGATAGGAATGATAGTTGGTAATTCAATTGCATTCTATTGGAATTGTTAATTTGCAATGGCATTTAGTTAATATGTTGTAGCAAGTTGTTGTTGTATGTGGTATTTTCATCACATGGGAGTTAATTTACATCGTCCAGTATTTAAAAGTATAAAAAGAGGATTAATGCATCATAGTGGATCTTTAGCGTTGGGATCTTTGATTCTAACATTTGTTGCAATTTTAAGATTCATTTTTGATTTATTACATGTAAGAAACAATAAATATTATATCTTAGAAAATGTTTAAATAAGGAGTCTAATAAAATAAAGCAGCTACAGGTTGTTTAAAATGTTGGTTTGGGTATTATGGATGTATAATACATTGTTTTGAAAGATTTATTAGATATATAACATAAAATGCATATATAATGGTTGCTATGACAGGTAAATCATTTTGTAAATCTGCTCATGATGCATATTATTTGATTTTTAGACATAAAGCTGCTGTAGCAATTACTGATGGAATTGGTGAAATATTTAGTACTTTGTCAATACTATCTATTGGTGTAACAGCTACCTTTATTGGATTCATAATGATTACTCAAATTGATCATTATTCTATTATGATCTCATCTCCTGTACTACCTACAGTATTTTTTGCTTTCATCTCTTTAACATTATCTAGTGTTTTTATGAATGTATATGGAATGGGTATTGACACTATTTTGTTATGTTATATGGCAGATAAAGAGTTATTCTCAACTGCAAAATCAGTCCCTGTATCATTATAAGATTTTCTTCATAAGTATTAAAAATGAAATTTAATAATATTATATTTTTGTCATAATTTTTATGCAATCATAATCCTAATTATTTACGTAACCATCCAAAATTATGTTCAATTAATTAGATAATTTAATTGACAACTTCAATTTCCTTGGTAATATGTTATGATTGATGTTTTGTTTATTAAAATATATTATTGCACTCTTCCTTGATATCATTAACTTATTCTTGTTTTAACTAATATAAATTAATGGGTACATTAATTCTATGAATAATTTCGTTATATTCCAATTCTAATTATTTTACTTGGTGTTCTGTCTCTTCAATATTCTCCTAAATTTAATCCAAAAATATTATAACACTATCTAATTAAGATTAATATAATTAAATTAAATTTCTTGTTTGTTGTTCTTTCTCGTCAAAGTATTTATCTTCCAATGACATCATATCTGTTGTGAAATCAATCAAATCATTTAATAAGGGTTTTAAGCTTTATTAATCAATTTTCAGAGATAATGGATTTCTAAACTTAAGAATATAATAAATTTTACTTTTAATTGACATAATCATATCTCTTTTCTTGTAATTACATTGTTAACTTATGATATTATTATTTTTGCTAATTCTCTCTATTTTAGCAAATCTCAATATTTTTTATTAAGAGTTCCTTCTCTTTATTTTTCGTTGATTTCATATGCTCATATTATTCAATGTGAGGCTTATGTGCATATATCTCTTCTTTTACATCAAACTATTGATTATTTTCACATCTACTTTATTCTCGTTTAGCTTTACAATAAATTCTTCTAAGGATTCAACATTTTACATGCACTCATCCAATTTTTATTTTTAGAGTTTATTTGTATTGTTCCTTTACTTTAATAGTTTATCTGATAATTGATAAAGTAGTAATTTTTACCATTAATTCCATTCAATAATTACAATAAATCTCCAGTTGGTTCATCTGCTTAAATATGTAGTTAAACTGTTTCTAATAAAGTTGATCCCAATTCTGTTTCTCGCAACTATTCCAATTGAGCATATACAACTGATAAAAGTATTAAAATTATCATCTCTTGAAAAACGATATTAAAAATAATCTAATTTATATTTCCTTTATAATATAATCATCAACCACTTATCACTTTGCACTATTTTTAAATAACTCATAACTCAATTTTTAATATTAATATTATGAAATAAATAATTATTCTACTATTGTTAATCCTAATCATAAATTGTTTAGATATTCAAGCATGTTCATGTTTAAGTCTTTAGACATAATATGATTGTGAAAATTCAGTTACATTTTAAATTGCTAATCAAGACTTGTTTGATCTTAGATTTTGCCATTGGTAGTAAGGAAAATGTTTTGATATTCGAAAGGATATCAAAATTACTTGCAATTTTTAAGGATAAGAGAATTGTTTAAATCTACCTTAATGTGCTTGGTATAATAACAAATGTCAAACATTTACAAAATGTTCAGATTACATATATGATAAAAGTATTCTATCTACATCTTGTGAAAATAATTATTGTTTAGATAATGGCACAACATGTGCTTTTGATTTAATAGGTAGAGAGGAATAAAAATGTGAGGATATAGCTTAGGAAGAAATTTGCGTAAAACATTATTTGTTATATAAAAATACAATCTGTAATTGGAATGGAACTTAATGTGTTGGATAAATAATCTCATCATGTTCTGGTTTGAATCAAAAATAATGTATATAAGCTAATTCATAGTGTTCTTGGAAAAATAATACATGTGGCAAAAGAAAATGTGAAGACGGTTAATATTCTTATTCTTAGGATGAAGGAGTCAAACTATGTTCAAGTTTTTTAGATATTGAAACAAATTAAGTTATATATTGTTCATTAAATGAAGAGGGATAATGTATAATTTATGATCCTGTAGATTTAGATAGAAAAAACTGCCATGCATAATCATTTTAATAGTATGCATGGGATCCAAATAATTAAGAATGTAAAAAATGTATCTGATAACATTTATAAATATAAATAATACATATAATTATTATTTTATTTCCTTTTTGATGATTATTTTTAAACATTTATTTCTAAATTTTTATTCATATATTCAAATATACTATTTATAGAAAAAATTATTAATGAAATTCATTACAAAAAAATACTTTTCCAACAGCTTCATAGATTAAAATATATCTTCTTTAAAAATATTCAGTATGAATAAATTCTTTAAGACTTTATATTTTTTTAAATAAAAATAAATTTTTCAAAGAATTTTTTCTTTTTGAATTATTTCCACAATGTATCTATAATTTTGTTTATTATTTCAAATTTTTTACAATTATATTCACACTATGCTATTTCTCTATGCCTAATTAACATTAATAATTATTATTTCAATAAAATTTGGTTTCATAACTTCTAAGTTGAAATCCCTTCTTAAGTACCTTACCAACCTTTAAATTTTTGACTACACTTATCATTATAAACATTTTTTAAATCAGTTTTTATAATGTCACATTACTACTGATTAAATTTTACGACGACCATTATAAATTTCTAGAATGAAACAGATGAGCTATTATTTTTTCGTTTCTAAATTCATAAATAAATATTAATAGTCTTTAAATACTCTTGAGGGAATTTAATAAGTAAAATAATTGTAAGCATTTTGTTTTATCATGTTATATAAATATATTTTAAGTTAAGAATATTAATTGTTTTATTTTAATTTGCTTGAATAAAGTCAAATTATAGTATCTATTCTTTAAATATTGAGAGTAAATAGCAATTTATTATGTTATAAATACTTTTATGAAACCATTATTTATGTTTTGATTTTTAAATAATTGTTTTTTTTACTCAAAAATAAATAAAATAAAAATATAAATAATTATATTATATTTGTGTTAGCTTTTACGTTTCAATTAAATTTTATTTAAAACTGTATATAATGTTAAATATATGAAGAAAGAACTCAAACAAATTTCATACAGTTCCCAATAATAGAGGTAAAAGTTAAAAACAAATTTTGAATCTTCTATTTAGCCTCAGGAAAGAGAACGCTGTTTTCAATAAGAGCTGTCATTCTTTATTCCTCAGGCCACATTTTAATAATTTTTCTTCCCATAACTCTTTTTTCTTTATCCTTAATTGCAAGTTCTTCTTCAATTTCTCTTGGTATTATTGAAGCTTCTGAATCTTTAAGACTTTTATAATAACGATTTTTAAGCATGTTCATTGTTTTTCCAGGAAAGTATTTAGTTATTTTTTAAAATTTAGGACCTAATTTCTTCACTAATAACAGAAGGATTCTATCTTCTTCTGGTGAAAAGATTGAATTAGAGGCTTTAACCTTAGAATCTAAATAATTTTTTTGTTTTTCTTTTATATATTTATATAAAGCACTGCTACGATCCTTATCTCCAAAGAGAATTGGCTTTCTTCTTTATCTAGATTTTTTAGGCTTGAATCTAGGTAAATTAGGTATTGTTTCTGAACTTTAAGCTACCTAATTCATTAATTATAGTGATTCTGTTTATATTTAGCAATCTTCAATCAAAGAAGAATCCTCTTGATGTTGTTCAAGGCAAATCATTTAATTTAATTATTAAAATAAATGGGTAAATATCTTTATTTATATAGTACTAAAGAATACTTCGTGTTTTAAATCTTTTGAAACCGTTATATTTTATAAATTCTTTCCACTACTCTCTGATTTTTTTCAATGAAATTCTTTATTTATATTTTAAATTACTAGACCCATTGTATTTATTAATTTTTTTATACTGAGAAGTGTTTTTAATATAAAACTATTTTCTAGAACTCTCTTATTGGTTCTATTAAATAAACAAAATGATCTTAGTTTAAAATGCTTCAAGTTTAAATCTCATTAAAAATTAACTATTATCTCATGATTTTCAATCATATGAATAAATTTAGTTCTAAATTTTTTATAGAATACATATAAAAAAAAGCATTACAGGAGTAAAACCTTTTAAATCATAATGAGATTATAAAAATATTAAGAAATTCCAAAAAACAGTTAATAGCTTGAAAACATAGAAACATAACAAAAACTGATATAAAAAAAAATAAGATAATATTTTATAATGCGAGATTATCAGATTATAAGGATGAAGATATAATTAATTAAAATTTATATAATAAGAATAACTCATTCTTGAAATATTATATCACATATTCTTAATTTATATTCTCTAGATTAATTTTTTGTTAAAATGATGAAAATTTTATTTTTCATTTTTCAAGTGAATAATTAACAATCTAGTATTTTCAACTAAATTATTTTTCTGCTAAGTATTTGAAAATAAAAGTCTTCAAAATTGAATTGAAAAAGCATATTCTCACCATTATTATATTATTATATTATTGTTAACTTAAATAAACTTTTTTTTGATGAGAGACATATAGAAAGTTTTATAGATCTATTTTTAGATAAAACTATTTTTAAATAAATCTTAAATAATTCCAATTAAACATTTTAAAGCTATTTATAGTTGTAAAACGTAATGATAATATGTTGCAGATTATTTAGTAGAGTTTCTACGTATAATTACCTTTTATTTTTAGACTTTTGATAATTTTTTAATAAAATGTATATTAAATCATTTTAATTTTATGCAATTGCTAACTAATTGCTAAAATGAAGATAAAAATGTGTGTAATATTTCTTTAGCTTCAGGAAAGAGAGGACTTTTTTCAATTACGGAGCTCATTTATTTATGTTAAGGCCATATTTTAAGAATTTGCCTGCCAATTATTCTAGATTCATTTTTGTTTGAAAGTAACTCTTCTTCTAGGTCTTTTGGAATTTCTTACGATTCATTATTACGTAGTGACTTGTAATATCTATTTTTAATCATATTCACAGTTTTTCCTGAAAAGTACCTTGTTATTTTGTTAAATTTGGGTCCTAACTTTTTTACAAGCAAAAAGAGAATTCTGTCTTCTTCGGCTGAAAATTGAGAAATCTAAGCTCTTGGTTTATAATTAAGGAAAGACTCCTGCTTTTCCCTAATATATTTATATATGGCACTGCTTCTATCCTTTTATCCATATTAGATTTTCTTTCTTCTTTACTTAATTTGTTTTGATTTAAAGATTCCTTCATCTTAAGAAGAAGTTGTTTAAAATTATTGCTCTTTTTAATGAGAGCTTTCTTCCTCGTTTGAATGTGATTTTCGATTAGAAAACTAAAAACTTTAAGAAATCATTTTTTTTAAATATTGTTTATCCTCTAAACTAAGATTTCGATTTAAAAAAAAATAAACATTTGAGACTCAACTTTCAATATTTATTTAATTAATTGTGCATATATTCAATATAGTGAATAAATTATATGTTGAACCAAGAATCTTAGTTTTAAGTAAAGTTCAATTCCTTATAATTAAGAATAAAAAGAAATAAATAAAATTTGAATCTGACTCAATAAACTGTCTATTATAAACTATTATTAATTTATGACTATTAAAAGACAATTACCTCAAAAATTCACTTAATAAAACTATCATAAACCTTAGTAATTTTTATCCTGAATACAATATCAACAATATTTGCATATATTTGATTTGTTATAAATAATTTATTTTTAAATTTGTTTAATATCTAAATTATTAAAATTGTGAATTAATTTTTTCTGCTCTATCTCTATAGACTTTATAGTTATTTTTTCTCACTCTAAAATAATTTTTTAAAATTAATCAGAACCTTATTTTTAATTTTTATATTACTTTTGAATATGTTTCCTCTTAGTCCTTATTGATAACAGTAAGAATATAGATAATAAAATTGTCAACATCACAATCAAGAACTTAGCTTTATTAGTTTATCAAATTCTGATGTATTAACTTTGTAAGTTCATAAAATTATTATTCTGTAGACATTATTAATTTAATATAAATTTCATAATTCATTATAATCAAAACTCGAATCTCAATAATGACTTTTTTACAATAAAATAATTGGATGATTATATAAAGGAGAAGTTATTAAGATGAAAAGTTGAATTTTATGCTCTATAAATTTATTTTTATATTATAATATATAGAAACCGAACAGGATGTTTGTATAGAATATTTTAATACAGTCATTTGACTCCAATAAAAACTAATATTAATTATATAATATAGTATTTTTGTGAAGTTCTTTTTAAATTATATATAGTTGAAAAAATTAATTATATTCTTTTCTTTGACAAAGCCATTATTTTTATTCTTTCAGATAAATGTGCCACCATTGTAAAATTTCAGATCCATTCTTATTATTTTTATCAGATATTAATCTTTAATTAATTATATTATATTGTATAAATGATAATCTATGAAAATAATCAAGTTTTCTTATAAAAAAGTATAAATAAAGGCAAAATCTTTGGGAAAATTAAATAAAAATAAAAATTAGAAGTTCAGTTTTTGAATTAAAAATTTAGAGATAAAGACAAATTGATATTAATTTATTAAAAATATTAAAAATGGAAAATAAATAATAATGAAAGATAAAAATTAAGTAAAGAGGAGAAAAGGATGAAATAAAAGATCATAAAAAATAAGATTAGAAGAAAATGAGTTATTATTTGAGAGAATTCTAAGTAATGTTGGTTTAATATATCTAAATGATAATTAATATTTTTAGAATATGTTAAAAAATGATTTAATTTGTTATAATTTTATAATAAAATAGATTCAGGAGGAGCAAATACGTTTTTAGTAGAACCAAAGGATGAAGAAAAGTAAAATAGTGTATAAATTTCTTTTAGATTTTATCCTTCTAAGGTTAGAAAAGTGATTTAGGAGATTATAGATGATAAATTAAAAGATGAAACTAATGATGCAAACAATACTCCAATATTGGCAGAAGAATTAGTAAAAAGAATAAGAAGTAAAGTTAGAGATTGTATTGAAATTGAATTGATTATATAAATAGCCACAAAAATGCCTAGATTTAAAATAGCAATATAAGTAATAATAGGTGAGGTTAAAGGATAAGGATGTAAAGTTACATCAAAGAATCTATGGGATCCTGCATGGGATAATTATGCATCTTACTGCTTTTAAAATGTAAATTCAAATAAATTAAAAAGGAAACAATTTATGGGGTGGCAATAGTTTTTGGTGTTTATTATGAATGAGATTTTGAATTTAAATTTGAGATATATGAAAAATTAAATTTTTTAAAAGAATAATTACATAGTTAAATTTGANTATTCTTTTCTTTGACAAAGCCATTATTTTTATTCTTTCAGATAAATGTGCCACCATTGTAAAATTTCAGATCCATTCTTATTATTTTTATCAGATATTAATCTTTAATTAATTATATTATATTGTATAAATGATAATCTATGAAAATAATCAAGTTTTCTTATAAAAAAGTATAAATAAAGGCAAAATCTTTGGGAAAATTAAATAAAAATAAAAATTAGAAGTTCAGTTTTTGAATTAAAAATTTAGAGATAAAGACAAATTGATATTAATTTATTAAAAATATTAAAAATGGAAAATAAATAATAATGAAAGATAAAAATTAAGTAAAGAGGAGAAAAGGATGAAATAAAAGATCATAAAAAATAAGATTAGAAGAAAATGAGTTATTATTTGAGAGAATTCTAAGTAATGTTGGTTTAATATATCTAAATGATAATTAATATTTTTAGAATATGTTAAAAAATGATTTAATTTGTTATAATTTTATAATAAAATAGATTCAGGAGGAGCAAATACGTTTTTAGTAGAACCAAAGGATGAAGAAAAGTAAAATAGTGTATAAATTTCTTTTAGATTTTATCCTTCTAAGGTTAGAAAAGTGATTTAGGAGATTATAGATGATAAATTAAAAGATGAAACTAATGATGCAAACAATACTCCAATATTGGCAGAAGAATTAGTAAAAAGAATAAGAAGTAAAGTTAGAGATTGTATTGAAATTGAATTGATTATATAAATAGCCACAAAAATGCCTAGATTTAAAATAGCAATATAAGTAATAATAGGTGAGGTTAAAGGATAAGGATGTAAAGTTACATCAAAGAATCTATGGGATCCTGCATGGGATAATTATGCATCTTACTGCTTTTAAAATGTAAATTCAAATAAATTAAAAAGGAAACAATTTATGGGGTGGCAATAGTTTTTGGTGTTTATTATGAATGAGATTTTGAATTTAAATTTGAGATATATGAAAAATTAAATTTTTTAAAAGAATAATTACATAGTTAAATTTGAGATATATGAAAAATTAAATTTTTTAAAAGAATAATTACATAGAGTAAAATATTAAAAATAAATGTAATAATTTATAATAATATATTAAAGAAATGAGCAATATTAATAGAATGATATTAAATATATTCTTGAGATGCCATCTTCGTATAGTGGTTAGTACTTAGCGTTGTGGCCGCTAAAGCCCAGGTTCAATTCCTGGAGGTGGCACTTTTTTTATTTAAATTTAATATTTAGATTTTATTATAAAAATATGAAATAAATAAAGAGGTTATGTAAATAAATTATAAAACATAAATATTTTTGAGAATATTAGATTTCTATTTAATAATAATATTATATATAAATAGATAATAATAATGATTTTTTTAGTTAGAAATGAGATTAAAGAATTATTTATATTAAAAATGAGATAATAATATTAATTAATAAATGATTATAGTTAAATTTAAAGTTTCATAATATATAAATAATTTAATTTATTTAAGGTTAATAAGAGATAATGAATAATAAAAAATCACTGAATGTTATAATAAATTATTTATTAATAAATATATTAAAATTTAAAATGCCAAGAAGAAGTGGATCATCCTCAAGATCAACAGCAAGTCCATCTAGAAGTACAGCTACAGCTGCTAGACCAGCTCCTTAAGTTTAAACTCCATCATAAGCACCAGCTAAATCAGGAGGTATGTTTTCAGGACTTGGATCAACTTTAATGTCAGGAATGGCATTTGGTGCAGGATCTGAAGTAGCTCATTAAGCTATAAGATCAGTTATGGGAGGATCAAGTATAATTTAACCATTATTTCAATCCTAGGTCATTCTTAACCTTCTGAATAACAAACTTAACAATAAGCTCCCTAATAATAATAATAAATTTGTTAAAGTGAAAGTTAAATGTTTTCTAATGTAACATTTCATCTTATTTATTAGTGTTTACAAACCAATCAAGATATCACAAGATGTCAACCATATATGGATATTTTCAAAGAATGTTAGAAGAAATATAATTTATGATTATTTATTATTACATTAAATATAATATAATCATATCCTACACCTTTATTTTATATATCTCTATTAATTCAACTTGCAAATACTAATTAGATGATCATTCTTTAAACTAATTATTTTATTTCTAGAAAAAATACATTCATCCTTTAAAAAGGAACATTTTTAAAAACATAATTTAACTTATTTCTTATAAGATCTTAAAAATTTAGATTAAATTATGTTTAAATTTGAATTTATTATTTATATCAATATAAGAATAATAATAAAAGATAATAAATACAAAAGAACTATTAACAGTACAACTGCATTTTACAGCTTCCCCTTTTCTTTTAGGACAAATTTAATTATATTTATCACTATATTTTGGACATCTATTTTGCTAAATTATGCAATAAAAATTACATATTTCATAATCTGTATTTTCATCATCTTATTTACAATATTTAAATTATTCTGCACATAAGACAAATTTTGCTATACCTAAATAATCAGAATTAAGAGTTCCAATTGCTTTGTAATCTTCATAGAATTTTCTATAATTGGTTTTAGCCTAGTTTATTTTATTTAAATCGTTACTTTTTAATCATCAACTAATTAGTCATAATATTATTCACTATTATAAGTTTGCACAATAATTTTCAGATAAATTTATATTTATCGTCTTGTTCTACTTCATTATCATATAAGTTCCCACTCAATCCACTTTTCAATGAAATAATTCTTATTATCCATCTCTGAAACTGTAACATTAATCTTAATTTTATTATTTTTTCAAAATACAATATTTTTAACAATAACTGCATCGTAAGAATCAATAATTTCTTCCTTATTATTAATTTTTTACTAAGCTGAAATCACAGTGATCACCCAAATTATGCTTAATATTAATAAATACATTTATTAATTATTTATAGATTTATTAAATACCATTTCTGACATTTAGAAATATTTGTAGCTTATTTTATTTTTGCTTTTAATTATTGTTTTTTTCATTTTTTATCTGACTCTTCTTCCAATTTTTATTTTTAAATCTTTAAACTAATTAAATCAAATTTGTTCTTTATAAGACTTCTTCTGTGTATATTATTGGATATTTTCATTAATAATTTTTTCAAAATCTTACCTATGGGTGTTTGCTCATCGAAATCATCTGATAAAGAATTACAAAAAGCTTTATATCTCTAAAGGTTAAAAGAATTTAAAGCAAAATTTAAATAAAGCACAGCTGAGATAAATCAATTTAATATCGAATTTAGAGATGAACAAGATGATGATTAATTGAAAGCCAAGTTTAAAATCTCAGAAAATCCAATAGTTAAAAGAAGAAGCAAACAATAAAATGAAATTGGAATTCCTTAACTGACAGCTAAGAATATTGAAAATTGATTTATTATTATTTTAATCAAATCTTTTAAGCTTCTCAATAAAAGCAAAAGAATTTATATTTATGTTTAACATTAATGAATTTTTCCTAAAAATACTTTAAGTACTTAAAATAGAATAACAAAGATTACAACTTAAAAAAAGAAGAGAATTTAAGTTTATGTATTTAAAGTGTTTCTTAATGTAAAATATTGATTATGAAAAAATAGTTTTAATATAAATATATAATAATTCAATTTAAAATTTTAATTAAAAGAAATGCTGGAATAACATGAATAAATTAGTAATTGAATTCAAATGTATTGGAAAAAAATGTAACACAATAGTATTTCATTTTGAAGTTAAATTTGCAATAATAAGATCAAACTCCATTCCTTCAAAAACAGTATCACCTTTGATATCCATAAGAGCTATTTTGACATGTAATTTACAAGGAGTCAAAGGGGCCTTTATTAATAATTTAATATAATCTTTTTCTAGAAAAATATAATAAAAACTTACAGTCTTTTTAAAGATTAATATTATCTGATTTAACTTCAATTATATTTGGCATACTAGATGATATTTTATAATTGATTGCTTCTTCCTTTAGATTTAAATAAAGAATTTTTTTATTAATAACAGCACCTTTATTAATGGTTAATTCATAGTTTCTATTTTCAAAAAGCATAATAGAATATAAATACTTAACATTGATATATGCCCAAGATTTCAAAATGAAATCCCATTCTGGGTTTTGTAAGTCTAAAACAGTTGGAATATTTAATGTTGCTTTTCTATGTTGTGATCTCATTTAAGAAATGAATTTAATTAATTTATTTATTTAAACAATTAATGAACCATTCTATAGACTATTATAATAAATAATAGTAAAAGTTATATGAATATATGGTTAGTTTAACTTAGAATGTAACTGGAGTAGAGAAAATTGTAAGTTTTATTTTTTTAATAAAAGTTTACAGATCTAATTAAATGTTTGTATTCATTTAGTTAAGAGATAAAAGTTGTTGGTGAAAAACTACATAATTAAATTAGTTATGGCAATGAACCTGATATTTTAGTTTGTTTATATTAATAAGTGAGTAATTACTTATTGAGATTATCATAAAATTGGGAATCTATTGCACTTAAACTAAAAGGTGAGATAGCTGAACCATATACACAATTTGTATTAAATTTTAGATAAACAAATCGAAATTTGAATACAGAATCAAAAAAATAAGTAACAGAAATTTGGGAAACTAGAAAAGAAATGTGTAAAGCCTAAGATGAATATTGGAAAATAATGAAACAATTTGAATTAAAAAATTAATAAGCATAAGAGATGATTGTTTTAATAGAAAAAAAAAGTGCTACAAGAGAAGATTTTCAGAAATAATTTACTAATTCTTTAAAATTGAAGGAATTAGCTGATGAATCTGAAAAAGATTATAAAAAGTTATTAGCAATAACTAATGAGAAGTGGAAATCATTTTATGAAGAATGGGATAATATTTTTGTAAATGTTGGATTAAATGAATAGAGTAGGTATCTAAATAAAATATTATACTATATAGAATACTGTTTACAAAACAAACTGTTAGTTCATTATTAAAATTATTACCTTTTGATTAAGATTTATCATAATTGGAAGAAAAGATAACAGATTTAGAATTGTAATTAAAAGAAGATCCAAAAATACCGATTCGTAAATTAATAGAAAAAAAAATGGAAATTAAAGATAGTAGACATTATTTAATATTATTAGCATGCAAGTAATAATTTGAAGAGTTTGTTAGTTATGAATAGTGGAAAAGAATTAATATAAATTCAGAACATAATAATCCAATTTAACAGATATAATAATCTTTATAAATAGTAGGAGATAGAATTTTAGAGGATGAGAAAAAAGTAATCGATAAATATCTTATTACATTATTCAATATTGATACTACTGATAAGAGTGAATTAATTATTAAAATTAAATAAATTTTATAGAAGTAAGCAGGCAGAAATTATTTTATTAATTAATTAATTAAATTACATTCTAAATCAATTGAGGAATAATAAACATGTAATTTATTGATAAATTAATTAGCATTTTATTTAACATTATCAAATGAGTAATTTTAAGAGTTTACATAAATAATAAGACATTGGTTAAATTATATAGAATTGAATGATTCATATGAATAAGAAGATATTTATGATTTATTACTAAAATCAATAAGAATAGTACGTAAAGATGGAAAGGATAGAATAAATTTAGCATCTTAATTATCAGATATAACACTATGGAAGAAAATAGATAAATGGATTTTATTATTTTAATTTATAAATGCTAAAAAAGTGGATGAGAAAAGAAAATAAATAGAATTATTGAAATAAGAAAATTAAAATAATATAGTTTAGAAAGGATTTAAAATGATAGGTTCAATATTTAAGAATTTAGGGACAGCTTAATAATCTTAATTTGAATTTAATGAGAGTGAAATATGTTATATGATTATGGAGGAAATTAATTTATTTTTGACTTCATTAAAATTATCATCTGATTTATCAACTGAAATAATAATATAAATAGCTTCATAATAGCCAATTGTTGATAAAGAACATGTTAAAAGATTATTTGAGAAATAAGAAGATCATAATAATACTTAATGGAAGAAATTATTTAGATCAGGAAAAATTTTATTGGCTCATAAATCTGAAAAATATGAAAGAAGAAATATGCATGAATATCAAAATAAGGTAGTATAAGTTTTTGGTACAGCAATGAAGTAATATTATTAAAAAATATAAATAATAGATTTTTAACAATTAATGATAAACCATGGTAATTACTTTTAATAAATAGTCAGTTTGCTAAGCATTTAAAACACAAAATAAAAAAGTTTTATTTAGCTAATGGATAGGTTTTATCAAGTGAGTAAACTCATTAATTAAGATTGTAATTAATAACTTAGACTTTATAATTAAAATAAATGAAAATAGATTATGTTGAAATGAAAACAAAAGTTGGATTAGAAATGGATATTAATTAATTACATGAAGAAACAATTAAATTAGATGTTTAGAGAAGTTTACATCTTCACAAAGATAAAATTAATTCTTCTGTACTCTAAAGTTTATTGAGAATATATGCATTCTATAATTAAGAAGTAGGATATTGTTAAGGTATGAATTATATTGCAGGATATCTATATTTAAACTTTTAAGATTAGGAAATTGCATACAAGGCTTTTGATAGGATGATGAATCTTTATTTTAAAGATCTTTATGTAAATGATTTCTCTAAACTTGTAATTTAATTATATTTTATAATAGAAAATTGGGTTTTATTAATTTGATAGATTATTACAAATCTTTTTACCTGAATTATCTTAACATCTTAAAGATTAGAAAATAGATCCATCTTATTATGTAGCTTCTTGGTTTATTACATTATATTCTAATGTATTTTAATATAGTCAAAGATCTGCTCTTTTAAATATTATTTGGGATATATTTTTAGCTGAAGAATGGAAAGGTATTATTTTTCATTATTTAAAATAGGTTTTTTCAAGTCTACTTTCTATATTCTTTGGTTGTTATAATAATAAATATTAAATTAAGAATTTGATGAAATTTTACATTTACTTGGATAATTGATAAGAAGTGAATTTTTCAGTATCGACAATGAAAAAGATTTGATTAAATTGATTTACAGTTATGACAAAACTGTCAAAGAAAATGAATCAATTAAGACAACTATTTTAAATAAGTTTAGAATTACAAATAGAATGTTAAAGAGTCTAGATTAAGAATATCACAGCTTTTAAATGAAACTAAATAAAAAATTGAGTTTATGTTTGAAAAAATGAAATGTACATAAAAATATTTATGAAAAAATAATAATTTATAAAGAGAACTAAATATAAGAGTTCCATCAATAAATTCAGTAATTGAATATTTAATACTATTCATCATTGTTAATGTTAAGTTCTTTTTTGGGATCGAAATTAGGATCTTTAGCTTTTTATCTAAAAATAATACATTTAATATAAAACCTTTATAGAAATTAGAGTTCAGTTTAATCATCTCTATTTATTGGATTTTTAGGTAAATCTGGATAAATAGATAAATCTAAAGATTTCTTTTAAACCCAATTAATATAATGAATTGTACAAAGAGTTCTGGAACCCCAAGGTCCTTTAGTAAAATTAGAAGCAAATCTTGCACCACAATATCTACACCAATCCTATATATAGAAATATAAAATATTACATTAAGGTATTTAGAATAATCAAAATATTTAACTGGTATAATACCTAATTCTTCATAAGTATATGGATGAATATCTTATTTTAATTTTTCTCTTTAAACTTTTTTTGATATCTTTTCCTGACTATTATTACTCATACTTGAATCTAAATTTCTTTTATCAGAATCATAATTTTCATACTTTCTTTGTTAGATTCTTCTTGTTCTAGCAGTAGTTCCAATGCTATTAAATTCTGATTTAAATAGCTTAGATTTCTTTTAATATCCAATTATAGGTATTTTGACAATCATACTTTATTCAATCTTTTCTTCTTTTGGTTTAACACATAAATCACAAATCATAATTTTTTTACCTATTTTTTGAGTTTTCATTTTAATATCAGATGGAGCACATTTGCTATGAAAAGATCTACAACATCTAACACAATGAATTAATGCAGTAGTCATATTAGTAGAATTAATTTTACAAAATACACATATATGAGAAGGACATCTAAATAAATCTGAATTAGTATCCAAAGTTTTTGATAAAGGATTAGCTAATATACAAGTTAAATGAAAATATCTATTACAATTAGCAGTTGAACATTTAGAAATAAATTATTTATTTTTACTTTTCTTAAAATTATCATCAAAAGGATCAAATTCAACTACTTAATTTTAAAGTTCTTCTTTTTATTTTTTATCTGGAGGATATGTTCCCTTCATTTTACATAATAAACAAATTACAAGATTATTTCTACAATCTGGACAAGAATATCTAATGTTTATTTTTTCTTTTAATTATTCATCACTCCAATTTAATTCAGGAAAAACATTATTATTAAGAAAATCTTAATTAGGACCTTCAATATTAATAAATTCTGATGTTTCCAATAACTCTCTACATGATTCATGAAATGCTCTTCTACAATGACCCATACAAAATACAGAACAATTTGATCTTTCACATACATAACATAATTTTTTAATTAATTCTTCCTTACTCTTTGATGCTAATCTTCTTGCATCTTCTCCTTAAACTTCTATATTTTTCTATTATTTTCTAACTAAATCTATATCTGTTATTTTTTTTATTCTTCTTGAAGGTTTGCTTAATTCATATATCCAATTCATAGCAAGTTCTCTATAATTTTTTGCATAATTAGATGAATTTATTTTATTCAACAATTCTATTAATATTTATTCATCATCAGTACTATAATTAGATTAACTTAATTTAGATTCTATTAATTAATTTACACAATCTCCAACTTCTTCAAGATATTTCTTTTATTCTTATAATGACATATGTAAATCAAAAATCTTACTTAATTTCAAACATCTACTTTCTGTACTTTTTAAGATCATTTTCCAAAAATTTGGATCTTATATATTTATTGATTTGTCTGTCTTCTCAGAAACAAATAATTATTTCGATACAGTATAACTACCATTAATTAATGAATATTTTGCAGTTCTTGAATTCTTTTCTAAGATTTCATCTATGTTTTTCTCTTAAAAACTATCCCCATTCTAATTATTATTTATCAAACCTATTATTCCATTTTTTAAAAGTACTTCCATATCTTATTTACTCATCTTTTTATCATTTTTATTACTTTTATAAGAATTTTCACATTATTTAAATTATCCATTCATAAAGATTGCTTAATCTAAACCTAATTTTTTTATTGCTCTTTCAAACATCTCAGCCTCATATGTATCTTTTGTAATTAATCTATAAACTGTAACCTCTTTTGATTATCCTATTCTATGAGCTCTTGCTGTTGCTTAAACATCATTTTGAGGATTCCAATCAGAATCATAAATGACAACTATTTCAGCAGCAGTTAAATTAATTCCTTATCCTCCTGCTTTTGTAGAAAGTAAAAAAACTTCTCTTTTTTTAGAAGGATCATTAAATCTGTCTATTGCATTTGATCTTTCTCTTGCTTTAATTTATCCATCAATTTTTTCATATTTGACTTATTTGAATTTTAAATACTCTTCCAATATTAGAAGCATCATAGTGAATTAAGAGAAGATTAACATCTTTTTACCTTCACTTCTAAATTTATTAAGTAATTTATCTAAAAGAATCATTTTACCAGAACTTTCAACTAATTTATTAATATAATCATTTTGAGTTTAACAACCTTTTTATAAATCATTTTAAATTTCTTAAATTAAAAATGGATGATTACAACATTTTCTAAGTTATATTTCAAGATTATTAAGAGATGCAGCATTAGCAGCCCATTATGAAAATCCTTATTCCAACATTGATTTATTACGATCATATAATGCTTTATAAATATGTTTTTAAATAGTAGTCATTTCAATATCTATGATTGTCTCTTAAAGTGGAGGAATCATTTATTCTACATCTTCTTTTTATCTTCTTAAAATATATGGTTTTAATAGAACATTTAATCTATCAACTTAATCCGATGTTTCTAATTAACCATAATCTCTTTTAAAATTTATAATATTTGAGAATTAATAAGGTTCAATAAAGTTCAATAAACTAAATAATTCTTCAGTATTATTTTAAATAGGTGTACCTGTTAACAGTAAAGTACGTTAACAAGAAAGTCTTTTTAGAGATTGTAAGATTCTAGCATTAGAGTTCTTAAGTCTATGTGCTTCATCTACAACTATATATTAGAATGGTATATTAATAAAAATATTTTGAAAATCTTACATAAATACTTCATAGCTTGTAATAAGAATTTAGAATTTATATATTTCTAATGCTGTTAATAGAATACCTTTCATACTAATATCAGTGTAAAAGAATTCATATTATCTACAAAGTGATCTACCAACAAGACTTTCTTAATCGTAATATAGTACAGCATTAAGATTTGTCCATTCTTCAACAGTTCTTTTCCAATGTTAAAGAGTTGATAAAGGAGCAATTATTAAAAATGGACCTCTATAATTTTCAAAATTATATAGATGATTTAAGAATGCGATTGTTTATATTGTTTTACCTAATCCCATTTCATCAGCTAAGATAACATTTCTATCTTCATACCATGCTCTAATTAACCAATTCAAACTATCAAGTTAATAATCTCTTAATAATCTTTTATCCTTATAAATTGTTTATGTTAGTTATGTATATTCATGAGGAGGTTTTTATTAATTAAGGAAATATAATTATTATTTAGTATGTTGAAGTTACATATTACTCAATTTCTTTTTTCTAATTCCTTAATCATTTTCTACTAAATTCTTATGATTTGAATGTTATTACATCATTAAATTCCGTGTTTCTTTATCCAGACTTCTATTAAATGATTTAAATTCTTAAATCTTTAATCTACAATCAATTAGAGATTCTGGTTCCCATGTAGCTTCTAAATAAGATAAATGTTTCCATTTAACAAAATAAAGTTTATCAGCTTCTTTTGATAAACTTTAGATTTCATCTTTAGTTAGTATTTCTATTTCATATGATGATACTTGTAGCCAATCCAAAGATTTTATTCCTGGATTCCAAGATTCGATATCTGGATCTACAGAATCCATTTATGATTGAAAATCTTACATTTCTAATTACATTTCTTAAGCAACATCTATATCTTTCGTTTAGAGGGATTTCTTTAAGTAATCTTCTAGATCAAAATCTTCTTGATTACAAATTTATAATTTAATATTAAGTTCTTGTTCTAAGATAATTTCTATATCCTATAGATTTGATTGAATTGTGTATTATTTATCTTCAATAATGTTTAAGACTTTATAGACTAGTTCATTGATTTTTTCTTTTTTTAATTCTGGCATGATATCAACTCTATGTTCATCATTGATTTTTTCTTTGTATGCTTTTTCATTGATATATCTTTATTATTATAATTTAGATTAATAATTTTCTTTAGCTTTATCATACCAAAGATTATATAGTATAATGGCACATTCTTTTAAAGTATTAATAATTTTATTCATTTCTGTTCCATCTATCCATTCTTAATTGGCATTTTTAAAGACTGATCCTAATTCATACCAGAATTCATCATAATTTTTGTAATATCCCAAATAAAGACGATTATTAATGGTTCCAAAATCAATTAGAGATTTACATTCTAATAAATATACACCATAATGAATTTGATCTCTTGTAAAATTGAGTAAATGAGACATAACTTTAGTAAGTGATTCTGGCCACTTTCCTATCATTTCTGATCCTTTTTTTGGATGAACAATAGGAAATATTTCTGTACATGATAATACACGATCAACTTCTTAAAAGGCAGGGTCAAAATATTAATCTTCCATAAAGTCATCTACTTCTTCTTATATTCGCTTTTAGAAAACTTTGTTAAATCTATTAATTTTCTGTTTGCCATTCTTTTCTTAAAGGATCTGAAGATATTGAATAAATTGAATATACTCTTTCTTCATCCAGCCATTCTGTATGTAAATAACTTCTATTCTTAAATTTTATCAGATATTTAATTAAGGCTGTGTCTTAGTCTATTTTTCTCCATAAAATTTGATCAATCTCTGGAACGAAAATCTGCTTCACTTCTGTTTCTATGATTGGTTCATTTATAGACTCTTCTTCCTCACTCATTGTACCTGCATAATTCTTTTTTATAGCTCTAGCTGATCTTCGTTCATTTGCAATCAAATTTTATTCCTATGCATAATTTTCATCCTCCATCTATTTGTACCTACTAATGATTCTAACATCAAATACCTTCTCTTTTATTTATCTCTTAATCTACCAGATTATCTATTACTTTGATCATTATCACTTTCTTAATCACTCATTTATTAAATAAAAAGGATCAAAAAGATAAAAAAATAAACTATATGATAAAATATGCATTTCTCTATTTGAATTATAGATTAATCCACTTAGATAGGCGGGTATTTAATTATTTGATGTAATCATTATATTTTATGTAAATATAATATTACATTCATTATTTGATGACTATTTCTTATTTTTTTAATAATTTTTATATGGATCCAAGTGCACATTGGAAAGATCTAAATAAAAAGTCTTACAAATTTCATCAATTTAATCCAATCACAGGTGAATAGAAAAACCTTGACTTTTTTTATTAACGCATAGCTATTGGAAAATGGGGTGGTCCATTAGCTGCTACAAAAAATTATAATTAAGTCATTCTTATGCGAACAGATGACATGCTAAAAGACTCTATTGTGTTCTTTTCTAATAATGGTAAGATCATATCAAAAGCTCAATATAAAGAAATTGATAAAGTATTTAAATTTCAATTATATAGATTGCATTATTTGATTTCCTTGAAGATGAATAATTATTATTACTTAAAGCCAATGGATCATATTATATTGTAGATCCTTTCAAAGGTACCAAAAAGGCATATGATTTAATGGATCAATTTAAATAATAGTAAATCCTAAAAGGTTTAATTGTTAATAATGGATTTGTACTTATGACAAATAATTTTGAATTCTTTTATATTCCTAATGCTTATGAGCCTTAAGTTCATAAATTAAAACCATCAAATCTTACTCAAGAACCAGAACATTGGTTAGTTATTCCACCTTAAAAAACTTAAAGTGGAAAAATGGAACTTTTAATTGCTAATCCTGATGGTGGAATTATACATATTATAGAAGATGAAAAATGGAAAATATATTATAACAAAGATAAAATTGTTAATGAAATTGATAAAAAATTACCAGATTTAAGAAATATTAAAATGATAAGTCTTTCATCAAATTATAAAAATCTAGCATTACTTTAGTTTATTAATTAAAGATGGGTTGTTTCATTCATTTCAGATTTCTTTGATTCTACTGATTGTAGATAAATACCTATTGATCTTAAGGAAGAAGATGTAAAAAAGGAAGAAACTGCAGAAAAAGATATTAGTAAAATAGAAAGACCAAGAAGAATGCTTTGGTGTGGAGATGATTGTGTTGTCTTTTAATTATAATAATATCTAGTCTTAGTTACTTAAGATTAATAATTGAAAGTTAAAATGAGTAATTCCCATTTTGCACTCAAATAAGAATATGATGGAATTAGAATATTAACTTAAAAAAAAAATGAAATCTTACGTAAATTACCTGAAGCATATGTTAATGTATTTTTACCACTTTCTCTTAAACCAGGAGCATAATTATATTCTGCATATGAATCATTTGAATAAAAGAATCCTATTGAAGATGATGAATTAAGATCAAAAAAAACTGAACTTGGAGAAGCAGTTAATGATTGTATTAAAAGTGGTTAATTTGAAATTAATCCTGAATTCTAGATGAAATTATTGAAAGCAGCTAGTTATGGAAAAACTTTCTTGGGAAATTAATTAATAGATCCTAATCTTTTAAATGAAACTTGTAAATATCTAAGAGTCTCTAATGCATTACGTAGAAATGGTGCAGTTGGTGGCAGAGTTGTAACATATGATTAAGTTTTGTAATTGATTAAAAATCCAGATCTTTTTATCACATTGTTGCTCAGATATAATTTACACTATTAAGCAATTGAAATTTCACGATTCTTAAAGTTTTAAATAAAATAAAAATCAACAATTTATACACATTGGGCATGTTGTAAAGTTGAAAGTCAATAGGATGATGATTAATTATGTTAAATTATAAAAGAAAAGATTAAGGAAGAAAAAGGAGTTTCATTTACATAGATTGCTTAAAAATCAATAGAAATAGGGAAATCTTAATTAGCTCTAAAACTTCTTGATAATGAATAGAGTTTATCAAAACGTATTCCAGTATTGATTTGGATGGCTAATTATTAACAAGGCAATAATAATTCATACTATGAGAAAGCTTTGATCGATGCAATTGCTTCTAAAGATTCAAATTTGATTTACCTTGTAATTATGAAGTTTTTGAAAACTGATATGGATGAAACTTATAAGTTTGGTATTCTATCATAAAATCCTATTGCCCAATCCCATTTAATATATTATTTAAGAAATTTTGATGATAAATATTTGTAGAAATATTTATAATATTTAAAAAAATTTGATGAATGTGGATTATTGGCAATTAATTAAGCTTATTAATAAAATAATTTAAATGAGAAAATCAGGTTTTTGGAATTTGCTTAGAAATTCTTTGAAGAAGAGAGCAAAGATTCATTTTATAGCAAAATATTACAAGAATAAATAAGAACATTAAATGATCTAAGATAGGAAGTAGAAAGAGAGAAAAAAGAAAAGAGTAAAATTATGATGGAAGAGAAACCATTAAATTCAATTATGGAAACATTTTTATCAAAAGATAATATATCATTGGCATAAGAATTTGCAAAGACATATAAAATTCCAGAAAGAAGGTAATAATTATAATTAAATATTATTATATTAGATTTAATATAACAAGAGTGAAATCATTAATAAACAACAAGAATTGGGAAGAATTAGAAAGATTTATAAATGAAAAGAATAAGAAGAATGTTTCTATTCCTTATGAATTAGTTGCAGATATGTTAATAAGAGCAGATTAGGAAGAGAGAGGTTTATAAATGATAATGAAAATGCCAGATCCAGAAGTATTAGATAATATTATTTAAAATTTTAGGAATCTTGTTATATGTTATTAAAAATTGGACAGTAACGTCATGCAGTTTAAGTTGCAATTAATAATAAAAAATCCCAGTTAATACAAGATATTAGATAATCTATAAATGATAATTAAGCGAAAGCATAACTTGAAATGTACTTAAGTTAAAATCATAAGTGATATAGATGGTTATGTATAAAAAAGAGAATAACATATATTAATGTTTAATTTATTTATTTTAATGGCATTTGAATAATTCTATGTTATTTTACTTTTCTTTCCTTTTTCTAATAAGTAAATTTATTTTAAGAATTTCACTAATGATATTTAACACTGAAAACTTAAATAAATAAAAGATAATCATTTTATTATAATTGTTAAATATTATGGCAAGAGATTAAACATTTAAATAATAACCTTCCCTTTTAAGAGTAACAAGCATTATTTCTTAGCCAGATGAGTCTTATAGGCCGCCATAGTTATAAAAATATACGTAAGAAAATAACATCATGTTTAGATCTTAATTAGATGATATAGCAAATGAATATGAATATAGACAAATACCATTTAGTAGATAAGTTTCAAACTTCTTTTTGTATGATCCTATTACTCCATTAGGAAGAAGAAGATCAATAACTTAATCATATAATCCTCCTTCACTTTAATAATTGCAATCTCAGATGTCATAAATAAATGATTTAAAATATAAATAAGAATCTAGATAAAGAAATATAGATTAAATATAATAAGAATAATCAGAATAAGAAGAAGAAAGAGAAAAAAAAAAGTAAAAAAAGTAATAATAGAATGTCAAAAGTTTGTAGATAAAAAATAAAATAAAAAAAAGAAATAGTGAATTAGAATAATAGCCATGCTTTTGTAAAAATAGTGGTTGTTTAAAAAGATATTGTAGATGTTTTCATAGTGGTAGAATGTGCTTAAAAGAATGTTAATGTATAGAAGGGTGTTTGAATAATGAAGATCATTTAGAATAACGTAATTAAGCTATAAAACATGTTAATGAAAAATGTCATAGAAATAAGAATGTTCCTAAAGAGGCTTTATTTAAACTTAAAGATAGTTTTGGTTGTAATTGTAAAAAGACAAGGTGTGTGACAGGTTATTGTGAATGTTTTTTGAGAAAATCTAAATGTTCTATGGATTGTTAATGTGAGAATTGTGAAAATGGTTTAGATGAAGCATATCTATTAAGTCAATAGAATCAAAAAAATTATAGATTTAAACGAAAATGAGCATAATTTATATATATTTATAAAATCGAATATATTTATATACATATATATATATAAATTATTGTATTAATGAAAAATAATTTATAAGCAAAGTAATCATTTGAGTTTATTATTAAAGGAAAAACAAAAGAAATATAACTGGAGGAGAAATACATTTAAATTAGATTGATGAAGCTGATAAAATTAATGAAGATGCTTCATAAGATTATGAAAGCAATTTAATAAAAGTTTTAGATTTGTAACCAGAGATCACTAAAATATTTATTGAAAGTATATTTTCATTATTATTTAATAGATCTAACAAATGGTAGTTTCATTGAGTTAAATGAATAAACTTTAAGAAGGAAAATTCAAATGATGGAAGAAAGCAGAAAGTAACAAATTCAAACTGAAAATGTATTGTTAGTCTTAAATAAATTAATTCATGAGGCTGTTAAATTGATAGATAGATTTATATTCTTTTTTTAAGGATTATTGGCAGGTAACCTATAAAATTAACAAGGGAATGACATTGATGCATGTATTCATCATATTTCTAGGATAAAGTACAGATTAAGAAGGATTAACAACATTCTTTAAATTATATGCTAAATATTGTTTAAGAGTAGATTAAGTTTTTCATATTATAATTTTAATCAGTGCTTTTGGTAGTTTATTTGTCTGTGTATAATTAAAAGATTAATAAGAAAAGACAAAGAATAATTTAGATAAAAAATTCTATATATAATCTATTATCAGTGCTTTATGTATCCCATTTAAATTAATATAGTTTATAATATTGCTTATTTATTGTGGGTGATAGGTCATAAGAATATAGTGGAATTATCAAGTGGAATCAATTAAGATCATACCAATACATAAGTATAAGCTGTTATTGATGGATCTGCATTATATAATTTTTGGACTTATACTCAAATAGCAATTACTATTCTTACAGTATTAGGTTGGTTTATCTCAGTTAATACAACTGAAAGTAATCTCAATTATTTAGCTTCAGTAGAAGCAGAGTATTAAATATATAATTATCATAAAGCCAAATATTTAGCGATGAAAATAAGAAAGAAAAATGATCAAACTATGATATATACAGAGGCTAAATATTGTATTTTTAATATTCAAATATTTATTTTTTAATTAAAAACATTTTTTAGTATTATCATTATATTTGATTAGAATTATATCTAAAAATATCGCTTTAATAATCTGCTATATATATAAGTTGTTTAAACTAATAATTTTGCATTTAAATTTTTAATCCTTTTTCCAAATCTTATTTATTATTATATATGATAGAGATGTTATTCTAAATATTATTCTATTTATTGGAAAGTTAAATTTTAATTAACAATCCTATTAAGTTATCTCCATAATTTTAATGAATATTTGAAATTGATTTAATATAATGTACTAATATTCTTCTTAGTAATTTCAATAATCTCATTAGATAATTATAAATATCAAATTATTTAAATAAATTATTGTTCTTGCAGTTAAGATTTAACTTAAATAAAATATAAATGATTAACTTTATGTTTACTAGAAGAATATAAAAATTCTATTCTATAATGAAATTAGATTTAATAAATAATTTATATTAATCAGTATTAAATGAAACTAAAGATAACACAAATAAACTTACTTTTCTTTACATGAGTCAGTACTCTTCAGATCTCTGTCTTCCTCTATTAGAATAAGAAAATAAATACTTTGTAACTACTCTAATTGATTCACAGCTTTGGACATTTCTTTTTTTAGATCTTAAACTATATTAGAAATATTATTCTATTTGTCATTAACTTTTCTAATGATGGAATCTATGGATACTATAATAATGAATTACCAAACTATTTTCCAGTATTAAATTAAGCTAAATCATTAGTTTAATATTCTGATTATCCAAAATAACTTTTAAATTTTTCTTCGAAATTCTAACAATAAATAGAAAATAATACAATAATTTTTTTTTTATCCTTATTTTCTAATTATTTTAATTCTTAGAATATGGCTAGATTTTCAAAAACTTAACTATCTTCTCTATCCATATTATTAATATGAGCAGTTAAGAAATCATCAGCAAATCTAACTTTTTTATCGTTAGAATTAAGAGCAAGTGATTTTTTATTATCTGAAAATAAGGGAGAATATTATTATTATTATTATTATTAATAATGAATAGTTTATGGTTATTATAATTAATGTTATTGTTATTATTATTATTATTATACTTAATAAAGTTATTCTTAAAGTTCTTAATTTTATTATTTTAATTTAGAAATTTATTATAAAAGTTCTCCTTGATTTCTTTTTTAAACAATGATTTCTAATTCTTCCCTCATTTATTTTTCTTTTTAATATTATTTTAATAATTCTTAATATTCTTCAAACGAAACTCCTTTAGGTTTATTAGTTTTTGGTTATTATANATTCTTCTTAGTAATTTCAATAATCTCATTAGATAATTATAAATATCAAATTATTTAAATAAATTATTGTTCTTGCAGTTAAGATTTAACTTAAATAAAATATAAATGATTAACTTTATGTTTACTAGAAGAATATAAAAATTCTATTCTATAATGAAATTAGATTTAATAAATAATTTATATTAATCAGTATTAAATGAAACTAAAGATAACACAAATAAACTTACTTTTCTTTACATGAGTCAGTACTCTTCAGATCTCTGTCTTCCTCTATTAGAATAAGAAAATAAATACTTTGTAACTACTCTAATTGATTCACAGCTTTGGACATTTCTTTTTTTAGATCTTAAACTATATTAGAAATATTATTCTATTTGTCATTAACTTTTCTAATGATGGAATCTATGGATACTATAATAATGAATTACCAAACTATTTTCCAGTATTAAATTAAGCTAAATCATTAGTTTAATATTCTGATTATCCAAAATAACTTTTAAATTTTTCTTCGAAATTCTAACAATAAATAGAAAATAATACAATAATTTTTTTTTTATCCTTATTTTCTAATTATTTTAATTCTTAGAATATGGCTAGATTTTCAAAAACTTAACTATCTTCTCTATCCATATTATTAATATGAGCAGTTAAGAAATCATCAGCAAATCTAACTTTTTTATCGTTAGAATTAAGAGCAAGTGATTTTTTATTATCTGAAAATAAGGGAGAATATTATTATTATTATTATTATTAATAATGAATAGTTTATGGTTATTATAATTAATGTTATTGTTATTATTATTATTATTATACTTAATAAAGTTATTCTTAAAGTTCTTAATTTTATTATTTTAATTTAGAAATTTATTATAAAAGTTCTCCTTGATTTCTTTTTTAAACAATGATTTCTAATTCTTCCCTCATTTATTTTTCTTTTTAATATTATTTTAATAATTCTTAATATTCTTCAAACGAAACTCCTTTAGGTTTATTAGTTTTTGGTTATTATAAATTTCTACCATCTAATACTGCTCTTTTAGCTCTATTAGCAAATTAAAGTGTAGAAAATGTTTCAGCACTAGAAGAAATAGAAGGTGAGACACAAACAATAAATAATATTTTGCCACTACCACTTAATGAATCACTAAGAACACGTGTTAATTTAGAATTTCTAAATGGAATATGTGTTCTATTTCTATCTATTAATGCAGATATACAATGACCTAAACAAGATAAACTTCCATTAATAGATGTTAACTCTTATATATGAAGTTCTTTTTCTTCAGGTGTTAAATCAGTTGGTATCTTAAACTTTTCAGATCCAGCTAAATCTACAATTTTAAGTGAAGATTCTTATAATACAGGTTCTCCATTTATAACAGTTACTTATTATAATGTCATTTAAAAACAACAATGAGATCTAGAACTCTTTGAATTAGCATGACTACATCCAACTACTCTATTTCTTAATCCTAATATTAAATATTCATAAGCAGTATCTATATCCATTATTCTTATTTAAGATAAATCTGGTATATTTACATCACCATTTTTATTTTCACGAATATCTAAACCTTGAGATTTTAGATTAAAGAGATCAAATATCTAGAGGATAATTAATAATAAATACTTTCTCATTATATATTTCATAGAATGATAAATAAAGTCGACATTAATCATCATCTATTTAAGTTTATAGTTAAGAAATTATTGATTGAACTGCTCTAGGTAGAATTCCTCTCTCATTACATCTAATAACTTGATGAAACTTTTCAGTTGAAACATTTGCTACATTCTCAGGTAATCCACCCATTATAGTATAAGTTTTACCAGCTCCTGTTTATCCATAAGCAAATATAGTATTATTTATTCCTTAAATAAAAGATTTTATTGATTCAGAAACCAATCGTTAAACATCTTATTAATTAGCTGATTTTGGAAGTATGTCACTAAATTTCATTCGAAGACTATTTCCAATCCTAGTCACTTTTATTGTATTATCATCAATCAACTATACAAAGTCTTCTTCATTTTCACTATTTAAAGTGGGTCTCACTCTAACTGCTATTCTTACCTTACTATTGTCATTTGGAATCTCTCTTTAATTAGGGCTTTTTGATTTATTCATTCGTTAATTAATTATATTATCAATCAAAACTATACTTTAAGCTATATTATTATATATATATATTATATCTATAATTTTAAATATAACATATATCTATCTTTATTTTTAAATTCTAACTATTTTTTATAACTTTTCTATTTTTGATTAAGACTTAAATAGTAATTCCTTTCTAAATATCTTTAAAATATGTGACTTTGATACTTATTTTCCATTCTTTAATTTAACTATAATATTAAAAAAATATTATTTATAACATAATACTTTAGTGTATTTACAATAATAGAATAAACATATTCCAATATACTTATATTCTACACAATTTTATCAACATATATATCAAAATAAAATCTAGTTTCCATCTTGAAACCAAAGAATTTATTATTTAATGAAATACATTCATTAATATTGAGCATCATCATTTTTATCTATTAATAATGCATTTATCGATTTTCTATGAGATTTGAGATGATATTTTATTCCTTTCATTAGAGAATTCATTTCAAATAACATTTACATTTCTTATTTTGGAAATAAACAATAAAACAATTGTGATGTATACTAAACATTAAATAAATTAACTGTTAGAAAAATAAATGGAATTGAAACAACTGAATAAATTTACTTAAGAATACAACTTAGAAAAGAATGACAAATTAATTAAATATCTTATTATTTTGGGTATAGATGTAGTAAAACAGTAACTAAATGATATCAATAATGAAGGAATAAAGTGCTTAGCTAGTATTTTCAATAGATAAATTAGATGCTTAAAAGGAGAAATCTATTCAATAAGAATTAAAAAGTTTACGCAAGAAAGTACTATCATTAGAGAAGCATTTTTAACCTGAGGAATAAATAAAATATCATAGTCAACCTAAATTATCATGCTCAAAATTAACTCCAAAAATTACAGAGTAAATACCAATATAATAAAATGTTAAAAAAGCAATGCCATTCAAACATCATTTAGATGATTCAGAAATGTAAAATGCTCTATAAATATATTAAGTAAATCAATATTATGGCAATACGAGAATAATGATTCACAACATTAACGATAAAGAAAATAGAGAATTGATTAATAACCAATTATACCACAATGTCTTCCTAAAAATACTATTGTATAAGATGAAATTGCTCCTCTCTCTTAAAGAGAAAATAGTGCTAGATAATAAACATAAAGATCTTCATATCATTCTAGTTAAGTTGAAAGTTTACATAGCAGAAACTCACCTTAATTTAAAGATGAAACTAAGAAAATACAAAAGGAGAATAAAAGTTAATAAGGAAGTAGTGTGCCAAAACATCTTAGATAAGTAAAATCAAAAATAAAGAAATAAATATAATAAGATAAAGAACAATATCGATCTAATCATATTGCAAAAGAAGAAGATTAAGGAATAAACTTATTAAATAGCTCTTTAAATCCATTTAATAATACACCTTAAAATAAATTATTTTAACCTTGTTAATCTACTCATTTTGGAAGTGGATAAGTATGTAGTATAAAATAATAACAAAATCAACCCTAAGAATCAAATCATATAACAGATAAAAAAATAATAAATATTGATGAAATTGCATCCTCATTTTTGAATTCTCCTTTTATGAAAAGTCAAATAAAGCAAAGATTATTTATTAATAAATAAGAATCAGCTTCATAATCATCAGCGTCTAGCACTTTTACAGTGTTCAATCCAAATAATGAACTCAAAAGTATATATATAATACTAATCAAGATTTCTTTTAATAGTTAGATAGATAAGTAGGTAACTCGTTATCTTTTTAATTTTGAAAAGTAATAATATGTACAACTTATTATATAACTAATGCTTAAACTCATAAATCAGATTGGGTCTTGTAGTGTAGCGGTTATCACAAAGGATTCTGACTCCTTTAACCCAGGTTCGAGTCCTGGTAAGACCTTAATTTTTTTAATATGTTAATTAATTTTTTAAATTATTCAATTCTTCACTCTTAAATTACCTAAATCCAACCCTATCTTCCTTATGTATTTGGATCTGCAAATAACTCCATCATTTTCAATGTCTCTCCTGCTTTATATTATGCTTTTGGTAACAAAGTTTCAATCATTTTATAGATATATTCCATTCCTATTGCAGATATATTTTAACTATCCTTTTCAATTACATCAAAGAATATATCACCAGTTCTTTGATGTCTTAATTCTAATTATTATTTTGATTATTTTCTAAACATTAACAATGTTCTCTTAGTCTTTCTAAAATATGTATAATTTTCGTTCCAAAATACTTATGTGGGATCTAAATCTGGTAATTATTCTTAATTTCTTAACCCATCTATTTTCTTTATTTCTTTCTACTCTTTTATATTCTTCTTACTGAAGAATTCTGTGATTTTTCTAACTTAGGGTTCAGATGGCATAATTGTTAATATCTTTTCCATTGATAATAGAACTGTTGTGAAATTTTCGACATAATTGAATCCTAATTTATCAACCTGATCAATTATTTCCATTATGTTATCCTTTTCACACCAAATGAATAACATACCATTATGCATTTAAGATTCTGTCAAATTGAATTATTTCTAAAGTATTATACATTATATCTTACAAATTGTTCAATCTTCAGATGTTATCCCCATTTAATATTAATGAATACTGCCTATAAATCATTGCCTTATTTAGTTTCTATAGGATTAGATTCCCGCACAATTTTAAATGATTCATGAATGGCGGGTTTTCCTTGTGGTTGATATTTAGGATCCCAACGATAATCTAAGACCATTCTTAAACGATTCTGATCCTCCTTACTTTTGGTAGTAGTTTTTTTGATATTCATATTTAATTAATGAATTTTTTGAAATTCTTATATAGAGAGCAAAACAAGCATGAGGTAAATCAAAAACTGATAAAACATATAACTTATTCAAATGATGATGAATATTAGGGAGAAGTAGTAAATGATAAAAGACATGGATAAGGAACTTATAAATTTGTGTCTGGGAATCGTTATGAAGGAGAATGGAAAAACCACTAAAAACATGGGAAAGGAAAGTTATATTATAAAAACGGTGAATTATACATAGGAGATTGGATAGAGAATAAAAAATGTGGAGAGGGAATGCATTTTTATATTAATGGAGATCGATATGTAGGAGTATGGAAAGATGATTAAAGAGATGGAATGGGTTTAATATATTAATCAGATAAAAATATTTTCTATGGTATTTATTAAACATTAATAATGTAGGATAATTCAGATCAAATAAAAAAATAGGAACTGGCTATTTATTTAGTACAAGAGAGAGAAAATATTATAAATAATAGTATGAATAGGATAACCTAATAGAAAATATATAAATAGATGAACTACCTTAATTTGTATTAGAAAAGTTTCATGTAAAATCTGAAAAAAATCAAAATGAAAGGGAAAAGATTGAAGAATCTATAGTTTAAGTTGATAGTACTTTACCTATTATTCAAATAGATAATGAAAAAGAGTAAGATTCATAACCAATTTAATAAGAAGAAAATGATTAATAATAAAAAGAAGATTGTAAATCATAATAATAAATTAATTCATTTTAACATGGATTTATAAGTTTGTAAGTTTTAGAAAGAATAGAAGAATTTGAGAATTAAAAAAATAGTAAATTTATATTTTAAATTTTAGTGTAGGAATGGTAATTATAAGAAGTATGTGGTTGGCTTGATTCTTTACAATTATCAGAATATAAAGAAGAATTCATTAAAAATTAAATGACTGGAAAAACATTATATGGATTAACAGATAATGAATTAAAATAAGATCTAGGAATTGTTGTATTAGGTCATAGAAAAAAAATATTATAATCTATAGAAGAATATAAAAAATATTATATGAAATTTATGGAAGGGAAAATTAGATTGAAGAAACCTTTAGAATCATTAGAAGATAGAAAAGCTCAATATAATTCTATTGAATAATAAAGATTTAAAAGTATATTATCTTATATGGAGAAAATTGAGGAAGAACAAAATGAATATCCTGATAATAATTAAAATGAATCAAGCAGTGATTCTTATAATAGTTATAGAAAGAAAAAAAATATAAGAGAAAATCAAAAATCACCTACTAGATCTGTTTCTAATCATTCTGATTAAAGTAGTCAAAGTGATAATATGTCTTCAAAATTAAAAAGATAGAAAACCAAAAAAAGTAAAAAATAATAAAAAAAAATAATTATGGATCTATAAAAATCAGGTGATTCAGCTGATGATGAAGAAGGAAAATAATAATTAATTTCACCTATTTGTAATATAATATTGTTATATTTAGAATCTCCGAATAAAACGATTGATAAAATGAGTGATTAAAAAATAGATATGTTAGTTTTAAATGATTTTGTAAATTGCTTGGAAGAATTTAAAGATAAAGATCTCAATATAACAATAGAATTATCAAGATAATAATCAATAAATAAATAAGAATTATCTGAATTTATATCTTCAAGAAGTCCTCCATAAATTAATGTAATAAATGAAGAAATAAATTAACTCTAATTAGAAAAATTATAATCTATTACTTAATAATTATCTCGTTAGAAATCAGAATTAAATAATAATAAATTTTAAGATTAAGATTCATCAAGTTAAGAGTCAGATGTTTCAGGAAATGATTCAAGTTCAGATTCATCTGATGATGAGAAGATTAAAAAAAAATAAAAAAAACAAAAAGAATTAAAAAAAGAAAAAGATGATATATAATAACATCATTTGCCAAAAAAACTATTATTTTTACTTAAAGAATTTGGCATAAATGAAAGAGTACTTATAGTTTTTCATGAATTAATAATAGGATAAATAATTGGTGAAGGAGGATATGGAGTAGTACATAAAGGTAAATGGTTAGGTTAAGATGTTGCTATTAAATTATATTGTAAAAGAAAATCATAAGGAAATTTGAAATATAAATTATAAATAGCAGATTTTTTAAAAGAAGTTGAAGTAATTTCAAATCTTCGACATCCAAATATAGTTTTATATATGGGAGTATGTATAAGGAAATAAAATTATTTTTTAATTACTGAATATTTAGAAGAGGGTAGTCTGTTTGATCATTTACATAAAAAGAAAACAAATATTGATTAAAAAGCATTGATGTAAATAGTTGAGGATATTGCATTAGGCATGAATTATCTTCATGGTAGAAAAGTAATGCATTGCGATTTAAAATCATCTAATGTTTTAATAGATTAAAATTGGAATGTTAAATTATGTGATTTTGGTTTATCTAGAATTAATAAAAAAATAGATCATATTAAAATTAATAAAGGAGTAAGAATAGGTACACCACATTGGATGGCACCAGAAATTATGAGAGGAGAAACATATTAAGAAAAAGCNATAAAAATCAGGTGATTCAGCTGATGATGAAGAAGGAAAATAATAATTAATTTCACCTATTTGTAATATAATATTGTTATATTTAGAATCTCCGAATAAAACGATTGATAAAATGAGTGATTAAAAAATAGATATGTTAGTTTTAAATGATTTTGTAAATTGCTTGGAAGAATTTAAAGATAAAGATCTCAATATAACAATAGAATTATCAAGATAATAATCAATAAATAAATAAGAATTATCTGAATTTATATCTTCAAGAAGTCCTCCATAAATTAATGTAATAAATGAAGAAATAAATTAACTCTAATTAGAAAAATTATAATCTATTACTTAATAATTATCTCGTTAGAAATCAGAATTAAATAATAATAAATTTTAAGATTAAGATTCATCAAGTTAAGAGTCAGATGTTTCAGGAAATGATTCAAGTTCAGATTCATCTGATGATGAGAAGATTAAAAAAAAATAAAAAAAACAAAAAGAATTAAAAAAAGAAAAAGATGATATATAATAACATCATTTGCCAAAAAAACTATTATTTTTACTTAAAGAATTTGGCATAAATGAAAGAGTACTTATAGTTTTTCATGAATTAATAATAGGATAAATAATTGGTGAAGGAGGATATGGAGTAGTACATAAAGGTAAATGGTTAGGTTAAGATGTTGCTATTAAATTATATTGTAAAAGAAAATCATAAGGAAATTTGAAATATAAATTATAAATAGCAGATTTTTTAAAAGAAGTTGAAGTAATTTCAAATCTTCGACATCCAAATATAGTTTTATATATGGGAGTATGTATAAGGAAATAAAATTATTTTTTAATTACTGAATATTTAGAAGAGGGTAGTCTGTTTGATCATTTACATAAAAAGAAAACAAATATTGATTAAAAAGCATTGATGTAAATAGTTGAGGATATTGCATTAGGCATGAATTATCTTCATGGTAGAAAAGTAATGCATTGCGATTTAAAATCATCTAATGTTTTAATAGATTAAAATTGGAATGTTAAATTATGTGATTTTGGTTTATCTAGAATTAATAAAAAAATAGATCATATTAAAATTAATAAAGGAGTAAGAATAGGTACACCACATTGGATGGCACCAGAAATTATGAGAGGAGAAACATATTAAGAAAAAGCAGATGTCTATAGTTTTGGTATGATATTATGGGAAATTATAACATAATAAATTCCTTATGAAGGATTATCATAAACTTAAATAATTGGATCTGTTGGTTATGGATAAGATTAAGTACCAATACCTTCTTAGAGCAATCCTCCTATTTTACTTTAATTAGCTAAGAAATGTTTAAAGAAAAATCCAAATTAAAGACCTACTTTTGCTGATATTGTTAATGAAATTCAATTAGGCTAAAAAACAGATGCTATATTAAAAAGTATTATTATATATATGTTATACTTTAGAATAAGCAATAAAGCAACTCATTGACTTTTTTGAATGAACTTCTTCATATATATATATATTTATTTATTTAATCTAATCATTTTATTTATTTAATTAAGTAAAATAAACAAAATTTGAATTGATATCATTAAAATTTAAACTTTAATTCTTTTAACTATCTCTCTAAAGTTTCATTATTTATTAATGATTCAAAAGGAATTAAATGAACTACTCTTTTAATTATTTTCATTATCCTACCTAAATAAGGAGAATAATAATAAAATATCAAAATTTATATCACAATAATTAAAAGGCCAAAAACTATTGATATAACCTAGAATTAAAGATTTTAAATATACTGTCACAAATAATTTTATTTCTTCAAATTATTTTTACAAACTTGTATTAAATTAATTGACTAAAACAGAGAATATTCTACTAACAATCTATGAACCTTCTTATTCATAATATTGCATTTCAACTCTATGACTAAAATTGTTTATTGCTTATTAAGATTTTATTAAATTTGACATATAATTTAATGTTGTGATCATTCCTTTAGAAAATGATCCATCTAATGACTATATACAATAAATTGATGATAAATTTAAAAATTTCTAATTTTATAAAAAATAATTACTTGATCTATTTATTCACAAAGAGAATTATGATTAATGTTATCAAACAAATCAATGAAATTTTAATCTAACAAATAACGTTCAAAATTAATTGAATTAGATATTTAAATGTAATGTGATATTGCATTTTAAGCTTTATTAATTAAATCATAAAGTTCTAATTTATTATTGTCTGTTAGAAATGTAAAATTTTACCATCTAAAAAATATTTCTCTATATAAGAACAAATTACCTGATCTTAGTTTCATTTCTTAAACTTATCCATAAAACTAAAGAGTATCATCATATTTATTAAAAAAAAGTGAAACTGATGTAATATTTAGTAGTGAAAAGAGAAATATTAAACACAATAATGATATAAGAAATGCTACATTCAAAATCTTGATAAAACTTCTACTTTTCTTCACAGTTTAATAATTCTAATTTTATTTTTAATGATAATTTTAACTTTTTTAAAAGTGTTAAGGTTTCTTTAAATGTTATTATAATTAATATTCAGGATTATATTTGAATAAAATATCAGAACTAATTTTAATTGAACTTATTAAATCATTAAATCTTTAAATTTCATTATTCAAAACATGGTCATCAATAGAAAATATTAGTTATATAAATTTGTCCATTTATTAAAAGAATTCTATTTAGAAATATTATAAATAAATATAAAAAATTACCAAAACGAAATTAAAAGCTATCCATAAAATAATTAATTTTTAAATCATGTTTTAATACATTTCAATTGTATAATCATACATGGACATAGTTAATTTTTCACATTCTTAATGAAGCATAAAATAATTAGCAAATAAGGAAATTTAAAATGGTTTACCAGATGTACTTTCACGTTTTTAAAAAGTAATCATTTAAGCATATTAATATTATAAAATGATAAATAAAGCATCTCTAAAAGAAACATCTAAAGGATAAATTTATTCTTCATTTTCTTTCATAAAATTCATAGTAATATTCTCATTGTCTAAAAAAGTTTTAATATATTAATTGTTTAATTAATCATAAAAACTATCTCTTAATTCTGTATATCCTAATTAAATAGATTAATAGTATGGTTCAGTTAATTGAAATAATTAAGTACTTGGTAAAAGACCTTCTCTATTCATTTATTGATAGGCAGTTATTGTAACTCTCATTGAAAAAAATAAATCATGTGGTCCCATTATAGAAGAATAAAATGATGTCATAAATCCATATGATAAAAAGTCATTAAAGTCATTTTTTAATTCTAAAAAATGTACTAATATAAAAATAATAAATAATAAAAACCAAACACTAAATAGAAACATAAATTTCTATTAATATTTTGATGGACTTAAAGATAATACTTATTAAAGTAATTCATAAGTATAATGAATTTTATCTGTTTCATTTGAATTTTCTTTGAATTGTAATCCAAAAGATTTTATTTATGAATTTTCATTGCAATTTTTACTTTTAAAGCTTTATTAATCCATGAAACTTGGAGATTTAACATCTTACTTAATCAAACTATTCCTTTAAGTAATTAATTATTATTCACTTTAATTTATCGTTTCTTCTCGTCTTGAATTAAGAACAGGAGAATTATTAGCAAATATTATTGGATTAACTTAAAAAAGTAAAGGTTTAGAAATGTTTTAAATAGACCCAAATTGTTATTAATTAATAAAGTTTACACTATTTAGATTACCAATGTGAGGTGAATCATCTTACTAATCAACAATGCAATCTAAATGAAATGGTTAATTTAAAGATTCATTTTATTTAGAAGAATTTAAAGATAATCTTTATTGTATTTAAGAAAACTCACGTCCCTTATTAAATTCAGCCATTTTTATAATATCCAATATATAATAACAATAATTACCTATATGTTTCCTTTAAATAAGTATATCACACTCTATATTAAACAATTTTAAATTTTATCTTGCTTTTTTAGGAGAAATTTTTATTTCACTTGATAAAGATTCAAAACTACTTTAAGGTGTTGGAAAATACATTCTTACTGAAGTTAATTTTATTTCCTTTTCTTAATTTTCCATTAAAACTGTTTCAAAATTTGGATAAATTTACGATATTTCTACTTAATTAAATTCTTTTAGAGAAGATAAAAATTTAATTTCAGATTCTTACCACCCAATTAATATTAATAAATTCTTTGTAAATGTGCAATTCATGTTATTACCATCTATTATTAAAAAAGCTTTATCTTAAGATGCTTCTTATAAAAATACAGCAAAAGTCATATTTCTACTTTTGAATATATTTGTAACACAATGACACATATTTACAGATGTTAACATATTTTAAGAATTCATTATAAAATTAATCTGAAAAACATTAAAATATTTACTAGTTCCAGTTTCAAAAAATTGTTTTACATATTAATTATGATATGGAACTAAACAATCTGGTAATAAATGTTCAAATAATTTTTATTTTTAATAATTTGATCCAAAATTATCATGAAAATTTTGTGATTATCCTACAAGAGTCAAATTTTGCATATCATCGCAAAGTTCTAAAATTACATAGTGAACATTTTTTTAATTTATATTAAAATTGATTATTTGCTAAAATTTATTTAATTCTGCTTCTAAACATTTAGAATTTTTATAAAATAATATTGATTTATGATAATTAGATAAAATTTCCCCTTAAAAAAATGTGTACAAACTATGAATTTTTTAATTTGGTTCATTTTCAAATGTAAATTTTATAAGTTTATTTACCTCATATACTTATTCACATAATAAATATAATTATTTATTAAAATCTAAATCATCTTAAGGTAAAACACAAGTATTTTTCAAATTATGATAAAATTTTTATTTTAAAATTAGAGTATCAACAATCTTTCTTTCTAAATATCTTATAAGAGTTTCTGCTTTTAATGTTTTATCAATATACTCTTAGATCATTGATTATTAATTTGCTTATAGAGATGAGCCTACAAGAGAACCACTTATTTAAGCTTTTCCACACTGAACAATAAATTTAGCTTAAACTTTTGTTATATAATCCAACTATGATAAATTGTTACTTGAATATAAATCATTTGAATAAAAATTAGTATCATTAATTAAAAAATCAATTTCCTTTAAAATTTATTTCTAAGGAGATTAAATCTACTAAGACATATTATTGGAAAAAAAATAATCTAGGATTTTAATTGATCTAATTATCCACCCAAAATCAAATAATAAATAAGCATATATTAAAAGATAATTTTTTTGATTTGATTTTCTTTTATTTGCTATATGATTATGTAAAAAACAAGAGAATGCATATTAAATAAATTATTTATACATTTCATTTGTTATACCACAACTTTATTCAGGATTTTAAATTGAAAGATGATTACAATAAGTACATTAAATTGATTGACACTTAGATTAATGCCATTTTGCTATTAAGATTTTAGTCATTAAATCTTCCTTTTAAAAATAAGTTTCGTTATTTAAAATCTTAATTAGTCCAAATCTAAGATAATCAAAATTATTTTTTTTAATTTTAAATAGTTAAAGCATATATTCTTTTTCATTTTTTTAATTCAAATTTAAAAGAATTATCATTATTAAAGAAAAAATGATTAGACTACAAAATTTAAAAAGTTATGCATCAGAAGTGTTTACAATAAATATAGACATAATAAATGATAAATTTATTGAGATAGCAAAAATTAATGGATAATTTTGATAATGAAGTATATAATTATTATGAATGAGTAGCTCTTATAGGAGAATTAATTGTTAACATAAAGATATAGCACTAAGAATATATTCAAAATTAGCGTAATCAAAATCAACTACAATAATTAATTATATGATGTTAAATGCATAATATATATATCTATAGATAGTAATCTATAATTTTTCTAATCCATATACTTTATTAGTAATAGTAGATTCATTTATTATTATTGATCCTATAGAATCAATTAATAAAAGCAACATTGTGATAATATTTAATATAACCAGTAACACTCTAATATTTTCTAATTATTCTAATTATTTTGCAAAGCATTTTAAACAAATAAAGTTCATTTCTAAATATAAATAGGATCCGGCTAATTATTAATATAAATTAAGGTAATAACAAAATAATTTAAGGAAGAAAGAATTTTCAGCTTGTTTTATAAATTTTTACGATTTTTCCTATTAAAAATAGTATAAAGTAAAAATGATTAAACCAACTTTATGAATTAAAATTAGAAATGTTACCACAAAAAATGCATATTCAACATAGTTGTTAAATATGGAAATTAAATTTAATGATGGCCTAATTAAAAATTGAAGGAGTTCATAAATATATATACTGCTATTTTCGTTCGATTTTTCTATTCTCAAAGTCAGAGTGTGAGCTAAATTTGTATTTTGCAATTCAAAAATAAAAAATATTGGTTACAAGTTAGAGATAAATATCAATAATCCACTAATTTTTTTCGAAAAATCAAATTTAACTTTCAAAACATACATTGCAATAATAAAGCTTGAGAAGTTAAACGTTTAATTTTCCTTTTCCATTTATTTATTTTATGATTTATAATTATTTCTATATTTTATGCTATCAATATTTCCTTGTATATAATTAAATATAGTTTGATTAAAAACATATATGCACAAAATGTTAAAATATTTTAATTCATAATTTCAATTTTAAGTATTTCAAAAGGAACAAAACCTAAATTTCTAACCTGGCTATTATAAGATTTTTGCTTATTTAATATACAATTTAACAAATTACTATTTCTAAAGTATTTTAAATTTTTACAAAAATTGAACTTAATTCCTAAGAAGCTAGAATTCTTTTATTCTCAAATGATGTACATTAAATAAAGGGTTCTCTTCAACTTTTTTTGCACAAAAAGCTTTTAGGATTTGCTGAGCTTCTCAAGAAAGATATCTATTTTCCTTTAAATTGTAGAATTTTTTGTAAATTCTTCTGATTTAAAAATTCTGAAAATTTGTAAATATATAATAAAATATTACAAATTCTTGAATAATGTTGTTATTCAATATAAAATCTCATTTAAAGAATGCTGGATTAGGCTAAATTAAGACTGCTTTTGATTTAGTATTTAATTTATTTTCTTATTTTATTTATTAAATCTATCTAGTATAAAAACACAATACAAGAAACAATTTAGTTATTTATATATATTTAATTTTTTGTTAAACAATATTTCTCTAATTATACTATGATACAACCTATTTTTAATTAAAATGTTACCACTTTATAATTAAACTTTAATTTCAAAAAAATAAATAAAATAATGATTTTAAGTATGAAGTGCTTAAAATAAATTATTGATTGATATATGTTTAATTTTGAAATCAATCTGTAAATCAATTAATTTAATGCTAAAAATATTTTATAAATAAATATGATCAATAGTAGGGGAGGAATAGAAAATATCAAATTAATAGCAAAATTCTTATGAGATTTTTTAGCAAGAAATCTAAAAGAACGGATAATTTTTTGAATTAAGTTATTTAATTCTTAATAATTAAGCAAATTTCGTATTAGATTAATAAATTCAGTAGTAATCGATAAGTAATTTTTACTTTTAACATTAAATTCAAAAGGGAAATACTTTTAGACTATACAAAAACTCATATTATTAATAGTTAGATTGTTAACTCTTCAATTTTATTAAATTCTACATCTATTTGCCTATGATTAAATTAGATAAGATAACATTGGCATTTATTTTTAATACTGTATTGATACTATTGAAACTCTTGCATTTATATTATTTATTTTTGAATTACTAGAAAACTTTATTGGAAATTATTATATTAGCGAATTATTTAATCAATATTAGCTTAAAAAATATTAATAAAATTTATTTTTCTTAACTTTTTAAGTTCTTTGTCTAGTTTGTTTTTAATATACAATTTTAAAGCGAGAAAGAATTCTTTTCAATTTTAATTGTAACACTTTGATTTTCTTTAGCTATCAAGTTATTTCTGATGTAAAAAATATTATTTTAATTATACAATTCTTAAATGATTAACTAAATTTCAATTTTTATGTTTTAGGTTTATTACTTTCTAAAATAAATTTTTTAAAGATTCAACTATTCTGCATACCATATAAGTGATTTTGAATAATATAAAATTATTGAATAATATAAAAATTATAAAAGTTATATGAAAAATCATAAAAGCTTAAATACTGGATTATCAGACATAATTATTAATAGAATAGGGTAATTGTTTGCAATAAGGGCAAACCTTGGTTTTATTCATAGGCATTTTTAACCATTTTAGAACACAGTCTTAATGAAAAGTATGTTTTCCTTAGCATTAATATTCAGCAATATATTCTTTGATTTTAAATTCTTCATAACATATAGGACAAATATCCAGCGAACGTACTTAAATTTCATTCAGTTCTTGTATTTTTATAAAACTTTCTTTGAATTCAACGATCATTTATTCATCTAGAGCGCTTTCAAAAAATCCCGTGATAATTATGCGATTTAACAAATATCCACAAACTGAATATCTAACAAATATTCTTATGTATTAATCAATATTTACTTAATAATTCTTGTTTATTCTAAAGATTCTCCAAAAAAATCCCATATTACCAATATTATTCCTGAAATATATAATACATTAATCAAACATTAATTGATATTTAAATATTGGTGTAATTTATATTACAATAAGGTTCTCAGTTAGATAATTTGATCCTTTTTATTCAATTCTTATTTCAATGTTATTAATTGAGGTATGAAAAGAACATATAAGAATATAGCACATAAATTGCTTGCAAAAAGAAGGAATAAATATGAGCATTTAAACCATGCTGAGGAATATGGTAATTTATCATTAATCAAGTTATCAATGTAAAATGAACAAAGTACAATGCTGAGAAATAAATTCATGGCATCTTATTTGATCAAATACTTTCTTGATGAATCTGGAGCTATTAGTAATCTTTAAATATTTTACATTAATATTATTAAATTGGATAATAATTAGAATTACTTACTTTATAATATTTAGGTTTCAATAAATTTCTATAAAAGTTCTATAGAGTGATTTAATGAAAGCAGAGCCATAGAAATATGAAATATAAAATATTATATTAAGACTTAGAAAAAAAAAATTAAATTGATTAACATTAAAATATATTTTGTAAATTTATTAACTAATGGTAAAATAGTAAATCAATATAATTAGTAAAACGAATACCCAGAGAGAGCTTAGCCATTAGCTAATGAAGAAGTCGAACCATAAATATTAGAATTAGCTTAATAAGCAGCTGCTCTTAAATAAGTATTGTATTGATAAAATAATATTAGTTAAAAAAAGGAGCTAATGAAACAACTAAGACATTAAATAGAGGTATTGCTGAATTAGTAATTATTGCAGCTGATACAACACCATTAGAGATTGTTCTTCATTTACCATTACTTTGTGAAGATAAGGTAATATAATTAAAAACTATTTTAATTAGAATGTTCCATATGTTTTTGTTAAGAGCAAAGTTGATTTAGGTAGAATGTGTGGAACAAGTAGAAATGTTGTTGCTTGCTCTGTGATTAAAGATAAAAATTCAAGAATTAATTAAAATATCACATACCTAAAAGATTTATGTGAAAGATTGCAAATAAACTAAGAAGCATGATCAATATTAAAATATTTGATGCACATTAATAATTTATACTTTTACTGTAAGTAACATAAACAGATAATATATATCTGATGATTTATTTAACCATTATAATCTATAAATATATAAATACAAACTTAAGGAAATTAAAATATAAATATTCTGATCATTTTAAAGTCAACCAAATAATCATTATCTTTATATATTAATCAAAAATATTTAAAATTCATTATAATAAAATAATTTAATTTCATTATCTGAAATTCATTATAATAAATATATTATGAATTTATAAAAAATGTTGACGGCGAGGTTCGAACTCGCGCCCTTTCGGAATGGAGCCTTAATCCACCGCCTTAGACCACTCGGCCACGTCAACTTGTATTGCTTATAACTTTCTTAATAGCATAAAAAGGGTTCTAAATTCTAAATTAAAGATAATTGAATATTTTAATACAATCTTAAAATGTAAAATTTAAACAGATCTGATTGTAATAAACGAATATTATATAAAATTTATAAAGTATATTAAAAATAAGATAGGTAATCTTATCAATTCTTTTAAAGAATAATAATAATTATATTAATAATAATAGTAATGTTATTTCTTATAACAATAGTAAGGTAATAAATTAAAACATCTTTAGTTTATCATATGCAGCAACATTAATAAAACCAGTGACCATTATCGATGTATTTATGTTATATTTATTAATAGTCATATTCTTAATTGTGTGTAAGTAGTGGTGAATGTTGTGCATGTTCAAAATCAGGGTCTTGTGGTTCTAATTCAACTTGTGCATGTTTAGCATCATAAGGGAGTCTAATGTCAGGTTAAACATGTTTATTGAACTCAACAGAAAATTTAGCTGTTGAAAAATAAACATAAAATGGAGCAGATGAATCCTTAATCAATAGGTAATAAATATTTATTAAATATCTAGTTTTTCTGTTATATAAGTCTATGATTTATTAAATAGAAATTCAACTTTGTCATTTAAATAATTATCTGCTATTTATGAATTAGGCAAAAGTATAGCTTAAAATAGTGTATAATAAAGTGAAATTAATTGGTTTTTAAGGAGTCTTGAATTTATTACTAAGAAATTAAAAGCAGTCTAAGCTTTAGAAACTAGTGCTCTATAAGCATTTTAAATGCAATTATTGGATTTAATTCGATCACTTATGTTTAAATATATTGATTTGGATTCAACAAAAAATCCAATCTTTTTTGAATAAGGATATTTTAGTGCTATAATTGCTAAATGGAAAGATACTAGTAAAATTATATAATCAATTTTATATAGTAAATTATTCAAACATGAAAATAAATTCCAAATCAATTAAATCAGCTTAATGTGAATATAAATACAAATCAGTGTTGATAAGAGTAATAATAACAAAGATTTATAATAGTATAAATTAGTACTTGCAGTTTCTAATGAAATGATAGATGCATTCACTAATTCAACATTTATTTATAATTCTACAGTTACGTATTGTTAATTTATGGATAAATATGGTGAAATCTATTTTCCTCCATCATCTGAATTTCATTATTGGCATTATGTTCCAAATTTTGACTATGAGCCATTGTTAAATATGACTGATGTAATAGGACTTGGATGTTTTTAAGTATATTGAAAAATTAATATAGATAAAATAATCTAATTCTGTCTATGGATTGGCATACAATAATTAAGATTGTCAATATAAAGAAGTATCAATTACTAGAACTGTGCCATATTGTTAATGTAATGAACCTGGAGTTACTTTTGTTTAAATCTTATGGAGTGAAACTAAAATGATTCAACTTGCTTTGGCTTAAGGATCATCAAATTTAACTAATTCAACCGAAGCTTATGAACAATTGTTGATCTTTATATATTTTATCATTTATATTTTATTATGATCATATTAAATATCAAAAATTCTATCTATTTACTTTAGTATTATTATAAAAGTCAAATGTTGTGTTTTGCTTTTATATTTAATGAATTTTTTGAATTTAAAATGTCCTATTATTTTAAGTACCTGTTCGTTTGTAAGACAATCTTTTTTAATTATCCTTTTCCAAATCAATTAGTCCATAATCAAAATCTTTAAAACCTTTTTATTTTTAATAATATATTTATGCATTCTTACTAGATTTTTCACTAAGACCACTTTTTTAATCTAAAGGACTAGATTAAATTATTTAAAGAATTTATTCCCATTTATATTAATCTAAAGTTTCTATATTATTTTTTAATATTTATAACCTCTATTTTCTATTCATGCTATCCTTATACAATCTTGAAAAAATGTCTTATTATTGATCGACACAATACTCTTTATTGTTTTAAGATAAATAAGATATTTTTTCAATCTAATCTTTTACTTTTTAAGATGCTTAATTTGGTGTTTATGGGGTTGTTATTTATAATCTATTTTAATCATATAATAAGGATGATTCATAAACCTTTTTATTAAAATCATCTTTTGTAAATTTTATTGAATTTCTCTAAAAGATGACAAATGTATTATCATGATTTAAATTACTCAAATTCTAATAATCTAATATTTTTGATTCATTTTAATGTGGATTTTATTAAGAATCAATTTATTCAGAAATCTCTTCCAAAAAGCATAATTAAGAAGGTGTTTATAATGATCTTACTTTATCCTAATGAAACTAATTGCTTTTAAAATTTGAATTGGATAATTATTAAATTGGAGAAATCGATTCCATTATGCATTAAATTTCAACTTCTTTTGTACTTTAAATTATTTTTTCTTAACATTCAAAATCAGTATTTGTTTATTTATGAGAAGTCTCATTTAAATTTAATTAAAGCTTCTTTATTTTTTCAATAAATTAATCATGAAAATTATTATTTTAAATAGGAGTATTAACATTCAGGATAATTGTCTAACAAAATTTTGATTTTTTTTACATACTTGAAATTAATACTTCTTATTTAGATATTTGATACTCTTATTAAAGAGCCATCTATTAAGATAAATGTTGAATATTCTAATCAGATTATCTTAATTTATATTCAATCAATTTTATTTAAGCATTGTCTAATTTTTCAAAATTAATTTACTTGGAGTCGAATAAATGATATAATTATTAATAATGCAAACATACCACTTGATATTTTAACTACAATTATTTAAAATTCTCATTTGATTGAGAATATTGCTATTGTAATAAGTTGATTTCTTAATTCAAAATCTACTCAACCTTCTATTATGTTAAATATTTATATTCCCAATAAATTTGATTATATTTTTCATTCTCATATGTTTGCTTTAATTCTTCATATTAACTTTTAAGGATATTTCTCTTCTTTCTTTTTTTATTTTTATATTCTTTTAATTTCTCTTCAAATTCTTTTCTCCCAAGGATAATTTCTTTAATTTCTTAACGTAGTATTAATTAGTCTCTAGTAGTTTTTAGACATCTTAACATTCGATTTATTAATGCCCATTTATTAAACATCATTTTGACTTTATATTGATCAAAATTTGTCTAAATATCATTCAATTCATTGAATTTTCCAAATAATTGCTATAACACTATTATAAGAAATAATTTACTTTCATTTTTTCTATGCTACAATATAATTTCCATCTATTCTCTACTTTAATTAAGACACTCTTAAACAATTTCGTTTTAATTATTTTTTAGTTTTTCTATTTCTTAATTTTTTAAATCAATTTCTACTTACAAATTTTTAATATAATTAATTTATCTATCAACAAATTAGGATAACTATTCTTCTAACTATTATCGAAAATTTTAAACTTCCCTTTATTAAGATTTGCATTGGATAATTAATTTATCAATTTCTCGATAATTAATACCATAAATATGCTTTTAGTTCTCAAATACTTAAAAAAAATATTAATTTCCTTTTAGATCTTAAATATTCTTCCAAGTAGTATAAGGATCATTGTTATCCATTTGAATGACTTTAGCTAATAAACCAACGCTAGTTTCGTGGATTTTAAGTTTTTCTTTTAACTTATCGATTTATAGGATGTATTGCTTGTTTTCAAGACTTATATGCTAGATTGTCTAAGTTAACTCAAGATATTTATGTTCAAATTATTGTTGCATTCCTTTAATCTTTTAGTTCAATAAATTAGTTTACTCATCAGTGAATCCTTCTTTGGAATCAAAATACTAGACCTCAAAAATGTTCAACGATTAAACATTTCTTCTAAATAATAGTTCTTTCATGTGTTAAACGTCTTTTAAATATCCTTGTGTCATGTCTTTTATGATATTATTTTTGCAATCTAATTTCTTTTGCATTTCTTCAAGTTTTGAATTTCTCATTTCCAGCTCTTTTTGTTATTCTTCATTAATATAAGAACTATGCTTTTTATTCACTTCAAAATCAGGATGATATGTAGATTTCATAGTATTAAAACGATAAAAGTTTATTTCTTGTTTTGTTTGTTCTTCATCTTGATCTTATTGTAATTTTTACAATTTCATTAAGAGGCCATTTAATGTTTCGTTTTGGTTTTGTTAGAAATACTTTCTCAATCTTTGATAAAAATATACGCATTGATGCTTAATAATCTTGCTTTTGTCTAATTAAGTAGGAGTTGTGCTTCTATTGAAAATACTCTAACCTACATTTAAAAGTATTTGATAGAATATATTAATGATGTGTTATGTAGACAAACTTTCTTCTTACATCATTTAAACAAACTGATCAATTAGTTGCTCAAAAAGATTTTAAGTATTAACGATTTCTTATTTAGGAGGCGAATTCGTCTCTTCTTTGATAGTAACTTATCGAACCAAATTTTTAGGTCTATATATTGGGACATCTTTTAGTTAAATGCAATCGTCATCCATTCTAATTCTTTAATTTATTTTTATTTTCAAAAATCAAATAGTTTTATATAATGATGATATCAAAGATAATTAATTGTATTTTAATTTTTTAACAATCTGACCTTATATTGATAGACAAAAAAAATTGTAATTAATTATGTTTTGATTTAAATTCAAGAACTTCATCAGAGATTTATCATAAACAACTTGTTATAATTAANATAAATAATTTTATATTATAATGATAATTTTAATTTATATAATATTTATTTAAAAAAGATCAAATAAAAATCCTTAATATTAATTATTATTTCGCCTTTGTTCACTTTTAAATTAATATTTCAATAATTCATTTAACTTATAAATGAAAAAAATACTCCAATTGCCATAAATTATACTTATAAAACTTTTATTTTAATGATGTTAATAGAAAAATATTTCATTTTAGAAATAGTTTAATATAATTAAGCTTTTTTTCAAAATTTTGAAATTAATATTTTCAGAATTTCTGAACAATTATATTATTAACAGTATGTTAAACTTTTTCTACTAATTTTTATAAATTTAAAAAAAATACAAAAAATATTAATTTTTTAAAATATTCGTAAAACAAGGCTTAATTTTTAAAAATTTATTAAACACAAATTCAAATATTTAGTTTAATTTTAAAATATTAAAGAAAATAGATAAATTTAATAAATCTATATTTCAATTATATTATTAGAAATAATATTATTTTATATAATTAGAAAATGAATTAGCTATTATATAAGAAAATAAAAATGAAATAATTATTTATTTTTAATATTTAAATGTTTTAATTAATGATTATAATTAATGAGATCAAGAAGAACATTTCTGATCAAGCAATTTATAAATATTCATGAGGTACTCTGAGAAAATAGAATGCTAACTCCATAAAGATAAGTAAAAAAAGTAAATATTTAGAATTTTCCTGTAAACATTTTTTTCTCTGTGGAAGTTTTTAAAAATGATGTATTAGTTTGAGATTAGATAAATAAAATATTGAAATTGCCAAAAATAAGGTATAATTTAGAAACATTATTGAAAGAGTTTAAATTTGATTGTTATATATTATATAACCGAATTAATATAAAACAAACTCATCCTATTTTTTATTAATTTTCTGTTTGTTCTGCTTATTCTTTGTTATTTTATTTAATCAAATCTTCAATTTATTTCATCAATAATTTTTCTTTTTCCATAATTTAAGATATTGGTTTATAAATATCCTTTTTAAAATGAAATTAATACTTGCTTTTATTATTCATGGAAAATATTAAAATGTTTATGTAAAGCATTTACTTCTATAATTTTGAGTTTTATTAAATTATTCATTACAGATATCAACTTTTTATTTCTGTTTTACTCAAGTTCTCTTTTTGCTAAAGTTGCAGATAAAGAAATAATCTTTTCATTTAGTTCTTATGTGATTTCTGAATTATCATTAATTTAACTAATAGTTTAAGATTATGCTAATGACTTAGATTATTATTCTTTGATTTAATTATTTAATTAAGAAATTATTTAGTCTCTCTTTTAAATTTCAACTTATAAATCCCTAAGTTATAAATCTTTCATCTATAATTCATGTTCATTTCCCTTATTATCTGAATTATGAGAATCATTTTATTCTAATTAAGATTTATAGAGTTCACTTAGTTATTAAAACTTTTTAACTTCGCTTTCTAATTCCACAACCTTTAATTTTTCTCTATCATATTCCATTTTTATTCTCGAAATATCTTTTTAAGCAATTTTAGTTTAATTTTATAAAGCTTTTTTTGAATCCTCTAATTCTCTTAATAATAGTCTTCTTTCTTAATTCCATTCATCTTTTAATTTTTCCTCAATTTCTTCTTTAGCCTTGACTTCATTTAAGTAATCTTAGGTAAGTACTTCATTATTATGTTCCATTTCTTTTATACATTATTAAGCATGAGCTAATTAAAGTCCTAAATTTTATATTTAATCAAAACTCTAATATATAAAATGGATATTAATACATTTTTTTCAATTTTTTTTTTTTCAAATTGTAGTTATTCTACTTAAACTTCTAAAATTTATTTTTCTTCAGTAATTTTTTATAAAGTAAATATATCTTCTAATTATCCAAAAGTAGAAGGATTCAAAGTTTCTCTACCAGATGATTCAAACTATAAAAGATCATTTTATNTTTTATATAATTAGAAAATGAATTAGCTATTATATAAGAAAATAAAAATGAAATAATTATTTATTTTTAATATTTAAATGTTTTAATTAATGATTATAATTAATGAGATCAAGAAGAACATTTCTGATCAAGCAATTTATAAATATTCATGAGGTACTCTGAGAAAATAGAATGCTAACTCCATAAAGATAAGTAAAAAAAGTAAATATTTAGAATTTTCCTGTAAACATTTTTTTCTCTGTGGAAGTTTTTAAAAATGATGTATTAGTTTGAGATTAGATAAATAAAATATTGAAATTGCCAAAAATAAGGTATAATTTAGAAACATTATTGAAAGAGTTTAAATTTGATTGTTATATATTATATAACCGAATTAATATAAAACAAACTCATCCTATTTTTTATTAATTTTCTGTTTGTTCTGCTTATTCTTTGTTATTTTATTTAATCAAATCTTCAATTTATTTCATCAATAATTTTTCTTTTTCCATAATTTAAGATATTGGTTTATAAATATCCTTTTTAAAATGAAATTAATACTTGCTTTTATTATTCATGGAAAATATTAAAATGTTTATGTAAAGCATTTACTTCTATAATTTTGAGTTTTATTAAATTATTCATTACAGATATCAACTTTTTATTTCTGTTTTACTCAAGTTCTCTTTTTGCTAAAGTTGCAGATAAAGAAATAATCTTTTCATTTAGTTCTTATGTGATTTCTGAATTATCATTAATTTAACTAATAGTTTAAGATTATGCTAATGACTTAGATTATTATTCTTTGATTTAATTATTTAATTAAGAAATTATTTAGTCTCTCTTTTAAATTTCAACTTATAAATCCCTAAGTTATAAATCTTTCATCTATAATTCATGTTCATTTCCCTTATTATCTGAATTATGAGAATCATTTTATTCTAATTAAGATTTATAGAGTTCACTTAGTTATTAAAACTTTTTAACTTCGCTTTCTAATTCCACAACCTTTAATTTTTCTCTATCATATTCCATTTTTATTCTCGAAATATCTTTTTAAGCAATTTTAGTTTAATTTTATAAAGCTTTTTTTGAATCCTCTAATTCTCTTAATAATAGTCTTCTTTCTTAATTCCATTCATCTTTTAATTTTTCCTCAATTTCTTCTTTAGCCTTGACTTCATTTAAGTAATCTTAGGTAAGTACTTCATTATTATGTTCCATTTCTTTTATACATTATTAAGCATGAGCTAATTAAAGTCCTAAATTTTATATTTAATCAAAACTCTAATATATAAAATGGATATTAATACATTTTTTTCAATTTTTTTTTTTTCAAATTGTAGTTATTCTACTTAAACTTCTAAAATTTATTTTTCTTCAGTAATTTTTTATAAAGTAAATATATCTTCTAATTATCCAAAAGTAGAAGGATTCAAAGTTTCTCTACCAGATGATTCAAACTATAAAAGATCATTTTATAATTTTTCAACTTAATTTTCCAAATCTCTTCTTTTTTATTATTCCAATTTTAATTTTTATTATGTGTCTTAAAGTGCCTTTTTGAACATATCAATAGAATTTGAATTACTTACCATTTCAGGTTTAGTAAATACTTTAACAGAAGTTTGTAAAGGTTGAGATATATTTATACTTGATTCATCTTCAACAAATTTGGAGGATATAATTACTGATTTATTTATTTCTCCAGAATTTTCTATCTGTAATTCTTTTTCTAACTCTTATTATTATCTCTTTAATTCAACATCTCTTTTGATTAAAAAAATTGCATATTGATTTAATTTTGAAAAGGCAAATGATTAAATGATTTTTCTTTCATATTTTTAAATTGTAAATATAAAAGAATTCAGAATTAATCTATTAGTAATTCTTTTTTACAAAATAAATTTAAAGGCATACCATTTGCATGATCTTTATAATTTTTAATGTCTTTTTAACAAAATTTTAAGTTTCTAAAAAATAGTTTTTTTGTATATATATTTTTTAGAAGCTTTTTGTATTTTGATAATAAATTACATTCTAAATTCAATTAACATTTAATCTAAAAAATCTCTTAATCCTTCTTTCATAAATATTTTGGTTGTTCCAATTTAAACATTTTTGAGCTCTAATTCTTTTTATATTTTTTCTTTAACTTTTTGATTTTAATTTAATAAAATGATCATCTAATTAATATTAGATGGTTTGCCTTTGATAAGATATCTATATTTTTTCATAAAATCAAGATGATTAAGTCGAATTTCATATCCTGCCTTTCTAATTTAGATAGCTTCTAATAAACCAGCACATCTCATTTATCTTCTAACTTCTTAAGCATCAAATTCAAAGGCAGTTTTAGTATTATTTGGTTTAATACATCTAATGTATTTAGGAAGTGATTTATTTAAAACTTCAAGTAATTCTTAAAGGGAATTTTAAAATCTAGTAATAACATTGTTCTATTTAATATTTGGATTGGTAATTTAATGACTTTTCCAAATTTCTCTTATGATTGGATTTTTGCTTGTTGGTAAAACTTAATGTACTTCTTAATTGATTGTATCTTTATTTTTATCAATGAATCCATATACATTATAAATTACACATCCAGCAAAATGTTTAATTCCAAACCAATCAAATTTAGCTGTTTTATGTTTTTTATCAACTTTAATATTAGAATCTTATGCTAATAGATCTTAGACATTAAATACACAATCTCTTGGTAATTTCTTAAAAGAATTACTAAATTCTCTATCATTACCTTTAGGTGCAATAGTTTAATCAATTAATAACTTATAAATAGATAAAGTTGAGTTTTCAATTACATCAATGATTTATTTATTATCTGGGAATTTAATATGATTCCATGTAATTTTTTCAATATTATATTCACCTAATTTATATAAAATAATATTTGATACTTTATTCAGTTTCTAACATATGTGAATTAAAATGTTATTAAAGTTTTTCATTAGTAAAATTAATATTCAATTATTCAAAACTATTAGTTTATATTCCTTATTCATCTGTAAATATTTCAAAACCAAATATATCAAGTATACCAATCATATATTAAGACTAAATTTATTAATTTAGTTTAGAACCAAAAGCTTAAAGTTAAGAATTAACTCTTTCAATTAACCAATTAAATAGTTTTTCATAAATATGTTTAGCAAGTGTATCTCTAGCACTACATGCTGAATCAATACTATTTTCTTTCATTATAATTTCTTTTCCCATAAGTGTTTAAACTTTGCAGATGATTTTAGTCATATCATCAGAATCTAGTCCTAATAATTAACAAGAAGCTTTCAAAGAAAAATCTTCTATAATAAATGATTTATTTGCATCTCCTTATATTGACATATTTCCTAAATGTAAGATTCCTGCAAGAATTTAAAAAATATATTATTTTTCTTATGGAGTAAAGTTCATTTTATCCATACATTCACTAGTTTCTTTAAATTCTTCAAGTTCATTTTTAACAAATTTTAAATCTCCTTATTTTAAATAATGATATTGTTTAGCTTATCCAAGTTCTTATTATATATTAATATAATTACTTAGATCCGGTATTTAAGCAGCAATTAATTAATAAAAAATATGATAATTTCTTTCAACTTAACTTAATTTAACAACTCTGCTTTTTTCTAATAAATAATTATCAATTTTAGCATTAGTAATTCTTTTTGTTACAGGATTGAAATATAAATGTATAAATTTTCCAAATCTACTAGAATTGTCATTTCTTGCTGTTTTAGCATTACCAAATGCTTCTAAAAGTGGATTAGATGCAAAAACTTATTATTCAATTGATGGAGCTTTAGATTTTGAACCTGGTTATTCAGCAGCTAAATACTTAAGTATAATTTTAGTAGATTCTGTTTTACCTGATCCACTCTCTCCAGAAATAATCATAGAACAGATTCTCAAATTAGTTTTAGTTGTTTCTTCAAATAGTTAATCTAGAGACATTTATGCTACTTTGTATAAATGTGGATCAATATCTCTAAGCTTTTATTAGAGAATATCCTTAGAAATTCTAATTTATGAAATAGTAATACTAATTCATTCTTCCCATTTCTTTTTTGTAGAATGTAACCATTTTTTAATCATAGAATTCTGGTACATATTAATATGGATTTATTGCTACTAAAATAGGAGTACCCACTTATGTATAAATAGATTTCTTAGAATATCTCATTCTTATTCCATGAAGACAATTAAATTCATTTAATTCATTTAAGAGCTTATATTTATTTATATTTTACTAGTAAATCATTAACTCCTTATTTTGACAATGGATCCACTTTAATATTTGATTTATCATCAATATATTCTTCTCTTATTTCTTTATCTATCTGGAGAATACCTTGTTTCGTAATCAATAACTTATTTTCTTAATTATCAAATTTAGCTATAAGACAAACAAATTTAGGGTGTGTAACCCATATTTCATCATCCCCAAAATTCATTTTAATTAGTTTATAATATAATTAATTGATTATAAATATGATAAACATTATTTTTTATCGTATAAAATATAAACTATTATTACTAATATTAATTTTATTATCTTTACCTCTACCATTATATTTAATATAGGTTCTTTAACAATTATATTATTAATTTTCTAAACTTGACTTGTAAATTAATTCTAAAACTTCTAATTCCTTATTTTAATTTAACTAATCTTAGTAATGGTAATTCCTAAAATTCACATATCTTAAATTCTACATGATTATAATCTACTTAATATATATATTTTTTCAATATTATAATCCTATCTCAATATTCTCACTTACTTCTTTAATTTGATACAATACTTTATTAAATTTTGGTGATTCTGATAGACATGCTGTTTTTATATTAGTAGTAATAAATAGAGATTATGAAGATTAATTATTTAAAATAAACTATTCTCTATTTACTTGATTTTATAACTGATAATTTTTCTTAAAAGGTATCATCCTAAGGCTATGAATCATTAACTTAATCATCTTAACTTCATTTAAGTAAAATTGAGTCATAATTTTAATCAATATTAATATGTCTAAATAATTATTAATTTATATCAAAAGGTAATATAAAATAGAAAATCTATTCTAAAATAGTCAAAAACATTTCTTATTAAAATATATTAAAAATAAAAATTTTAATATCTGCAACTGATTCTTTGTTTTGAAAATCTAAAAAATTTAGGCAAATTCATTATGTCAATATATTCGCTTCTAATTTATAAAGCACTTAACGAAATTTTTGCTCTGATGAATGTTGAAAAAATAATTCCTTAAATTTACTATTTTATAATTTTAGAAGAGAAAACACATTCTTCTAATAATACGATAAAAGTAAACATTAAATCTATTTTTAATTAAAATTACAATTTTTTGAATGCCTTGAGTATCAATTATCACATGAAAAGTTCAGATTGATATTTAAAGTAAAGAACTTGAAGTTTCTCCAGATAAATCATTAAAGAAGGATAATTATCATATCTTCAATAAACAAGATCATATTTATATTACAGTCAAATGATTTGATTAATATAAATTACTGTGAATTATATAGAAACTAAAATTATATTTGAAAAGTGAATTCTTAAATTGATGAATAGAAATAAAAAATATGACTTATATTTTTAAGTTCATTTCAGAATCGGTATCATTTATAAGGTTAGACAATGACATAATTATATATTTATTATGAATTAAAGAGAAGTACACATATATATTCTCTAAAACTGAATTTCCTAATATTTAGAAGGCTTTTTAGACTAGTTTATTATTTCAATCACATTACAAGATAAGTAATAAATATGAGCACAGATGATTTAGAGATCAACTTAATATAGATTCCAATCAAAGAGAATCGAAAAACTACTATTTTGAAATAAAAAAAGATAAAATTAAAGAAAAGTNTCAATATTCTCACTTACTTCTTTAATTTGATACAATACTTTATTAAATTTTGGTGATTCTGATAGACATGCTGTTTTTATATTAGTAGTAATAAATAGAGATTATGAAGATTAATTATTTAAAATAAACTATTCTCTATTTACTTGATTTTATAACTGATAATTTTTCTTAAAAGGTATCATCCTAAGGCTATGAATCATTAACTTAATCATCTTAACTTCATTTAAGTAAAATTGAGTCATAATTTTAATCAATATTAATATGTCTAAATAATTATTAATTTATATCAAAAGGTAATATAAAATAGAAAATCTATTCTAAAATAGTCAAAAACATTTCTTATTAAAATATATTAAAAATAAAAATTTTAATATCTGCAACTGATTCTTTGTTTTGAAAATCTAAAAAATTTAGGCAAATTCATTATGTCAATATATTCGCTTCTAATTTATAAAGCACTTAACGAAATTTTTGCTCTGATGAATGTTGAAAAAATAATTCCTTAAATTTACTATTTTATAATTTTAGAAGAGAAAACACATTCTTCTAATAATACGATAAAAGTAAACATTAAATCTATTTTTAATTAAAATTACAATTTTTTGAATGCCTTGAGTATCAATTATCACATGAAAAGTTCAGATTGATATTTAAAGTAAAGAACTTGAAGTTTCTCCAGATAAATCATTAAAGAAGGATAATTATCATATCTTCAATAAACAAGATCATATTTATATTACAGTCAAATGATTTGATTAATATAAATTACTGTGAATTATATAGAAACTAAAATTATATTTGAAAAGTGAATTCTTAAATTGATGAATAGAAATAAAAAATATGACTTATATTTTTAAGTTCATTTCAGAATCGGTATCATTTATAAGGTTAGACAATGACATAATTATATATTTATTATGAATTAAAGAGAAGTACACATATATATTCTCTAAAACTGAATTTCCTAATATTTAGAAGGCTTTTTAGACTAGTTTATTATTTCAATCACATTACAAGATAAGTAATAAATATGAGCACAGATGATTTAGAGATCAACTTAATATAGATTCCAATCAAAGAGAATCGAAAAACTACTATTTTGAAATAAAAAAAGATAAAATTAAAGAAAAGTAGGAAAACCTCAGCTACTTAAGCAATATTAACTAGATCAAAGAAATAAGATAATTCAGATGATGATGTAATATTATTAGGTAGTTCCAAACCAAGTTTAATTCCTTTAACTAAGAAGACTGTAAGTAAACGATATTTAAAATCGAAACGTTCTTAAAAACATCCAAAAATGTAATTTAAAAAAAAAGAAAAAGCTAAAAAATCAATAATTCAAGATTTAGTAATAGGATGGCAGAAAGATCTAAGAAAAATAATGGAAAGCACAGTTGTTTTATCTAAAAAGATAAGTAAATTGGAATGAATATATATAAGATAATTATTAATATGCCATAATTTAATGAAATGTTAGAAGAATACAGAATTCTTTATAAAGAATAATGTTCATAATTCATTTAAGACAGCCAGACATTATGGCCAATAAGTGCTAAAAATGGAGCAGAGGAAGCATAAAATGTATTTGATTTAGGTTGGGATCTTGAAACAATAATTTCAAATTGGTAAAATGAAAAAAGCCTACTTCCTGATGAGTATTAATATGAGCTTTATTCATAATTGATCGTAATAAATAATAATCTAATTAGATGAGATATTTACTATAATTTTAAGTGTGATAGGTGTAATAATATTATTATGTTGCTGTTAAATATTTTGTATTCCAAAATACAAGGTTTTTATGAGATGTTGCTATATTAATGTTGAGACAGATACTAAAAGCACATTTGAAAAATATTTTCTATTTTTTGGTATAATACTTTTGAGTATAATGTTATGTGCAGTTTGTGGATTATCTTATACAGACAAGTAAATTGAAAGTAGGTATTAAATCCATTAATATTAGTTTATTATAAGTAAAGTGTATTTCTTTATGGATGATTGAGAACACAATTCAATAGCAAAATGATTAAGGATGGCATAATAATTGGTAAGGCATTTTATATATTAATAAACATATAAAATCACTTACTTAAGAATTATCAGATGAATCTAGATAGAATGCTATTAAACAATTAAGTTAAATTAAAACTAAATAACTTCAATCATAATATAAAATTGAAAATCAGTATTTATCTGATTTATATGAATTTAATTTTGAACTTAATTTAATCAATCCTAATCCTTATAGTAATTTACAACATATTAGTAGTAATTTTATAGAATAAATTGGACCTAGTAATTAATTAGGTACTGTTACAAATCTACTTTTAGAAGAATTGTCATCTAGAGATCAAGCAATATATTTAATGAAAAGAATTAAATTAAAATCATAATCAATAAATACAACTTAAATAATAGACAATCTTAATCATAGTTAATAATAATTAAATGATTTCTCATAAAATATTATCAAATTTTTATCAAAACTTGAATAGACATTGAATACTAAAAGTTGGATATTTGATTCTGGAGTAACAGCTTATAAAAGATTTTTAATAATTACTTGTACAACAACTTTAGTTTTATTATTTTCATTTTCATTAGTGACTTGGTTTCGTTTTTAAAAATTGGGATTTTTATTACATATTTCTTGGATAGCTCTGGCAGTTTTATTAATAATAGGTTTTATTATTTTAATATTTGTTTATTATGTATCATTAATAAATAATAATATGGTTTGTAATTTAGCACATGAAGTTATTCATGATAAAAATGTATTAAAAAAGATAATTAAAATTATGAAACCTACTAAACATTTTATTAAAACAAAGTCTTTTTTTAAATAAGTAGAAGTATGTTTATATGAAAATGGAGATTTCGTTTCATATTTTGATTTGAATTCTACTTTTGAAAACATAATCGATCTTGATAAATCAATTTAAGAATTTGATAAATTATCACATTCACATAATGTTATAAATTTTTATCAATCAGTCATATAATCATACTTTACTAATTATAGTTTAGTAGTTAGTAATGAGAGTGTTGATAATCCATAGAAAGTTTTGAAATATATGAATAATTGGACAGATTATAATGTAGATAGATCTATGTAAATGATTTATGGAGGATGTAGAATTTCTTAAGATGAATGGGAATGGAAAGACAAAGATTGTAAATATTATAAAGCTGATCTACTCAAATTAAAGTAATGATAACAAGATTTAATAGGTGAACAGTTTTTATAATAATCCTCATCGAGAATTTGGGATGGCCATTTGTTTAATATTCGATTCTTGCAATTAAGATTTTGCAAAATAAAGGTATCTAGATTAATATAAGAGATGTAAAACCAAAAATTAAGAAAATATTTCTTAAATAATCTTAAAATATTTTAATCAAATTAAATTATACATTGATTCTGTTAATAGCACTTTTAAACCAATTTTATAAAATTTAACATAATATGAATTAGAATTAACTAATTTAGATAAAGATATTAAATAAAAGATAGTTAATTTAACTTATTATGGAAGTCAACTAAATTTAATTTTTAAGAAAACATAGAATTTAACAAACACATTAAATTGTTCATATATTAAATAAGGAACTGTAAGATTCAAAAATACATTCTGTACAACATTACTAAATGGCATGTTTTTTATGTATATATACTTAATTTCAATATGTACTCTCTTGAGTTGTTTGGGAATACTCTCAGTATGGTCTGCTATGAGATGTATTCCAAAATCAGAATAACATTAAGTTTTTTTAGAAGCAGCTATTGGACCTATGTAACAAAGAACCATTTAAAGAAAAAGCTTAGACATGAATTGATTTATTTATACCATAAATTAGTATCTTCAAAAATCAATCTGTTCCAATAACCAAATTGAACTTATAAAAGCAATAGCCAATAAAAAAGCTAAAAACTTGAGAAGCTTGTATCTGGCTACATTGAACTCTTCTACAATTACCTCTATTGTAGAAATATATAAAAATGTTCCAGCTGATATTGCATAAAAGATACTCACTATTATAATTCTATTTGATGATAAAATCCACCCAATTGAAATACCTAATGGATTCATCAAAGCTTATAGAACTATCAGTTTTTTAGCTTTAGAATGAGTAACTTTTGCTTTTTTAAATGTCAATCCTAATGTGAGACCTTCAGCCTAAATAATTTAATTAATACATACCCATTTATGACAAAAAACTGCTAATGCAATACCTATACATCTACTAAGATTTGATTCAATTCCTATAGCTAGTCCTTCGAATATTGCATGAATCCCTACTGCTATTTGCAATAAATAAGGAGTCAAATTAGAGGATTTATTAGTTTTTTTAATTTTAGTTTTATTTTTTATTTCATTAAAGCCTACTCTTTATGCCATCTTTACTTAAGAAGATATAGCATTTCTTAAAACATCTTCTTATGCTTAACTTTCAACTTAATTGCAACATGCTCCTATTTGACTACAACAGATACTTTCATCTGACTTAAGTAATTCAACATTTTATGTAGGTTGTACATCAACATGCTAATTTATAATAATAAAATTAATACATCTGAATGTGCATGTTTATGATTGGTAACAATTTTTTCAATAAATAAAATCAAAGCAAAACTAAGTATGGAAATTAGAAATGGAAATGGAAATATTTCTTTTTTAGGATTTTCTTAAAAATTTTAGGATGTTTCATATTTTTCTTATGATTCAGGTAATAAATGTAAAAGTGCAACTGATAAAAATAATCCTCCTGAGAATGCTTGAGAAATTGATACTAATGGCTAAAAATAAAATATGGATGCATACTTTGTTTTCCCTAAATGTCTTTGATTTGTATGGAAGATTTGCTGTAAACAAAATAATTAGGAATAAGATTAAAGTGCTTCCAGACTTAACAAATATTATAATATTGTCATTATCATAATTCTGATCCATTTATAAATAATTATCATTTTTTATTAATCATTACTACTCTTTTTGTAATTCAACTAATGATAATTGAATCCTTTATTTGGAGAAATCATCTAATTCTACATCACCAACAACTTTAAATTCAAAATCTTTACAAGTCACAGGTAAAGAAAAGCAAATGCCTTTTGGAATTCCATAATGATTTCCATCAGAAATAACCTAATATTATATTTATTGATACTCCAAAAGAGGTCCAATTATCTTAAGAGGTTCCTAAAAACCATGTTCTTAAATGATCTTTAACAGCAATGGCTCCTGAAATTGTACTCGCTCCTCTTGAAAGTTATAATATTTAACCTCCTCTTTATTAGACTTATTATATAAGAGCATTTCTTAAAAAATCCTTGGAAAATGTTTCTGATGCTTATTTACCATTAATAATAGAATGTGTCATATCTGGATATTATGTAAGAGAGTGATTTCCCCATATGATCACTCTTTTGATTTAATCAATAGTTGTATTTGCTTCTCTTGCAAGCTAAAATAATAAAAAATACGTCATACAGTTGAGACACATCTATTATGATCTAGTTACATAAGTGATGTAAAATTTGATTATGGAATATTAGTACATTAATTAGCTAGAGTAGCACAATTTGTATTGCTAGGATTTGCCACAACTAAAACTTTAACAGTTGTTTTAGCTTTATCATTTAAAATTTAACCCTGTATTTATAATTTGAATATTAAACCTATTGTATAAATATTTCTCTATTCATTTATAAAAGATCACTTCTTTCCATTCCAGGCTTACGAGGCATGGCTCCTAAAAATATTGCTACATCTGCATCTTTAAATGCAATTGCTGGATCACTTGATACTATCACATTATTCAATAATGGAAATGCACAATCTTATATTTGCATCTTTATTCCTTCCAATTCTTGTAATTTATCAGGTAATTCCAATAATTACAACGAAAATTTCTGCATTGATCCAAATACTTAACCAGAACCTAAAAGAGGATAACTAGAATTCATTATTTTTAGTCATACAATGCAGATGCTAAATTACCAGCTGCTCCAGTAATTGCTATTTTTAATTCTTCCAAATTTTACATCTTTATTTTTATTTATATAATAATTCAAAGTTCAATAAATTCTGTTGATAATTCACTACTGTATTCTTTATTCTTTTTATTTATAAAACACATTTCAAAACAGTTTCCTAAACTCAAATGTGATTATTCCATCTTTTATTATTATACATTATTTTATTATTATTATTATGTTCCACCTTATCCTTATTCTGTTGATTCCATAGATTAATCTTCACTTTAATTTATAGCACTTTTCTCATTTAATTTTTCATTCTTTGTTTCAGGTGCTCCTAAACTATGTCTCTCAAAAGTTGTTTATCCTGTCAATAAATTTATTGATTAAATGTAAATCAGAATTCTTAATTATATAAATCTCAATTACCCCAATGGTATAATAAATAGACAACAATATATGATGACATAATAAAATGTAAATTTTTTTCCTATTAAAATCCAATCTTCAGTATTTGAAAACCATCTTTGAACAGTATATGAATTGTAATGAGAAGATTGCATAAATAATTGCAAAATAAATTCAAAAAACAAACTGAGAATGAAAAAATAGAATACAAAATGATTTCTATATTTACAGAATTTAGTTACTTTGCTCCAACACAATTATTTATCCAAGGACAATGATGATCATATACCATAACACATTTCTAACAAACATCACAATGTTTTGATCTCTTAGGTCTAACTAACTACTATTAGAAATTGTAAAAATACTTTACAATCAGCACAAATATTTGAACAATCATATCGTTCCAATATTTGTAACATATTTAATTTATGATCTGTTTATACTACTCCAGCATCTTTTGCACAAGAAACAAAGAAAAATATAACAGTTATGCTTGTGAGAGCAAAAAAGATCCACATCCAAGTTGTATTAGTAACAACTATAAATTATATAGAGTAAATAGTTACATGGAAAAGTAAACAAAATAGTCAATATAAAACAAGTCATATACATAGTTAAAAAAGCTATTTAACTATTCCTTTTTTAAGTCATTGGTCTAAATGGTTATCTAACATTACAAAATATAAGAATATCATCTTTATCTCGCTATAATTATTTCAATTATCTACAATCATTGTGGCAACTGTTTTGAAATCACTCTCTATAGCCAAATCCAAAGGTGTTTTACCACTAGAATCTTTTAATGAACGGTCTGCTCCTTTCATTAATAGTTTTCGAACTATTCTAGAATTGGCTTACATTGTAGCTAGATGCAAAGGAGTCACAGAAGTATCTGTATCTTGAAGATTTAAATTAGCATTCCATGAAATCAAAAAATTTACTGCATTATATGCTCCTGAATAAGCAGCCCAATGTAATGGAGATGAACCTTTATTATCAACTACATTAACTGCTATTCCTTTCTATAAATAATAATATATTGTTAATGGACAATCTCCTTAAGAAGCTGTATGTAAGACAGTTAACTCTTTTATAGCATATAATCATTTACCATTATAGTTTTTGATTCGATAATCTGCTCCATATTATTCAAGTAATTTTATAGTTTTCTATTATAAGAAAATAGAATACCAATGATCCTCTGTATGATGCAAGGTGTAATGCAGTGAACCCTTCATCATTTTGTTAATTAACCCATTACTCAACTTCTTCTTTTGTATGAATGTTTTTATCTATTTATGCTTAAATGTATTAAAAATACAATTCACTTAATTGTTCGTTGTTGTTGTAACAAGAAAGATGAATTACTTTTATTATCAAATCTTATACAAGTATATAATTTTTGTGTTTTAAGGATTAACAGATTATGATTGTGATTTTCATAAATGATAGCTTTGACATTATAAGTATCATCAGAGTTCGCATAATTTAAGAGAGAACTGATAGCTTAACTATTTCTTCTGGATGATGATCTCGACATAAAATAAAATTAATATATGTAATGATTATACATCACATAAAACTATAATCAAAGAGATTGTCTATCATCAATCTAAGTAAACATATGTGTACTATAACTATCATGTTATTATTGTGAAGGTCTAGCTGTCATTAACTCTCTTATTTTCAGAGATGATTACTTATTTGATTTCTATACCCTTGTGAATGTTGAAATATTAAAATTAGAATAACAAATATTTTTTTTGTTATTAAGTCTAAAATTCTTTACTAAGTCTCTTTTAACAGTTAAAGGAAGAATATGAAATTGAGGTCTTAGATAATTTTCAGAGGGTTTCTTTAAATTTAATTTATTTTCTAACATAAATCTTCTCCTCTTAATAATATCATTATTTCCATTACCAAAATCAAATTCTTAGAATTCACTATTACTCTTAGTTAATTTATGAAATGTTTTTTCTCTATCAATTATTTTGGATATACAATAATTTTGTACACTAGGGTTTGAGTAATTAGTTAAAAAATGTTGATTCAATTGAATTTCTTTTTATTTATTAAGACTTTCAACATTATGAATCTTATTTTTATTATTGACAACATCATCCATTTCTGTTAATAATCTAACTTAATCAATAGTGAGTATTTTATTTGATAAGTTTTAAGCTGTCTTTTTTTATAATAATAATTGTAATAATCTCTATCTATTTGTAGTTTTCGTACTATAATCTTCTATTAATTATAATCTACATTCTTCAGGAAATTTGTGAATAAACTCTTTTGCATCAATTACAATCAATGTTGCTAATAAAGATGTAACTTAACAACTATATTCATAATAACCAGTCTTGTTAATAATAATTTCTTCACCAATTAAATGTCCTGAAGATATTATACATAAAGAAACATTTCGATTATCAATTCTTTTAAATAAAGTCAAGTCTCCATTTATAACTAAATAGAATACATCACCATCTTCATCTTCTATTGTTAATTGAGTTCCTCTATCATATGTTATTGTCTAACAACTATAAATCATACTTTCTAATCTTTAAGAAGAATATTCATTATTCACATCTAAATTATTATTAACTTTACTTTTAAATATTTTGAACATTAATTGTTATTTTTCTTTCTTTGTTTTTTCAAACGTCATCTAATATGTAATAAAATCATCTTTCTTTAAAACTATCACAAATAATTCATGGCTATAACATGCAACAGTTAATGATCTAGGAATATTCTCAACCAAAGCTTTCTCTCCAAACCCAGTTCCTATTCCCAATAATCTAATACATTCTCCATATTTATGTTCCAATGACAATTTATCATCCTTTGAAATAGTAGTCTCTTTGTGAATATTATGATGTCTTATTATCTTACTAGTAAATTTCTTAGCATTTAGAATTTAAGCCATTTTTAGTTATGGTTATTGAACTTATTCAGAATTCTACTTCTATAATGTCATTAATTAATCCATTTTTTTCTATCTCATTAACATAACTTCTCCATATTATATCATATAAAGTTTATCATTTGATGTATCATTCTCTTAGAATAACACTTCTCCTCCTTTAAAGTATTCCATTCTTAAACGAGAACACAACTAATTACTATTAAATATAAAACTACTTCCAAAATATCATTTCTTTATGTACCTTTTTGTAATTTCTCTAAAACAAATTACTTAAAGTAAGGTAGTTCCTCCATCCTTTATAAAATATAATGTAATTCATCTCTTGTATGATTCTCTTTATTCATTGTAAGAAACATTTTTGTTGTCTCATGTAATTATGGATTATCACAAGTTTCATCTAGTGGCTTTAAGTATATTTAATTCATTAATATTTATTTATCAATAGTCATTTTTGCGACATTAAATTAATAGTTCAGTATATTATCTTATCAAATATTATAAATAAATCATTCATATGAATAACACAACATTGGAGAAATGTTTACCCAACAACTTAAATATAATTTTTATTCCATTATTAATACATTTGAAATTCCTATAATTTATTAATTTGATAAATAAATTATTTTAGTTTAATTAGTATACTCGCAAACACTATTCCAATTTAATAAGAAAACTCTCTACTAAAATCATTACTTTTTAATGTTGATGTATTTCATTATAATAATCAAATTTTTATTAATTTCATCATATTTTATATTATCAATTTAAATGGTAATTTTATTGAATTTTCATTTAATAATCCATCCTTTTCTATTTAAAAAAATAAATCATTTGTCTTAAATTGTCACTAATCAAACTATTCTTGTCTCAATCTCACGTTTTACCTCCTGTCTAACTAAAATAAGATGATGATACAATTAGTGATAACATAAATTAATTTTATATCGAATAAATAATTAAGTTGTTAAAACTCTTAAAATGTCGATATTCATTTTTATTCCCCGTTATTTAGAACTAACTTATATAATTTATTAGAATATAAAGGAATGCTTCTTTTAATTAAGGAGTATCCTTTTCTATAATTTCCACTAGATACCCAGATGCATAAATTAGATGATTTTTATATAAGACAATATTTTCCACTCAAGGAATATCTAAATTAAGAAACTCACAATCGGATTAGATTTAAAGATTATGAACTTTTTTTTTAGAGATTTAAATCTATAATATCATGTAATATGAATCCTAAACTTATTGTTTCTTCTATGTAAAATACAAAAATAATTTATCAATTTAAAATGTATTTATTTAAATATAACTCACTGTAAACTCTTTAATTGATTCATTAAGTCTTCTAAATTGGTATTATCTTTAGATGTATCATTAGATTATTATTATTATTATGATTATTATTATTATTATGATTATGATTATGATTATGATTANGAATTTAAGCCATTTTTAGTTATGGTTATTGAACTTATTCAGAATTCTACTTCTATAATGTCATTAATTAATCCATTTTTTTCTATCTCATTAACATAACTTCTCCATATTATATCATATAAAGTTTATCATTTGATGTATCATTCTCTTAGAATAACACTTCTCCTCCTTTAAAGTATTCCATTCTTAAACGAGAACACAACTAATTACTATTAAATATAAAACTACTTCCAAAATATCATTTCTTTATGTACCTTTTTGTAATTTCTCTAAAACAAATTACTTAAAGTAAGGTAGTTCCTCCATCCTTTATAAAATATAATGTAATTCATCTCTTGTATGATTCTCTTTATTCATTGTAAGAAACATTTTTGTTGTCTCATGTAATTATGGATTATCACAAGTTTCATCTAGTGGCTTTAAGTATATTTAATTCATTAATATTTATTTATCAATAGTCATTTTTGCGACATTAAATTAATAGTTCAGTATATTATCTTATCAAATATTATAAATAAATCATTCATATGAATAACACAACATTGGAGAAATGTTTACCCAACAACTTAAATATAATTTTTATTCCATTATTAATACATTTGAAATTCCTATAATTTATTAATTTGATAAATAAATTATTTTAGTTTAATTAGTATACTCGCAAACACTATTCCAATTTAATAAGAAAACTCTCTACTAAAATCATTACTTTTTAATGTTGATGTATTTCATTATAATAATCAAATTTTTATTAATTTCATCATATTTTATATTATCAATTTAAATGGTAATTTTATTGAATTTTCATTTAATAATCCATCCTTTTCTATTTAAAAAAATAAATCATTTGTCTTAAATTGTCACTAATCAAACTATTCTTGTCTCAATCTCACGTTTTACCTCCTGTCTAACTAAAATAAGATGATGATACAATTAGTGATAACATAAATTAATTTTATATCGAATAAATAATTAAGTTGTTAAAACTCTTAAAATGTCGATATTCATTTTTATTCCCCGTTATTTAGAACTAACTTATATAATTTATTAGAATATAAAGGAATGCTTCTTTTAATTAAGGAGTATCCTTTTCTATAATTTCCACTAGATACCCAGATGCATAAATTAGATGATTTTTATATAAGACAATATTTTCCACTCAAGGAATATCTAAATTAAGAAACTCACAATCGGATTAGATTTAAAGATTATGAACTTTTTTTTTAGAGATTTAAATCTATAATATCATGTAATATGAATCCTAAACTTATTGTTTCTTCTATGTAAAATACAAAAATAATTTATCAATTTAAAATGTATTTATTTAAATATAACTCACTGTAAACTCTTTAATTGATTCATTAAGTCTTCTAAATTGGTATTATCTTTAGATGTATCATTAGATTATTATTATTATTATGATTATTATTATTATTATGATTATGATTATGATTATGATTATGATTATGATTATGATTATGATTATGATTATGATTATGATTATGATTATGATTATGATTATGATTATGATTATGATTATGATTATGATTATGATTATGATTATGATTATGATTATGATTATGATTATGATTATGATTATGATTATGATTATGATTATGATTATGATTATGATTATGATTATGATTATGATTATGATTATGATTATGATTATGATTATGATTATGATTATGATTATGATTATGATTATGATTATGATTATGATTATGATTATGATTATGATTATGATTATGATTATGATTATGATTATGATTATGATTATGATTATGATTATGATTATGATTATGATTATGATTATGATTATGATTATGATTATGATTATGATTATGATTATGATTATGATTATGATTATGATTATGATTATGATTATGATTATGATTATGATTATGATTATGATTATGATTATGATTATGATTATGATTATGATTATGATTATGATTATGATTATGATTATGATTATGATTATGATTATGATTATGATTATGATTATGATTATGATTATGATTATGATTATGATTATGATTATGATTATGATTATGATTATGATTATGATTATGATTATGATTATGATTATGATTATGATTATGATTATGATTATGATTATGATTATGATTATGATTATGATTATGATTATGATTATGATTATGATTATGATTATGATTATGATTATGATTATGATTATGATTATGATTATGATTATGATTATGATTATAATTGTTATGATTGTTATTATTAATCATTAATTTGTATATCATCAGGAACAACTTCAATTCCCCATTCATTTTCTGTATGAATAACTTATTATTTTTATTGAGATAATTCTTTTCTCATTTTTAATTTATTTAATCTTAAATTTGATGAATTAAGTTTTTGTCTTTTTAAGCAATTAGGATCTTTACATTCAGAATTGGGCATGATAGCATAATTTTAGAAGAAATCAGCGAGGGCATTATATCCAAGTAGAAATGTAGTTTATCCAAAACCTAATAAATACTTAAGTGTATTTTAAGCTAAGAATCCAGCAGTAATTCCCATGGTTGTAGGTAATGAAGCTGCGCATACACCTTCTCTTTTAATTTATTATTCATTATTTTCAACAACTGCTATAGGTACAGCACATGCAAAACATGCTGTTTCTCCAGGTATCATTAATTAAATATGAGCAGACATAGCATCTTCAGATACTCCACTCTCCATCCAAACTTAATCTAATTCATTACATGCACTATTAATTGTCATACGTGCAGCATAATTATCAACACAACTTAAAACTAGATTTACAGGTCCTTCTTAAAGAGCACCCTTTTACATTCTATCTAATAGTTAATTAAATCCTGTTCCTGAAGTAATATTTTCATTATATGCTTCAATTACTACATCTGGATTAATATTCTATAAAGTTTATTTTGCTGCCTCAACTTTTGATAATCCTACTTATTATGGTGTAAAAAATAATCTACAATTTTGATAACATAATTACCTATTCATATTTGCTAATTCCACTTTATCATAATCATACATTATCAATTTTCCAATTCCACAACGTGTCAACATTTCACATAAAACTGATCCTACACCTCCTACTCCTACTACTAATACTGTAAACTCCTTTATTTATTGATAGTTTTCAACTATTCCCATTCTTTTTAATGCCATTAATCTGCTGTAAGGATTATCATTCCTTACTTCTTCACTCATTTCTCTCACTTACATTTATTTATTATTATTATTATTATTTTTATATGAATAATTAATTTTTACCTGATGATGATGACCCATAACTTAAAGAAGAAAGGAAGAACTTGTACAAAATATTTGGAAAAGAAACTTCTTTAGGTAAAGAACTTTTTGGTTTATATAATGCACATGAAAAACCTAAAATTAATTATCCTAAACCTAAATAAAAAACTTAAGACTAGTTAGATTCTGAAAAACTTAAAACCTAAAAATCATGTCCTTAAAAAACTGTTATAGAATATCCAAAAGAAGAACCAAAATTAAAATAATAATATTATCCAATTGATTTTATTCAAAAAAGAAAACCAGAAGCTGAAATTAGAAAGGAAATCGATAAATATTATGAAGGTAGAAAATTTTTTAGGCCAGCAATCTAAGGATAAGATAGAAAAAAATTAATTGAATAATTATAACGAGTATTTAAATATAAAAGAGGAGCATTACCTAAAGGAGCTGAATTACCTGAAATCAATATTAAAAATAGTGATGCTTTTCTTAAAGATTCTGAAACCACATCTAATGCTATCAAAAAAATGCATAAAAAAGATCTATATTTCACAGGATTAAAATCTGACAATTAATCTGATGCAACAACTTTATAAGGAGATCCTTAAATTGAATTGGAAGTACTTTTCTCATCAATCATGAAAGAAATTGAAGAAAGGCAAGAATTTCTTTCAGAAATTGAACATTTAAATGAACCTAAATTAAAATAAAGAATCAAAGATGAAATTATTGAAAGGGTTGCGGAATTATAAAAAGTTTAAGATTTAAGAAGACACTATTGCAATTGATTAATTATAATATATCATTTAACAATATTCCACTTTAAATTTAATAAACTTATTATTTAAATTAACATTAAATTTCTACTTATAATTATTTTTAGAAACTAAAAGAAATATAATGAATATAAATATGGTTAAATATATTAATCATATAGAAATCATTAGTGTTGAGATATTTATAAAATTTTGCTTACTTCTGCTAAATCAAAAGGTAAACTTATATATTAATCTATTCCATTACGATAATATTCTATTTTGGAATAATATTCGACAAGCCCAGTAGTTCCAATTATATATCCTTTTTATGTCATTTTATCTTTAATATACCTACTTAACCACAAACCTCCTCTTTTTGGTAAATCAACATTTATAAAATATAAAACAAATCCAATATTTCCACATTTACATTTTTTCTTTGTTTCTAGCAATTTGATTACATCGTCAGTACTAAATGCTCTAGAGGAATTTACTTTAAATTTGGATAAAATCATTTCCAATATTTATATATTTTGATATTCGCAATCTGCTATCAAAACTCTTGAACAACATCTACCTGTTGTGGAAAATTTAATGATTTCACTTTGCATTTTGGTTGGAACAGATATTGGTATTTGAATAGAAGAAAGAGGATCAGTTCCAAAATCTAAGAAAAGATTAGATGATGTAGGTTGTTATTTTAATTCAGTTAATTAAGGTTGACTTAAGAATGTTTATTCTCTTTCTCTAGCTTCATTCAAAAATGTATTTGCAGCTCCTCCACTATTATTTCCATTTGCACTATTACCAAGACTGTTATTAATTATTGCCTCTGGAAAATGCGGTAATTAATATTTAGATTATGATGGTGTGGTTTAATAATTCACTCGTTTTTATTATTTTGTTTCTTCATCTTAATAAAAAATATTTGATATTTAATCAAAAGAATGAGAATCTTTTTATTTTTAATTTAAATTATTAATTGAATCTGCTTTAGCTTTAGATATTTAGGAAACATAATTGCTCTAATATTCTGAAAATTTTTAACTAAATTATTTTGATATTCTAGATTAAGAAAAATGAAGAGAATGATCCATAGATACTTTATTAGATTCTTCTCTAAATAAAGTATATGTTTTTTCATTCTATTTTGAAGTGTCTTATTATGCTAGTAATTAACTTAACGATGTCTCTTGATAATGAGTTTGGCCAATTAATCGAATCGCTTTCATTTCTTCATTATTAACATTAAATGATTATAATGAAAATTTAAATGCTGTTCCATAAGGTTCAACTGATGCAATTTCTAAACCTCTTTTAATATTTCCTGATAAATATTAAGCCAATAGATGACAGACACTAAATTCTGAGAATTAAAGAGTTGGTTTCTTAAGATTCAATCTTATTATTCTTAAATCTTTTTCATCTACATTAATTGGAGTGTGTATTATAACTTAATAATTTTTAGAAGCAAACATTTTCCAAGATATTATAATATTTTCATCTTTAGTTTATTTGATACAAAATTTAATTAATGGTAACATTAATTATTTTAACTAAAATATTGAAAATTTTACATTACTCTTTCTGCATCAGTTTCAATGAGATTTTCAGTAGATTCATATTCCAATTTAATATCAATTCCTTTAGCTTTAGAAGAATCTTATACCATAATAATTAAATCTTCACAAATAGATGAAATATCTACATTACTTATTTTTAATAATAATTTCTTTTAATTATGAAGATTAAAATCTCTCATATTTGCTAATTATAAATAAACTATCACACTTGAAATTCTAATTGGATAGAAATACTTCTCTAATATATAATCACTAATTAGAGTATCTGATTCTGCCAAAACTGAAATAGTCATAATAGTATTTAAACTTGGAGTTATATAAGTTGTAAATTAAGAAAATGCTTAAAAAGAAGGTTAAAATATGACTTCTTTTTATTCTATTTAAATAAATACAAATGTTTTTTTATTTTTTCCTACCAAAAATATTTTAATCATCCAATCATTCATCCATGGTGCATCTACTTTGTTTATTATAAACATATTATTCTTATATATATCATAATCTCCAACTAATTTATTAATCAAATCTTTTAATGTAAATCTACTTTAATTAATTGTTCCACTACTTGCAATTAAATCTTAAAAATCTCTATTACCTTATACTATTGCTAAATTTAATATTGAACCAACACTCTCATTATCCATTGAGTTACTAAAAGAATTTCTTGAAAAATCTGCCACATTAAATGTTTATATTAATATATTATCTTAATCATCTAAAACTATAAATTATTATCCCTTTATCCAAGCACTAATTTTATATATTATTATTTATTTACTATTCATCCAACAATACAGAATCCATTGATTTTGATTGATCTTTCAATGGTGAAAACCCTCCATAAACTGGACTTTTACAATTTGATCCATTCAAATCTTCTGATTTATAAACCTCAAATTCTTTCTAAGGTAGTGCTGAAATACAAATATCGAAATCTTTTTATATCTATTAAGAACTCTTTTAAGTATTTTATTCCATAATTCTTTTACGAAATGAAAATATTATTGATAAACAAGTTAATCCTACTCCAATATTGATCGAATAATCAGAAAATTGTTATTCAAATACTACATTACCTATAATATATAAATAAGGCAATTTTGTTAAACTGAAATCGCTTCCTAATTATTCCGAAAATAATTAATGAATTAGGTTTAAGTTTATGATAACTGATAAAATTTATGGTTTACAAAAATAATTCAAAGTTAATTATGATGCTATTCTTAATAAGCATAACATTGTTAAAGTATAACCTGACTTCTTTTTATCTTTTATGTAGTATAAAATTCTTGTACACAATGCCATTATCATTAAATCTATAATTTTTATGATCAATGTTATAGGTTATTGAAATGCTAAAACAATTTTTTTCATTTTTAAATACCTTCATATTGCAAAAGTATCATACATACTTCATAATTTATCAACAATATTATCTAAATCACTTTTTCTTTCATTTTTTATTATCAATTCTAATAATTTTGATTATATTATTATACTAATCAAGGCATATTTATTAATTGTTGAATTAAAATCTTTTCTTTATTTTCACAAATGAATACTTTATTTCTTTAGTTATTAAATAAAAAATCTAATTAGCTCAAATCCAACTATTAATTTAGAGTATCATTCATTAATTTCAATTTTCCTTAGATTATTTATTTCACACATATGATAACACAATGCAATTCTAAATTCTTTAATATTATTTTTAAAATCATAGATGATTTAATACTAATGTAAGTTGATTAAACAAAATTTAATTTTAATTAACTGAGAACTAAAAATTCCTTTATTTTTTTTCCTTCCCATTCTTTTTTTTAATCCTTAAATTGGTTCATAAAATATTGTTGATCAATTTTACATTTTACTTTATAAAATACTTAATATGAACCTCTTAAAAATTTATATCATCAATTATATAAACTAGTGGGGTTATACTGTTTACATATTCCTAATCAGTTTGTTATAGTAATTCCACATCTTAAGTATACATATTTATATATTCACTTACCTTTTAACTATTCTCTTATTTTGCCTTAAAGTAAATTCATATAGTAGTAAAATTGATTAATAATTTGTTTTGAACAAAAAAAATACTCTCAACTAATACTTCTAAAGTTACTACTCTAAATGCATAAAATTAACTATAACTTTGAGCAAGAAAAGATCTGTATCAAAGATTTAAATTAAAACATAAAATAACTGTAAATATTTATAGTTGCTATATTATAATATTGTGAATATAAAGATATCATTGTAGTTTGAATTAATTTAATTTTTTATTTTAAGAATTAGATCTGTTTTAAGTGCTTAAAATGTCTAAATCAAACAATCTAGGTTATAAACAGGATTTTTATTATTATTATATAGCTTACTGTTATTAAAGTGATTATTAAACATTTCTCATACTCTAATGTTATTTAGGTAGAGGTGGGTCAGATACTTATCTTTAAGAATCTTTTTTTATTTTCCCTATTGATTAAGTTTTGCTTTTTATTTCTTCATTCTTTTAAGGCTCTATTGAAAGATGAATTTTATTTTATTTCTCATTAATTTTAGGTAACATTTAAGGAGTATTTGGTTTTTTTACTGGAATAGTGGGAGGTTTATTAGATTAGGATTAAGGAGTTTCAGATTACTCCTTCTTTTAATTTCTTCTTATATCTATCAAATAACTATTTATTATTTTTACTTGCACCAGTCCAATTATCTTATAATTCAGAGGCAAATTCAATAAATTTATTATATTCAGAAGCATCTTCTAATGGATATATTTTAACATAATCTCCTAAATTGTTATTTTCATGTTAATCTCTTTATTAAGAACACTACTAAACTTATAAATTTTTTTCTTCTTATGTTAATTTCTATTTCTTTCCTGTAAAAACTCGTTATTATAATTATTCTCTTCTTGATGATATTATTTCTTCTTTTGCTTTAAGACTTACATTCATCAATTTTAAAGTATCTCTAATAAGATTTTTTTTTATTAACGAATCCAATGGAGTATCAGTAGTAAAACTAGGTGTGTGATTCACTTCTAATAAAAAAGGTCTTAATTTATCATTAATGAAGATATCAAATCCGAGAATTTCAAAGCACATATTATTTGCATAATTGTCAGGTTAACATGATTTGTAATGATGACTTAATATTGGTTAAACAGTGCAGAATGTTTTGATAAATAATTTATACATATCTTGCCATAATTTTTGGATGTTATGTCCTTCCTCTTATAATTTACCAAAAACAGATTTAATAGATCTTTTATGACCAACATCCATTTTGGTTGCATCATTATTGAAAACAAAGTTTGGATTTTCCTTATTAATAGCATAATTTGTTAAATGCATACAAACATCTTCTA